ATTGTCGAAGCTTTAATTTAAAATCTAAACTAATATTATAAAGAGGTAATATTTTTTTGTTTGTTTGTTTGTTACGAATAGGCTCAAAAACTACTTAGTTAATGAATGCCAAGTCGGTCACTTGGCATTCATTAACATATAATATTAATAGCTACTAAAACTGTTACTTCCAAGTGTCCTATATATATACAATAAATTTTCAGTAAGAATTCATCGGCGCACCTAAGATCCTACATATATGATGGTTGTACAAAACAACCAAACTGCAACAACACAGTCATCTCAGCCATGAGACACCGACTGATACAAGACAGAGATGTTGTGGATGAAAGGATCGTTGAAACAAGCGTTATGTTCAATGATATTAAGGTAATGAAAGATACTTACCTAAGAATCTACTTAGGTAACTATGTAGTATTTACTATCAAGAGATGAAGATTGTGTCATAGTGTGATGGCGTTGTGAATTTTAATAATAAAATATTTAAATGAAAGTAATATTTTTCGGATTGCTAAATGTATTTTATTATTTGTAAAAAAAATTTACAATTTACATCTCGCCTGTCTGTGATCATGATTGCTGTAAAGTAATCGAAACGTCAGAAATATGTAATTTACAAAAAAACATAAAGTACGTACTGTTTCGTTTTATTGAATATTCGCTAAAGACTAAGATCCCATTGAATAAAATACTTTTGGCATATTAAAAGCAATTAAATTGACTAACATGATAAAAAATTATAGGTATTAATTTGAAATATTGAAATTATATTTTTTTTTTCTGAAAAACGATAAACATAATATGAGGAAATTGTGGCAGTGGTTTCTTACAGACCAGTCAAAACTATTAGCAGCTATCAAGAATATAAGAGGATGAATAATCTATTATAATATAATATATAATTAATATACATAATAAATATATTTGATGATTGGTATAATTTATTTAGTAGGTATTCTGTATTTGTTTAATCAGTATTATATATTTTTTTTATTACTTGTTTTTGCCCGCGACTTTGTCCGCGTTAATTTCGGAATTAGTAATATATGTATAGCTGACCGGGCGAACTCTATTCAGCCCTATAGGCGATAATTATCTACATGTTGGAATTTATTATGTATTTTTTTCTTTTTCGTCGGTACAAAATTAAATATCTTATGTCCTTTTCCTGATTCTAATCTATCTCCCCAACCATTTTCAACCATATCCTTCTACTTATTTATATATATTATACTTCCACAGCCGTTCTAGAGTTATTAATACTGTGTAACTAACAGGACTTTCTTTTATCTATATAGATGACTTAGATTAAAACGTAAGAAATACATTTGGCGTTAATTTCCATTTTCAATAAGTTTCATTGTAGAGTTGTTTTTCTTCTTGCGAAGGTCAAAATAAAGATGATTCATATTGAACATAAGTTCTCTATTTCTTAAAATAACTTAGAGTACAGTTTTTTTTTAATTTTTTATACAAATTTTCAGTCCCACGTAGGTCTTGTTTTTTTTCTAAGCAGAGTGTCTTCCGGTGATATGTGTATCGGATTTGTAAAATCAATTTCTATATTCTCTGGTATCGTATGAAAGTATGCGCTCCCTCTTGTGTTATCTGAAAAGTGTTTTTATTTATTAGATATTTATTGACCATTACAGTTCTTTAGTTTGTTTCTATAGAAAAAGTAAAATTGACATTTTGAAAAGGCTGAGGGATAAAAATTCTTCAAATTATTGGAGAAAAAAAGGACTACTTGAAGTTTATGCAAGCCTTGGAAATACCTCCCTTAATTTCAAAATTACAAAGTTATTTATTTAATAATTATCTATTTTGTTATTTATTTTTTATTTCCCCCCATTTTTGTCAGCCCGCCATATTTAGTTCACAAGATGTCACCAAAATAATGTTAAACCAAATCTTTATAATAGTTACATAAAAGACCAATAAGAGAATCATTTACGAATTACACAAAAATCTTCTAAATTTTGTATATTTTAATGATCCTATTAAAAAGTGCCCATTCATTTAAAGATATAGCAAAATGCATCATAAAACCAAATAAATACGTTAGAGTTCCTATTTTGTAATTGATACTGTTCTAAGACTTATTCATAACTGTAAAAGTTCAAAGTTTGTCGGACGATGTAAACCTGTAATACTCGTATTAATAGTCAATGTTATATAGTTACCAGTTAAGTTGAGCCTAGCTATGATATCCTCCAGGTGTTGTTGTGTAGGGTCGTGCTGACTGTGAGCCGATTACGATAAAGACAGCGACGATGACGGACGGAGCCGCGGTTCAAGAGAGGCAGAGTGAACACCGTCTCGGATGAAGGAGTTAGATCCGAACCGAATTCCTATAGAACATATATTAATATAAATATATACAGAATTTTTTTAAGCTATGGCTGCATTTGCACTGTAGTTGTGGAATATTATGCCAATGTCATACGAAGTTATTATACAGTGTGTGTACGATATACAATAATTATATGGATTGAATTTAAAATGTTATTAAAACTCTGAAGTCGTGATCTAGCCGAAGATGGATTGCGCTGTTTGGATTTACATTGAAAGGTTCACTTGGTAGGAAAATATAATTTTTTGCGTATAATTTGTAATGTTTGTAGTTTTCATGTCTCTATTATAAGAAATGCTAATATTTGAAAGTTTTAGTCGTATATCTCTTTTTAGACAACTTTTTTAATACATTTTACGATGATGTGCCCTACCGTTCAGAAACACGAATGCTTATAATAAAATGGCTTAGAAGGGAATTTAGAAAGAAATGGTCAGAATAGACCGTAATTTATTCCCCATATATATCTTACCAGACACTTCCCACTGACGCAGTACGAGTTGTTCCCGCCGCACGAGGTGCCAGGTAGAAGCGATGAGACACACGCTCGTCTTGACACGGCACGCGGCACGGACGGTCCGGCTCCTCTGTGAACACATATAATATATATAATATGTAGTAGGGGAGACTGGGTAACAGTCAATCATTTTTTTTAAAGAAGTGTTACTCCGTAGTTTATGACAAAATGATACATCTTTGAAATTAAATGATAATGCAAATATCTAATGTTTAAAATACATTTCATTGCCTGTGTTATACATATTTACAAGGTATAGGCATTTAAAAAAAAATTGACATGAGCCACTGTGGCCCGGGCACGGGTCACAGTGGATCACTGCACGGGTGACAGTGAATCGGCACAGGCACGCAGGATCAATTGCAAAGAAATATTGAAAAAACATCAATTTTCATATTATTATAATATTACTACTTGTACTAGGTTCTAGACAGTCTTTTACATCAAAATAATGACATGACTTTTTCTAAATTATCGAAGAACAAACCAACATTATAGCGATTGAAAGACGACCTAGCAACGGCTCCTATTTTTAGCCATCCGAAATAAGTTTTAGTGTCAGTGGTGGCCTAGTGGTCAAAAGGCCCGCCTCTCGATCACGAGGGCGCGGGTTCGATGATCGCAAGTACCAATGGTTTTTTTTGGAGTCATATGTACTTCCTAAGGGTATTTAGACATCACTGACAGACGGTGAAGGAAAACATCGTGAGGAAACCTGGACTTATAATTTCACAATTATAAGTTTGAAATCGCCAATCCGTCTTGAGCGAGCGTGGTGAATGGTGGTTAATGCTAAAATCTTCTCCATGTGAGAAAGAGGCCCTTGCTCAGCTGTGGGCTCTGATAGGCTGATGACGATGACGAAATAAATTTTAGAACGTTACTTATCTGTTCTTCAGTATGAAATCCGATAGTAGTCTTTCTTACTACGTTACAAGGCATTTTTACCTAAAACATAAAGTAAAATAAATCTTAGCTTGTTGAGTTACAATGGATGAACAGTTCATTGTGACCCAATACAGAATGATTCACTGTAACCCATTGACCGCTATAAAAAAACAATTTGTGAAGGTTCTTCGTCAAGACTCTTCAGCCTTTGAATACTTAAAAAGTTTTTACTCTAAATTGTGAGAGACTAAAGTAAAAGCTGGTAGTTTTCGTCGGTCCACAAATTAAGAAAATAATGGCCAGTGAAGAATTTCCAGAGTTACTGGACGCCCATGAAAAATGAGCGTGACTCAGCCTTAAAGCAGTGGTCCATGGCTTTCCTGGCAATAAAAAAGCTTTAAATTATGAAAAGCTTATTTCTAACATGTTTGATAATTTCAAACTCATGGGTTGCAGAATGTCTCTAAAAGTGCATATGCTACATGCACACCTCGACCAGTTTAAAGATAGCTTGGGCCCATATTCAGAAGAGCAAGGAGAACGCTTTCATCAAGACGTGATGAACTTTGAACAGCGTTTTCAAGGACAATACAATGAGGACATGATGAGTGACTACATTTGGAGTTTAATCCGAGAAAGTTCTTACTTACACAAAAGATATACAAAAAAATGTTCATTTTTAATGTTTTTTTCTGTTTTTTTTTTACATATTTAGATATTTACCTTTATTGTTCTTTCCAAATAAAAGTGTTTAACATATAAATTAGTGTTTCTTTTCTTACTTTTGTATTGTACTGAATTAGAAAATTTAGATTTTCTTAATATTTGAAATTTCGTTTTGGTTGCTACAAAAGCAAACTTTATTAGATGAAAGTATTTTTTCCTTGTTTAAGAAGATATAATTAATTAAAATGAGCACCACAGAACTCAGACTCAAAAATCGTGTTTACTTGTGTAGTAGTTTTCTAAACTGAAAAACACAGTGGCGCATCTATTTCTAATATAGTGTATTATATATGTAGTTTATTATCTATGTAGTATATAACTATGTAGTGTATTATCTATGTAGCGTATTATCTATGTAGTGTATTATCTGTGTAGTGTATTATCTATGGGGAATTTGTTTAATGTTATGAATTTGGGACTTGTTATTTTATTAAGGCTTCGATGGCCTTCGTTTTCTATATTTTTCTCTATTTTAACATTAAATGATAACAATACTGAAAGGCTAATATAATAATAATGTCGTGTGAAGTAATAGTACGACGTGCTAGGGATGTAGACCTCAAGAGAAGGATGGAGTTAGTCCGTCAAGGCTTGTCCGGCTACTTTTGGAGCGCTTTTGTATATTTCTTCTTTCAAGAGGTAAGTTCCAGTATCCAGTGATAGTGGTCGTGTGCCACAGCCAACGCCAGTAGTATCATTGTGTGTGTGTAGTTGACACTGGAGTGTTGTGTGCTGGGTGCCGCTGTGTTGTTTATCTTCTGCGGCTTCTCTCCTGCTGCGTGCTGCCTGGTGCTGCCCACCGCCGTCGCTGTCATAGCACTCGCAGTCTCCGCCACTCATCACACGTTAGCACACAGACAAGCTCAGGTATCAATTATTATGAAAACGAGTTTTATTGTTTTATTTAAATATCTGTGATATATGGTATAATTATGTAGTATGTATTTTTTTTAGCTACATTTGAATATACAGTTCATTTATTTTCATTTATTATCATTGTAACTTTAATGTTAAGAAAATAAGAGGGGAGGTGTTTGGGCTCGTTGCGGAGGTATGTGGAGTGTTACTACTGTCACCGACTGCTGGCCGTCTTCCAATACATATTCAACTTGATTTTCCTAAGACTTCAACAGCAGCTTACTCACTTGTGAGACTCTTTATTTAATGTTAAAATTGTATTTGTTGGGAAATATTAGTTTATAGAATCTCTTATGTTTCTCAGGTTATAGGTACTGTGAGTGTGTCGGACTACTGGGGACCAAGTGAAGAAGCCTGGCTACATGCTCTTGTTGTTCATCCTGAGTTAGTATGAACACCATTAATTTTCCAACCTTTTACTGAAGATTTATCAAGAAAAATGTATATAATATAAGTAATTATGTAAAGCAAAATAAAATTTTCTTGAGGTGTCATAGACAAACGACAAATTTTATTATATGTGGTTTATATTAAATTGTATAACAAAACAACAGTTTCGGTAACAACCAAGAAAAGAACTTGTAAAATAGATGATATTTATTTTTATTGTAATATTGGACTCGACACTGTAAATGAATAGCTTTAAATGTAGTTTCTTTTCTTACATGTTAGTGTTGTAAGCTTTTTATTGTGAACCTATTATAGATTGTATCCTTGATAGAAAGCCTAACAAAATTAGTTTCTTACAGAGACTTTTTTATTTTTTTACCATTAATCTTTTAATTGATTGTCATCCAAAACATAATATTATATCTTATTTAAATGTATACTTTAAATATTATTATTTTTTATTTTATGTAAAAAGTATAAAAGTACTATTATTAGATTTGTTTTTCTTAAAAGGAGTATTGGCATAGAAAAAACATAAGTAATAAAAAAATGTTATGATAGGGAACAATCTTAAATGGTTTCTTACAGTGAGTCCTAACTAACAAGTTTGTCTGTTTAGATGGCGTGGTCGTGGTGTGGGTCGCTCCCTGCTCACTGCAGCAAGACGTGTGTCACTCGAGGGTCCGCGGGCTGTGGGCCGGTCACTGAGGAGCGTCGTGTCTCTGCTACAACCACAGGCCAGGGAAGCCTTGATAACATCCGGGTGTGTTCAACGTTACACTGGGTTATACTAGTACTCGTGAACACCGACATGTTCTATAGCGTCTGTTGTGTCCCGCAGGTGGCGGAGCGAGGGTCTGTACGAGCGGCCACTCTGCGGCGCCGCGCTCACACTACCGCTTGAGAGACTCGTCACTACCGAACCCCCCGACCGTTACGACCTCTAGTTGGATACATTGGCTCTGGCTCTTCCTCGTTTCTTGGGTTTCTCTGCGAGAATTTTATCGTCCTCGTCGTCTCCCATAAACAATAAGACCAACTTGGACACGTCGACCAGGACCTGTGGATGGTATGAAACAGAACCTTAAGAATCAGTGACGTGACGAAGGCTATCTGACCGAGCCACCGTGTTCAAACCTTGATCGTCTCGGGTTGACTCGAGGAGCTGGTCGCTCTGGAGGCGGCTCTCAAGAGTGCGGGCGGCGCGTGCAGGCGGCCGGCGGCGCGGGCTCTCATGACCACCCGCGTGAGGAGGGACCGCGCGCCTCCCTCCGCCGCCGGCCACGCGCTCGACACCAGCTGCGTCACCTCCTCGCCCTCCAGCCGCCCCAGGAACCACTGACACAGAATCGATATAACAAAGAACCCTTCAAGAGAGTCAAGAGTATGTTATAGTATAGCTCCTACCTGTGGCTCCGTGGGTGTCTCCTGTAAGCGACACAGCGCGGCTCGCAGCAGCAGGTCTGCCAGGCTCGTGTCGCGCCCCTCCCCCTCCCCCTCGCCTCGTGTCTGTGAGTCCATCCTGCCACCCACACCGGTTGCTACATCGGCCAGCTCAATCAACTGCTCGGGGCTCAGATAACGCCAACAAACGGTCGCGAGTCGCACACGCTTTAAATTATACCAATAACAATTATGTTTCAATATTAAAATATACTCAGTGAATAAATTTCATTAAATTTTTATTTCAATCACTTTTTTATTCAAACTATGGAACAGAAGACACAAAACTGTATTGAACCTTTTATGACATCTACCTTTCCTACTGAGAAAACTAAGTAGTTATGTATATTTACACATTTAGAAGTAAGGTATTTAAAAAATATATACATTTTATTTTATATTTATACATATTATTTTGATATGTAAGTGAACGGCTTTATTAATATAGATTTGAAAAGTCCAAATACATCCTACACTAAATACAAAAATTAACACAACCCAGTGTGAATTCAAAGATTGTAAGGCTTCATACCATTTTCATGTTAGTCTGAGTTAACAATTCACTGAACACTCTATAAGGAGTCTTGATGTGTGGGTCCGTGAGACACAGGACAGTGACTGTCAGCCAGCTCAGTAAAACCAACAATACATGTTCTGGCCATTCACTGTGACCCTCTGACTGATACCTCAATACTTGCTCAATGCTGGATATTACCTAGCAATTAATAATTTTGCATTTATTAGTTTTAAAACAAAATATTATTTTGAATGTATTGTACACTCACATTATTACTGACATCCTTGATGGCCATCTGATTGTTATTTTGAAGGACATCTAAATATTGTTTTAAAAAAGTAGTGTCATATTCGGTTAAGTCTTGAATGAAGTTCTGAAGCAACTCCTTTGTTTGTGTTTTAACAGGTACACTGTTAGCTTCAGCGACTCGGAGAGTGTCCACTGACTCCGCTAGAGTGACAACATCCTCATGCTCACTGTCTTGCTTATCATCTTCTGTATCTATTGTTTGTAGTATTTCATTTTGCTGGATCTTACTTTCTTGTGATAGTTTAGTAGAATATGACTGAAATAGTAAACGATTTAATTAAAATAAATAACAGTGGGAAAATTAATTTTGGCTTGGTTAGTAACAAAAGTGTTTTAGGTAGACGAAAAGCTGGCTTTGAGCAGATAACGCAAAAATTTTACCGTTAAAGGTTTCACAGAACTTTCAAAGTTTATTTCAGGAACATCATCGACTTCCATGTTTACGTAGTTTTATATACTTGAACTTTTAATTTAAAATCTGATTCTCGAATGTATGTTGCATACATTTAAAGACAAGGATAATTCTGTTTTCATTTGTTTTTTTTTTGGTTATGTTCGTTCCGTTCAGAACAGGCAAAGAGAACAAAGCCCATACAGCCATGTCTTTTGTATTTTGTATCTCTAATTATTTTTAAATGTCTTAATCTCCTTTTTATTCTAGACTCAAGTTTTTATATCAGGCCTAAGCCATGTCTTCTTTTAATTTTCTTGTCTTTGTTTAAAATATTTTTTTTTGTCAAATTCTTGTTTTTTTTTACATTCCGTCTTTTTCAATGTCAAGTCCTTGTAATGTCATTTTTAGTATAATAATTAATTTGTCAAATATCTAAAACAAAACGAATAAATTTGTATTATATACATATGTACAAATAACAATTAGATTTCATTTATAGTAGAAACAATAAAGCCATAAACTGGCAAGAAGCATTCTTGAATGCTTAGTATTTGCTGAAGGGAGCGCGGGATATCTTCAGAAGTTTTAAAAATACTTAAAAGTTGATCTACAAGGACCATCCTTTGAATACTAAACTGCGGACAATCAAAAAATATATGTTCGAGGGTTTCATCAGCATTATTGCAATATCTACAAGTTGAAGAGTCAAAAACACCAACCCTAAAAAGGTGAGCACCAAAACTACAATGTCCCAGACGCAAACGACAGATTGTGGTATAATACTTTCTATGGCTATAGTCACTACCCCGGGTAAGCCAGGGAGGAGAGACCTTTTTCTTTATTGTAGCGAACCATTTTCCTTTTACCTTTACCACATGATGCCACAAGTTGTAAAATTCTTTCTGTAACTTGAGTTTGAGGAGGGATAGAGCGTCTGAATAAGGAATTGGGAAATTTAAAAAGCTATGACTTAATTGATTGTGGGCCGGATTTGTAATAAATTTAGATAAATAGTCTGCGTGCTCATTACCATGCATACAAATGTGGGCTGGTGTCCAGAATAGGACTATTTGCTTGTTTTGAGACAGCAGGTGATACAACTCTCTTATTTTATATATAATATAGTTAGTTTTTGAATTTAATTGTGGATTTTGTAGTGCCGTTAATAAACTTAAACTATCCGTTTTTATAATCCACTTAGGATGAGTCTGTGTTTGAATGTGCTCCATAGCTGTATATACAGCTATGTATTCAGCCTATGACCGAGTCCACTTTTGATCAGACTATCATAGACAGCTATAGAGACTGCTTCATTGTTCCTAGACCCATCTGTATATATCAAGTTCCCTATAATTGTCTTCCTTATACTTTAGAAGACTTTTGACTACAATTTTAATCTGAATAAATTTTGATTCATATAACCCAGAGTAACAAGGCCATACCATGCTAGAAAATATATTATGTTTATTAAAAATTTGTTCTGTTTCAGAAAAACCTTGAAAAAAATATGAATTAATATTGGCAGTCCTGTTAATAGTGTCCCATAGTTTAACAAGAAGTGGATGATTACTGACAGAGAGCAACCTTGCAAAAAATTTTGATTGTAAGTATTTAAACCTAAGTGCTAATGGAGGTATATTACATTCCACCTGCATATTGACACTATGGGAGTAGTTCGCATGGCACCCATTATAATATGCAAACATTTATTCTGTATCTTTTCTAATTTATCTACTATAGTTCTTACCCCTGCAAAACAAAAAAAAGCATATTCAAAATGACTCCCTACTAATGATTTATACAATGTTAATAGAATCCTTGGATCAGCACCCCAATATGTGCTTGTTAAAGATTTTAAAACATTACAAGCATTTAAAGCTTGAGATTCTAGAGTTTCAGCATACTTATTCCATCTAGAATTGTTTGTAAAAATAACACCTAAAAACTTTACAGAGCTCTCTACAGACATTACATTATTATTGAACAAAATATTTACATTCCTTTTCTAATTCCATTTTTTGAAAAGACAACTCTACTTTTTTCATTGCTGACCTCCAGCCCAAGGCTATCAAAATAGTTCTTTAGTCTTTGGAGAGCAACATTAAGGACTGATTGTACACGTAAAAAATTAGTATCAGAGCAATAAACAACTAAATCATCTGCAAACTGCAGATTAGAAACTTCACACCCCAGAGTTAAATTTAGCTGATGTATGAATAGGATAAAAAGCAATGGGCTCAATACACCACCCTGTGATACACCCCTACAAGAATATCTTGGACCAAATAACTGATTGTTAACCTTAACATCACCTTTCTGTAGTTCAAAAAATTAAAAATCCAATTTACAACTTTTCCAGGTACCTGTAGTAATAATAATATTGAGGATAATTTGTTCAGATCTACATTATTGAAAGTCCCTACAATGTCAAGAAAAACACCAACTAGTACTTTATTCTCAGAATGAGCATCGTAGATATCCAGACAGAAATGACGTAGACTCTCACAAGCAGAACGGCCACAACGAAAGCCAAACTGATTGTAAGGTAAAAGATTATTACTTTCTATGTGAAAAATTAATCTCTGTTTTATTAATTGTTCCAAAATTTTTCCAACACATGAACTCAGTGTAATAGGACGATAAGAATCAGGGAAATTAAAGTCTTTGCCAGGTTTTAATATTGGTACCAAACAGTCAGTTTTCCAATCCTCTGGGATAATAGAAGACGACTATAAACTATTTAATAGACTTAAAAAAAAAGATAGAGTTTGAACATTTAAAAGTTTAAACATTTTGTAGGAAAGCCAATCCAGGCCACATGAAGAATCTTTTCTTGAGGCGAAAGCAGATTTTAACTCTTGCATAGTAAAACAACCGATCATGTATGAATTATCACTATTTACTCCAAGAACATAATCTATAATTATCTGTTGTGAAACAGTATCCGGTGTGTATTTATATAAAAATGTTTGAACCCAATTGAGGTCAGAAAATAAGTTAGAAGTCGGAAAGCTTTTTTTGAATTTACTTATTTTAGTCCAAATGCGATTTATAGATGTCAAACGATTTATTGATGAGCAGAATTCAGACCAACTTTTACAACATTCTTCTTTTAAAGTGCGTTTTTTAAAGGCTTGTGCGCGTTTGAAATTAATATAATTTTTACTATTAAGACTAGTTTTGAAATTAATGTAGGTGTTCTTGCAGTCTTCTACTACTTTTGAACATTTATCATTCCACCAAGGTACTTGACACCTTTTTGTAGGACGGTTTTTTTTACTATCAGTTGTGTTATGGTTTAAGCTAGGCCTGGAGAATTTTATTGCCAACTAGTAAACCTGGCGAACTCCGTTTCGCCTCCAGAAGGCTTTGTTTTATGTAACATTACGTTTGGTGATTAAAAGATGAAGATTTTTTTTTTGTTTTATATTTGAAAAGGAAAATTTTTATTTCATTTCACAACAGTAATGAATTCATTTCGATTACAAAAATAAAGTATTATTTAATTGAACTTCTCTAAGTAAATGAAAGTGAATCCAAAGTAGATACCGAATCGAAGCGTTAAACGTGTCCGCAAATTATCCGTTTCATTGAAGTGCTCCTTTGTAAACAACATTTTTTGTTTTTTGTTCTAACGTTAACACAAATAAAGCGGATGGTTTCCTAACTCGTGAACACACAAACTATAACTGCCCATGTGAAAAACAATGATTTTCTAAATTTATCCCGCAAATACTAAATTACATATCTGTCATTATACGTCAATTGCATAGCTGTCAATTGTGTTTCGTTATTCCACGTTTTATAGTGACTGACGTTTCATGTCAAGTCCCACGGGAATGCTGTTGAACGGGATAAAAAGTATCCTATTGCGATTTCCTGGTTCTAAAATACCTCCCTGCCAATTTTCAGCTAAATCGGTTCAGCCGTTCTTGAGTTATAAGTCACTAACACGACTTTCTTTTATATATATAGATAGAATAATTGCACAAAACTTTCTGTATGAGTCAAGGAGATCACTATTGTCAACTTTAAAGTTCATTAACATTTTATTAACAATTTGTTCATAACTATCCCAATTTACTATTTTCAGATTGCTGTGAAAAGGAATGTTGTTCAAGGGAATAGAGGGTTCATGTTAATCTCTTACGAGAGTAAATTTTGTGATAGTTGGCAGATGATAACTGCCTAAAGAGTCCTGATGAACTTACCAGTCACAAGAAAGAAATAAAGAAGAAGACACCATAGTTAAATCTAGACTGTTTGGTTTCCAAATATGAGAGCCTGTAGTTGTTGGTTGACCATTATTTAAAAGTATTAGGTCATGGTCATCCATGGAATCCATAATAGCTCTGCCCCGAGAATCTATGCGACTGCAACCCCAAAAAGTGTGATGGGCGTTAAAATCGCCTGCAATTATAAACGGTTTTGGAATACTGTACAATAAACGATCGAACTTAGCCTTTTCAAAAGCAGGAGAACTATTACCAGGACTGTAAAAACTAACCAAAGAAATGCATTTATGTTTCACTTTATTAATAATTACTACATTTTGTAACGAATCATCATAAAAAGTATCTTGTTTAGAGAAATGTATACCGTTTTTAATTAATATTGCTACGCCATTATGATCATTACTGCAGTCATTCTTAATAATGGTATAACAACGTAAATTAAATTGAATGTTAGGCTTGAGCCAAGTTTCTGAAATAAGGGCTACATGTATATTATTTTTGTATATTTTTTTTTTAAACTCAAGTCTGTTACTTAACAGACTGAGCGTTCCACTGTACAATATTTAAGATTTGGTGGTTGAATGTGACGATTTGTTATTTTTATCCTGGATGGTTTCTTTAATAGCTGAGCTAATAAATTGTGAACTAATACTTATATTTTGAGTTTTATTATAGATTTATAGATTCTGTTAATAGTCATAGTTTCAGAATTTGATAGTATTGCTTGTATTATAGTATTGTATTACTTCTTGGGTATTTAATTTTTTATAAAGGGAGGGAAAATTTAATGAATCTTTTAACGTGTCAGCATATGACTTGGGTTTACTGTTTGCGATTTTCTTTTGCCTTATAGGGCACTGGCTAGAGATGGCAATGTGATTGCCATTACAATTAATGCACTTAGCTTTTTCAATGTTAACCTTGCATTCTTTGAAAGAATGCCCCTCTGTGCATATGGAGCATCGCGGTGAATTTTTACAAAATTTAGCTAGATGATCATAGCGTAAACATTTAAAACACTGTTTTATAGGTGGGACATATGTGGAGACAGGCCGGCGCCACATCTTAATGTGAACATAGTCCGGCAGTGACGTAGCAGACGCAAAAGTTATTACTACGCTCTGAGTAGGTTGCAGTGTGAAGGTGTTATTTTCTCCTTTTACTTTACGCATTATGCGTCGGACAGAAATGACTTTTTTTGTTGTTGATATTGCTTTATATATTTTGTGATTGGATAGATGAGCGGAAACCGAAGAGATAACTCCCGATAGTTCGGTGGCCCTAGCTGTTATTGAAGCTTTAAGTCGTTGTTCCTTTAGATATGTAGTATTTTCTAAAAAGGCATGTGCCAAATTCGAACGCTCGAAAACAACACCGATATTATTATATTTATTTATTTATTTTAAATATTGTATACCTTTCACAGAGCGTATAAAACTAGTTCTAGTACATCATGTCCCTATTACCGTATGGGACATCATTAGTACTTTCGACGAATACTAAGAGTTCAAACTTGGCTTCCGCATCTTCAGAGTATCGTGGACAATAATCAGCGACCCTAAAGGGAGCGAAGGCATTTGCATCCTGCAATACTGGCGAATCCTCGCTATCGGAATCGCTGCTTGTGCTGAAATTCAAGGACTCACCCGAATCCTTCTTTTTACGTTTTTTCACCATCTCTCCATATAAACACTTACAATACATATTAAGTTTTACTTCTTTACAATAAACTAAACAAAAATTTTCTAATTATAGTATAAAACTATTTAAAATAATTAAAATTTTCAAAAAGCCCGCGTCAACGTTTCAATTCCCGCGCTCTTTTTTTTCTTGTTTTCATTGGAATGATAGATGTCAACTGTCAATTTTTTCATATTCAGCTAGTTGACATATGACAGCGATTTGACATTTCCCAAAAGCCAAGTTCTTTGTTTGTTGTGATTATTCTTGATAATACCTTTAATTGATATTTCTGAAAGCCCCATTACTGTTGTATTGATTTAAACTGCATTAGAGTAATAGTTATCGTGGCGGACGGTATGTATGACGAAAGCAGCAGCAGCAGCAATAGTAATAGCAGCAAAGAGTTGACAGACTCGAAGCATTACGATGCAGTCTTTAATGATCTGATGCAAGAATGCAAGCATAGTGCCCCGGGTGCACGCCTCTCTGCAAAGTTGCGGACAGCTTTAGAAAGGTAGACGGCACACGGTCATATACTTATATAGATTAATATCTAACTACCTATTAATATAGTAAATATTATATTTTAATCATAAGAATATTGTGCTAATATATAATTTATCTTAGATTTAATTCTAAAAATAGAAGCAATCGTAATAGCAATCATAATTATTAGTTTTCAAAATTATATTTGAATTTTTTTAGTAGGTTTTATATTCAATTTAATATAATGTTCATTAAAAGTGCAGTAAAAAGAAGCCTATGGAATAATATCTTTTTAAATATATAAAGTATATGGGGCATTCTATTGTCACGGTTGGAACACTTGTACCTCGATTTTCAGCGTGTGTGGCTTATTTATCCTAATTGTATCAATGATATCTAATTGGTTTATATAGAATATAATAAATTTATCCATGTACTTTTATAGGTACAATAAAGACGGGAATAACACCATGTAAAATTTAATAAAGAGGACAGTGAATATTTGTCACGGGTGGGACAAAGTTGTGACATTCTTGTTACACATGCATCATATTTAATAAAACTCTGCTAGATGATAAAACCTTTTAATGCAGACTACAATATTTCTTTAAGACAATAAACTAAACTTCACATCGGAATAGAAAATAATGTTCTATTATTTACACATATTTTTACATAAAATAAATAAAGTGTGTCACGGGTGGGACACATACGATTTACTTGGTACAAGGAGTCACTTATAAGTTTTTATTTCTTGATATGGATGCTAGTTTCATCATGGGAGTCAGTCTGCATCAAGGTTTACATTTTAAACACTCAGCTTGACAGCTTTGCATCTTTTCAGATCCTAATCAGCATTAGATTCATTAATAAATTTTGCAACTTAATATAAAATAAAAAAATATTTACATACTAATATTTTTTAAATTATCATGCAATTTTAAGTATTTTTATCGATATATATAATAATTAATAAAAAGAAAAACTTTAAAAAATTACATCAAGGTTTACTTTCCCATATAATGATTTAGTAATTTTTTGGTAGGATCAGGTTTACTTATTTTTTCTAAATTATAAAATATTAAAGTTATAATTTTAGGGCATGATAAGTGTGTTTATATAATTCATTAAAAAATAAATATATTTAACTAAATGTTAGTATCAAGTAATAAGAAGCCAAGGAAGGGGATTATTTATTGAACTGTCTATATGTATGTATGGTTATTAATTTAGACTTTTACTGCATCCCAGACTGACAATGTATCTATTTCAAATGAGGATCTGTAGAGAGTGAATGAATGCTAGAAACTTTATTTAATAATTGTATATATTTCACCAAAGTTACTTCATACATAGGCATTATCAATAATAGGAGCTACAATGCAGTGAAGTTATTTTATAATATTTGTGGAGCAGGATGCCCCCGGAGGAGCGTCGCGCCGTGTGCAGTCGGACGCGCGAGGGCTGCGCTCCGCTGTTCGTGGCGTGTCGGCGAGGGAACGTGGAGCTGGTGGAGTACCTGGTGCACGTGTGCGCGGCCGAGCTGGAGCAGCGCGGGGTGTACGAGGTGCCGCACGACCGCTCCACGCACTCCGTCACGCCGCTGTGGTGCGCCGCCGTGGCCGGCCGCCTCGAGGTGCTGCGCGCGCTGGCCGACGCCGGGGCCGACCTGGACGCGGGCAGCGACAGCGGCTCCACCCCCGTGCGCTCGGCCTGCTTCATGACGCACCTGGACGTGGTGCGCTTCCTGGTGGAGCGCGGCGCGGACATCCACCGCGCCAACCACAACGGCGGCACGTGCCTCATCAACTCGGTGCAGTCCGTGCCGCTGTGCGCCTTCCTGCTGGAGCGGGGCGCGCACGTGGACGCCCGCGACATGCAGCACAAGACGGCGCTGCACTACGCCATCCAGGAGCACCGGCTGGAGACGGCGCGCCTGCTGCTGGACCGCGGCGCCTCTCCCCACCTGCGCTCGCGGGCCGGCGACGACGCGCTGCGCACGGCCTGCCTCAAGGGAGCGGCGCAGATCGCGGCCCTGCTGCTGTCCCGCGTGCGCTACTCGCCGGCGCGGACGGCCGACGCGTACGAGCTGTTGGGCGCCACGCAGCTGGACGAGTTCAACGACGTGGAGGCCGCGCTGGGCTCCTGGCGGCGCGCTACGGCCGTGCGGCACGCGGGCGGCGGGTACGTGGAGAAGACCGGCGACCCGCTGGACGAGCGGGCGGCGGGCGCGCTGGGCGGGGCGCGGGAGTGGCGCTCGGCCGAGGAGCTGGAGCAGCTGGCCACGGACGTGGACGCGCTCCGCACGCAGGCGCTGCTGGTGGCCGTGCGCGTGCTGGGGGTCGCTCACAAGGACACCGTGTTCCGTCTCATGTACCGGTCAGTAACACGCTCTTACGTACGCTCTCGCCTCTTTTTTCTTTTTTTTATTTATTTATTTCTTAGTATTAATAATGGTTTACAATTTTTCTTTTTGTTCTCACCAAGCTGTTATGCTTGACGGTGAGACACGCTCATTTTGTTTAAACATAATAAAAATAACGGTTCACAATATCTTCTTCTTCCTGGCATCTTCCCAGCCCTAGCCAGGGTCTGCCTTCCAACATAGACGCCTCCACTTTGCACGGTCTTGTGCATCCTCGGTGGTTAATCTATTGGCTCTCATATCCTGCTTCACGATGTCCAGCCATCGCTTCTTTGGGCGTCCTGGGGGTCTCGCTCCAGGGACACACATATCAAGGCAAATCCTCCCGACGTAGTTCTCAGGCCGGCGTGCAACGTGGCCATACCATCTCAGGCGACTCTCTTCAAGCTTATCCGCTACGTCACGGACTCCAAGACTACCTCGGATGAATGTGTTACGTACGCGGTCAGCCCGCGTAACGCCACACATCCACCTCAGCATCTTCATCTCCGTGACGTGAAGCTCCTGAGTGTGCCTGGACAGTACTGGCCAAGATTCGCTGCCATATAAGAGAACCGGTCGGATTATGCTCTTATATATTAGTCCCTTGAGCTTGGGCGGTATTCTGCGGTCGCAGACCACACCTGTGACCTCACGCCATTTCGCCCAAGCAGCGCTGATCCGGGCTTGGACATCGTGATCGATGCCTCCGGACTCATGCAGAATAGATCCAAGGTACCTGAACTTTTCCGACTTAACGGCTGGTTCAGGACCTATATGGATGGTGCAAGAGTCCGGGCTCCCGCAAGCCATGTACTCGGTCTTCGACACATTTAGTTTGAGACCACCGTTCTCAAGCGCACCCTTCCAAAGGTTCACTCTCCGCTCCAGCGTCAGCCGGTCCTCGTCAATGAGCGCTATGTCATCGGCATACATCATCAGCCATGGAGGCTGGTCCTGGATGTTAGCCGAGACGGTGTCCAGCACTACATTGAACAAAAACGGGCTAAGAGCCGAGCCTTGGTGCACCCCTACTGAGATCGGGAAGGGTTTTGTATCGCCAACAGCAGTCCTAACCATGGAAACGGAATCGCGGTACATGTCTCTGATGATGTCAATATAGGCCTCAGGGATCCCTTTGGTTCGCAAAGCCCACCAGATACATTGACGAGGCACACAGTCAAAGGCCTTCTGCAGATCAAGGAATGCGATATGCAGAGCTCTCCTTTTTTCCCTGTATGCCTCCATCAGGGTTCTGATGGCAAAAATGGCGTCCAAGGTGCCCGATCCAGGCTGAAATCCATATTGACACTCCGAGACAGTACACTCTCGGCGGAGCCTGAGGTCGATCATGCGCTCAAAGAGCTTCATGGTGTGACTCATGATCTTGACGCCTCTATAACTACCGCAATCTTGAACACTGCCCCTGCCTTTGTAAATGGGGGTAATGAAGCTATAACGCCACTGATGTGGCATAGTCCCAGTGTTCAAGATGCGGTTGAAAAGGCCCGTCAGTATGAGCACACCAAGAGAGCCCAATGATTTCCACGCTTCGATCGGGATATTGTCAGGTCCCACCGCTTTCCGATTCTTCATGCGTCGAAGACAATTCCGAGTTTCATCAGGTGTTATCGGGGCAATAAGTCCAAGATTAGGAGGTGGTTCGGTAGGAAGACTGCACGGGTGCTGGGTGTTTAGCAACTCCTTGAAGTAGCATCTCCATCTCTCCTTCACAGAGGCATGATTACACAGCAGTGTGCCCTGGGAATCTTTGACGCAAAGACATTTTGCGATATCTTGCGTCGCTTTATCCCGAGCTCGAGCCAATTTGTAAATGAGCTTCTGCCCCTCCGCAGTTTCAAGTGTATCATATAACGGTGATAACCTGTCACTGCGGGCTCTGGCAACAGCCCTTTTACTGGCACGTTTCGCTGCTATGTACTCTAGTCTGTCTTCAGGAGAGCGTGATTGCTGCCACTTCTTAAAGGCAGCCTTTTTGTTGCGAATCACCTCCTGCACTTCGTCATTCCACCACCACGTCTCCCTATCAATGACCCGTCCCCCCCTAGAAAGACCTAAAACTCGTTTGCCTGCTGTGATAATTGCTGACTGCGCTCGATCCCAAGCTTCCTGAGCAGATTCGGTATGGGTCAACAGATTTTGACTCTCAACCGCTGCCCGAAAGTTGGTCTGCGCCGTTCCATTCAGCAACCACCACCTGATCCGAGGCTCACGTTTCTCGGCTACTTTCTTTTTCGGGGTAACGACAAAGTCCATGACAAGAAGACGATGTTGGGCCGTCAGGCTTTCACCAGGAATGACTTTACAGTTAGTCACCTTGCCGATATGACACCGTCTGGTCAGCAGATAATCTATTTGGGTAGAATGGGACCCGCTTTTATACGTGATAAGGTGTTGCGGAGTCTTTTGGAAGAACGTGTTCACGACGGCCAAGTCAGACGCAATACAGGTTCTGAGAATGGTTTCTCCCTCTGCATTGCGGCGACCATAACCAAAACCACCGTGTACACGCTCGTACGTATCCGCAGCCCTACCTACGTGGCCATTTAAGTCCCCCCCAACTATGATTACTTCAGCAGCTGGAATAGCGCGTAGAACCTCTTCAAATTGCTCCCAGAATGACTCTTTTTCTGACTCGCTACATCCCGCCTGAGGAGTATAGGCACTGATTAAGTTAGTTATGACTCCCTCGATCAATACCCGCACCCGCATCAGGCGGTCGCAGCGACGGTCGATTTCAAGAAGACCATTCTGAAGCTCTTCAGATAGCACTACCGCTACACCAGCTTTACCTGAAGGCGACCCAGTGTATATCAGCCGGTAACCCTGCCCGATGTTGCGAGACTTATTGCCCTTCCAGCGAGTTTCCTGAAGGAATGCACACTGGACCCGACGTCTCATGAGTACATCTGCGAGTTCTCTGCATCGTCCGGTTAGAGAGCCAATATTCCATGTAACATGTAACAATATGTACACAATAAAATTAAAGAAACAGAACATAACATCATTATTCGTCCTTTATATACGTCATAAACGTTCGCCCGTAAACAATTAGTCCGTAACTTATCAACGAGTCAGCAAGCACAAAGTACACGATCCTTAACGTATGTTTATTTAACACCCATTTTAATTGATAAAGTTTACATAATACTGATTTTAACCTACTACAAACATCATTTACATGTATCTTCCGGTTGAAATTACTATCAATGTTTAGGCCTAAATACTTAAATCTATCTACATGTTGTAGTTTTATGCAGTTGCAGTTTAATTTGTTGTTATGTAAACAATCATACGTGTACCTACTACAGTAAGATATTGTGACTCAACGTACTTAGCTCTCAGATTACATGGCGAGTACATATGCATACATTTAGTTTTTTCGTTATTTAATATGTTTCCATTATCATGTGCCCATTTGCAGAATGCAGATATTGTCGAAGTCCTCTTGTATATATTTTTGAATTTCCGTTATATCTTTTGACGCATACATTAAACACATATCATCTGCGTACATGAAAACCGACATTTATTGACAACAATTGATGTATCAATAATGATTTATTATTGATAGGTGGTCTATATATACCTATTATATGCGTTACATTCTTCCCAATCCTAAGATGGCCATGAAGTGTTTCTACGGCGTCTGTATAAGGCTTATGAACGTCAAAGTTTAATTTCTCTTTTGAATATATTAATATGCCTCCTCCTCTAGATGTTTCTCTTGTATGTATAAATGTATTATATCCCAATATCTGGTAAAATAGTAGCTCATCCTTTTTTATGTTGATTTCAGTTAATATTAATATATCGATTTCGTATAAAATTTTATCCAATAAGACTAATAGCTCATTAAAATATTTTCTAAGTGACCGTATGTTTAGGTGAAAATATGTATGCGTTCAATGTTTTAAGTTATATAAATGTTTAAAGTTGTTATGTTGTCATATCTTTTAAAGGAAAAATCATTCAAGAAAATATCTTCAGAATCGAATGTTTATGTTAGGAAATCACATCGTGTGTGTACGCTGCGCAATGGGCGAATATTATTTATTTGATGTCATCAAATTTGTTTAGATCATCTGCCGACCGTATAATATAAATCTTTTTTTCTTCATTATTTTTTTTAACTAGAATATTAAGATTTTGAACCCAAATATATTGATATCCTTTAGGTTTTAGTTTATTTCTTACACTCCATAGAAGTTGGCGTTTGAATTTCGGTAAACCTTCATTTATGTAAATACGTTTATCGCTGCCATTACCGTATACTGTATTATTCGTCTTCTTAATTCCTTTCTTTCTTACACTTTTCCAGGTAGATGTTTTTTTGTTCCAGTAAGTTAATTTTTTTCTGAGAATCCTCTTTATATTGTATTAGTGTTTGATACATTTCAGCATAGAACTCAACAGAATTAGTCAGATCTTCTATTTTCTTCTCTAACTTATAAACTACCTCCAGTTTTTTATTAATTTTCTCGCCTGATGACTCATTAGGATTTATTGTGATGTTGGAATCCTCGGCAGAGCGTAACGGCTTAGTTTTTTGGCATTCCTCACATTTTTAAGTTTGTAAAAACTATTTGTTCATACATTTTTTGTGGAAAATAGACTCACATACACCTTTACATTTTATATATATATATATGATCTTTGGATAGTGAGACAAAAAGTTTGCATTTTTTACACTGAACCATTATTTCGCAAATAATGTCACAACTCGGTACAACTACGCGACCGTACGCCGAGCGCGCGCGCCGGTGACTGAATCTTGGATCTCTAACGTCCAGATGATTCTCACTAAGTCTGTCCGCCTACAGAGGAGCGTCTTACGCCGACGCCTTCCGCTACCAGCGGTGCATCGATCTCTGGAGCTGGGCGCTGCAGATTCGTATCGAGAAAGATTCCCTGCTGTACACGGGTGAGCGTCCTCTCGAGTGTAGATGATAGTTTCTGTTCCCCTGTGTCTGTACCTGTCCGAGTTGTTCGTCTCTGTGTCAGACACGTGCCACACGGCCAGCGCCCTGACCCGCCTGCTGCTGGACGCGGGCGGCGGGCGCCTGGAGCGCGCCAGAGGTCTGCCGCGCCACCAGGACGTGCTGCGCGTGTTCTCCCTGCTGGCCGACCACCTCCCCGGTCAGTCTCTACTCACCATCTCTATACACACAGTGTCACGTGAGCCTCCCTCCCTTTAACCCGTGTCCGTGTTGGTCACAGAGTGTCGCCGCGCGCTGGTCGCCCGGCCGGTCCACAAGAAGCAGGCGGAGACGTTCGACCGCGCGCTCCGCTGCGTGTCTCACCTGCTGCACCTGCTGCTGCTGACCGCTCGCTCGGAGACTGAACACGAGGAGGTACGAGCCTCAAAGGCTAAATAATGGACAAAATCATACTATAAACTACTGCAATGGAGTTTCATTAATAAAGTTAATATAACATCAAAAAACGATAAAACTATAAAGACACCCTACACGAGAATATAACTTATCAAATAGCATACGATTATAAAAATATTAATACAACTTTTACTTCATTAAAAAAAATTTAAACCAATGTAACGAGCTTATTAAAACCATGCAAATTAGACGAAATAAATATCATTTTAAAATCTTTTAAGTACACGATACACTTATACAGTAATAGCTACAGATAAAATACTCTAACAATAATATTACATATAATATTAGCTGCCCGCCCCGACTTCGCCCGTGGTACTTACATGTATTATACATATAAACCTTCCTTAAGAATCACTCTGTCTATTAAAAAAAACCGCATCAAAATCCGTTGCTTAGTTTTAAAGATCTAAGCATACATAGGGACAGACAGCGAAAGCGACTTTGTTTTATACTATGTATTGATAATAAACACAATACTTAAATAATAACTATAACATTGCATAATTAATAAAAGTACATAAATACTATACTTATACTTAAATACATGTCTCATACTAAGGAAAGATAGTGTTCTTGTGATATTTTGCAAGTATTAAATGGTATTAATTATTGACTCATTATTTATTTATAACAAGGTCAAGGCATGTCTACATTATTTTTTAAAACTATAAATTCAACTATACTATAAAGGTGATTCTATAACCAAGTGTTTTAATTGTTCTCAAATCTGCAATGTTTTAATTTTGTCAAACTGGTAATGACGTCAATTTTAGGAGAAAGGGAGGGGGGTCATTAAGAAATGACGCTAGGATGATTGTAGGGGGGGGTCTAAAATCTGAAAAAATCGATGACGTAATTTATGGACGGCCCCTTAGTGTTATTAACAGAAACATGGATAAAATCCGATCAAGATGCTGATGCAATACAACTACCGAATTATACTCATATCTTTAACTACAGAAGGGGTGGAATTGGTGGAGGTGTATACATTTATATACATAAGGGTTTGTGTCATCATGTTACCGAAGAAAAATATTTAGACGGAAATAACTTTTTATGTATTTACTTAGAGAGATACTCTATTAATATTGGATTAATATACAAACCACCAAGTACGAATACAACGAGATTTTTCGAACAATATTCTTCACAATTAAAAAACAAGAAAAAAATGTAAAATTTTTAGTGATTTCAATATAAATTTATTAAAACATTATTTTATTATGTACTAAGAAATATATTAGTAGTGTTAAAGAGGCTGGCTTTGATATATTAAATAAAATAGACAACATTTACTGCACCAGAGAAACAGACACATCATTATACATCATGTTTGTACAAATATAAATCAAAAATTTAATTTTACTATCATCGATTCACCTCTGACGGATCATAAACAAATATATTGTGAGATAAAAAAGGTTAAACGTGAATCTAAAAGGAAACTTAAATATGAAGTCATAAATTATGATACCCTTTATAAGAACATTGACGAGTCTAATTTTATAAACCCTGATTGTGATTTTAAATTATTGGAAAACTTTATTGTAACCCAAATACAGCAAAATAAACTAACTAAATACTATAAGATACAAAACTTACCTAGAAGTGATTGGATCAAAAAAATATAATTCAAGATATAAGTCAGCGAAATTTGTTATGGAATAAACTTAAACAAGATTAAAATAATAAGGAATTAAAATTTAACAATAAAAGAAATAAAGTTGGTGAAAATTTACGAAATACTAAAGACAATTACTATTACCAAGCTTTCATAAGGTGTTTTAATCATTCAAAACGTTTGTGGGACTTAATAAATTCCATAGCAGTAAATAAAATCAAAAATAAAAGCTGTGCTCCTCCGAAATTAATTATAAATAATGAGACTATTACTGAAGGAACTAACATATGTAATTTCAATTATTACTTTTTATTTATAGGCAAGGTGTTAAGTTAAGTTAATTTTTTACCCTTAAAGCTCTGGTTTCGTTCAAAAGACATTATAAAGCGTATTTTATATACAAGTAATTACTGCTTTTCATACTTATTAAGTTATTACCAATTAAATATTTCTTACTTTATGTAAAATAGACGAGGACAAGTACCGATGTATTACAAATCAGAAAGAAAACAAAAACAATTAAAAAATGACACTGGTTTCGGGGCAATCAATATACTTAAACTCTATCTATTTATTCGCTAAATATTATTAAAACATTGAATACACTATTCTTATTGAAATAGGTTTAATTAATTCTGATTCCCAAAAAGGGTTGATGTCAGGCAGGCAACCGATCGTAAAAAAAAAATAGCCAAAACTATTGATAACATGTAAGGCAAACCGTGGTTACAGCTGGGAAAGTGCCAGGAAGAAGAAAAAGATATATATTTTTTTAATTCTCGCTTTAAAATTTTTTGAGGCGCGAGGCCCCTTTGTACCGCGAGGCCGTAGGCGATGGCCCACGTCGCCAACGCCTTACGCAGCCACTGAACACAAGTACAGGGATTGATGGGGTTACAGTTAAATCAATAAAATGTATAAAAAACCTAATAAGTAAAAATTTAAGTCACTGTATAAATAAATCCATAAGTAAAGGAATTTTTCCATATAATCTTAAAATTGCACGAGTAACTCCAATATATAAATCGGAAACACAATCAGACCCTGGTAACTATCGACCTATTTCTGTGTTACCCGTTTTGTCAAAAATATTTGAAAAAATCTTTCATAATCGCTTAAGTCAATATTTAAATGATATAAACTTTTTTTATCACAAGCAATACGGTGTTCGTCCGTAAGCAGGAACGCTTTCTGTTACAATTGATCTCATCACTAAAATGAAAAATAACATTGATAGCAAAAATATTGTACTTAGTAGGAGTTGTATTGTAATACTTGTTTATTTTATTTTGGAAAATCCATTCGCAGAATTATTGAAACAGCTCAAAACGATTTAAATATCCTAAACGAATGGTTACAGTACAATTTATTTACATTAAACGTCTCAAAAACCTCATATATGATTTTTTCGACAAAAAATAAATCTATTCCTTCCCATAATGAATTGATACTTAACAATCAAATAATGGAAAATACTTGGGATTAATTTTGGATAAAAATTTAACTTGGAAAGCTAAACCTCATGTAGATTCCATACATTCCAAAATAACTTCGCTTACTGGAGCTTTACGTGAATCTGCACGTTGTATTCCTCCAAGAAACATTATTTACAATACTTTAATAAAAGCAGCATTAGAATACCTTATAGAAATATGGGGCAACGCGGCTAAAACACATATAAAAAATTTGCAGATCTCTCAAAATAAACTTATCAAGGTCTTATTTCATATGGATTATTATACACCTACTAAAGATTTATATAAAACAACTAAAATTTTATCTATGAAACAAATGTATAAATATTAATTATGTATACTTATTCGAAAAATATGAACTAACCTTACTCATTCTCAAATTACATTTTAAACCAAAACCCATTCTTACCACACAAGGAACAGATATAACCTAGAAACACCTAAAACTCGAACCAAGTACGGCATTAAAACTATTTCATTTGAAGGAGCACAGCTGTATAACTCTTTGCCTCAAAGTGTTGTCAATTCAAAATCTCTAAATATATTTAAAAAACGATTAAGAACCCATATGTTAGATGATTTCACTGATCTTGTTTAATATCCCTAATGTTTATTATTTGTAATATCTTAATTGTAGTTATAATTTTTAAAATTTCCTTTGTAAGCGAACTTTGTTCTTTTTGGAAATAAACTTCTTTAAACCTAAACCTATGTTGTCCCCCCCCCCGCGCCTGTCGTTCGCGTCTCCCCTGTATGTGTACGTGTCCCAGGTCCGCGCCCGCGTCCGCCGCCTGGTGTCCGCGGACGTCCGCAGCGCCCACACGGGCGACACTCTCCTCCACCTGTGTGTGTCGCGCCTCAACGTGGTCCGCTCCACGTACTTCGCGGACGAGACGGCGGTCCCGGTGAGTGTCCTCCTAATGTGGTTAATTACTGGATTTGAAAAGAAACGTCTTTTTAGCTGTAAGTCGTATTTAATAATAATACAAGATTTTAATATAACATAAAGTAAGCTTGGGCCAATGGGTGGTCCACCATATTTGGATGTATACATGAGATGTTTTATAAAGGAGACTTTAGACTAGACTCAATTCTATAATATACCATACACACTATATTTATTAGTTATTACACTTCACCTCCGGGGGTGAAAAAAAATAGGCTTACACATATTTTTTGTATACTACTTAACAAAAAGTTTTATTCTATTCTTATGTACTATGTCTATTTTATTATCTTTAATTATTTTAACATTGAATCCCATATCTTCTAATACAGTAAATGGTCCATTAAACAGTTCATCTAATTTTCCACCTGTTTCTTACTTTACTAAAATTAAATCATCTTTATTGTAAACAACAGGATTAACATACATAGCATATTTAGTTTTTCTATGTAACAAATATATATATTTGCTATATATTTGCTATGTAACAAATTATTTCGGGCATCTTTATAAGCAACTTGCAACCTATATTTAAGTTCACTAACATAACTTTCTGGATTATACATAGGTTCTACTGTATTACATAATCGATTAGGGATATTACATTGTCTACCAAATACAAGTTCAAACGGTTGGTATTTTGTTTCAGTATAGACAGTAGTATTAAAGCTAAAACTCCAGTATGGTAACCAATAAGACCAAGATTGCTTGTTTTTGTCGCAATAAATTCGTAAAAATGCTCCTAAATTTTTATGAGCATTCTCTAACGAACCTATTGACTGATGATGGTATGCTGTTGATGTAATATTATCTATGTTTAATAATTAATTTGCATACCTGTTTCATGGTGGCAGCAGTAAACTTAGTTGATATTATTTTAGGGATGCCGAATCTTAAAATAAAATTATCAACTAACGCCCTAGCGACACTAATGGAATCCTTATTCTTAAGTGGATAAGCATCTATAAACTTACTTAACTCACACTGAATGAACGACATACGGCTCCTTAAGTTCTTTGCGACGACTTCAAATTGTACTGAAAATTCCTACCAAAACTATGCTTGCAAACTCCCTCCTTCTTTCAATACTCGATTACGCGGACGCAAGCTATCTTAATCTAACCGAGGACCAACTTAATTATCTTGAGCGATTACAAAATCTAGCTCTTCGGTTTATTTTCGGTTTCCGAAAGTATGACCACGTTTCAGAGTTTCGTTCAAAGCTCAAGTGCATACTCTTTCTCTTCTGTACTGTGTGTTATTTAATCCAAATGCTCCTCAATATCTGAAGGAGAAATTTGAATTTTTAGGAGACCAGTCTAGAATTCGACCAACACGTAGGCTCATACTGAAAATGCCTGCTCATAACAGCAAATTTTACTGCCAGTCGTTCATTTTTCAGGCTATAACTCTTTGGAACGACTTACCATTGAGCATTCGAGGGTCGAAAACAGTACAGGCTTTTAAAAACTCCGTAAAGAAGTTATATCTCTCATCACAGTAATGATGAAGACATGATTAAGACAAATATTTAATAACGTCATATATGTATATATTATGTATATATATGTATGTATGTATTTATATGTATTTGTATGTATGAATGTAAGTAAGTATGTATTTATTGATATATATATATGTATATTATTGAATATTTATAACTATTATTTTAAGAATATTTAATATTGCATCACCCTACACTGTCTTCCAAACACAATCCTCTAACCCTAGGTAGTCTGGAAGAAATGGCTAATAAGCTATAAGGCCGCCTTTTGTTTCACTATTAGTTTTTAGTTTGTAGTTTTCTGTAATTGTTTGTATTGTAATTGTTGTGTGCAAAAAAGAGTTAAATAAATAAATAAATGCCAAAAATCTAAACATTGTAAATACATAAAAGAACCTATGACTATAACAACAACTGCGTCATATGCATTCGAAAAGATATATATGGATGTAGTAGTATAATTCCTCATACTCGAGGGTGATCATTCCTTTCGTCTTCAGAGTTAATAAGAAAGGGTGTATTCTTTTCTGCATCGCACTCTCTATCTTCTTGCATTTCTTTCTTTTGCTTATATCTTATATTTATGACACTCCTCCGTCCCCAGCCGGTGTTCCCGAGCGTGAAGGTCGTGTCGCTGCTGCTGTCGTGCGGCGCGGACGCCCGCGTCCGTAACGAGGCGCGCTCCACGCCGCTGCACGTGGCCGCCATCCCGTACAACTTCTCGACGCAGCTGGTGGACACGCTGCTGGCGGGCGGCGCGCACCTCGACCAGCCCAACAGGTTCGGGGACTCGGCCGCCGAGCTGGTGGCGCTCAACCGGGGCTCGCGGGTGCGCGTGCTGCGCCACGTGTCGCTGGCCTGCCTGGCGGCGCGCGCGCTGCTGGCGGCCCGGCGGGAGGTGGCGCCGCACGCGCTGCCCAGGACGCTGCACGCCTTCCTCGACCTGCACCGACCATGAACACTCGACCCCACACGCTCCTCGCGATACATTCCTCACTCCCGCAACTACCATATCCATTACCTTTGTCTACATATGTTATATAAACAACTCAGTATTTCAGTGTTTGAGTCAGTCCCCTTCCCCGCGTCTCCCGGTGTCGGTTAACTTCCTCTCAGAGTATTGTCGCCCCGTGTGTACTCAAAATTCTCACGCACGTAACAATTTTTCCAAATTGAAGCGGTAGTAGACGGTCTATGTCATATTTATAGTATTTGATAAATTTTATAAGAAACACGAGAACGACAACTATAAAATGTAATGATAAAGGTTTCTTTAAAAGAATTGTTAGTTTCTTAAAATAATATAAATGTTCGTAGGTAAACTATTTTTGGTTCTTTTTTTTTTAGTATTAAAAGTTGTTATTAAGATAAAGTTAAGATTAGTTTGCTCTAACTCAGCGTCGCCGACATTTATAATAAGTGGCGATACAGTCTTCTATGTTGTTGTTTTTTTTTTTATATTAGTATGTATCTAGTATGTGTAGGTACTAGGTCGTAGCTAGTATTCCTCTCGTAATCTCTTCACTTCTAGTCACATCAAATAAAACATTATAAGTATTAAAAGTATTTTATTGGATCCTATTTACATAACGCACGCTGATACCACCACTTACCTGAAATAAACAAAATACGATTTAAAGAAAATCATGTTAAAAGTCAATAGATATGCAGATCCACGTTCAAACCAACTTTAAAAAAAGAAGTATTTGTTTTAAGTAAAACTTCAAATATTGACATCATTTTAACATAGTTACCTAATAAAGAAATCTAGTGTATCGAGTCGTCTCCGTAAAATAAAACCTTTTAAAATTAATTCCCGAAGTGCTATATTAATGAATTTACTACAATTTCGATATAAATTAATTAATATCAAAGGACCATCGTTATCTACCGATAAATCCAAGTTAGTCAGTGGTTATTACGTAATTTAAAACTTTTCAGTACAAGTGTGATTAATGTTTAGTTTTCATGGATATTTGTCATCTTTATCGTTTAACAGTGAAAAATTATAGAACAGTGAACAGTTTTGAATTCGAATTATAACAAATAAGGATACGATAAGACTAAATTAAATACAATTAATTATTGTAATGTGACAGTGAAGACAACTCGTGAGCTGTTAACGTTGACGTTCTTTGTTCCCGGTCGTTGACCTTCTAACAGCTAGGGATCACTAGCACCATATACTCGAAAAATTCCTAATACGATTAAGATTCGCAGATGACTTAGTCTTGCTCTCAGAATCCAGCACCCAGCTACAACAAATGATAGAAACTTTGCATCTAACAAGTACCAGAGTGGGATTGGAAATGAATCTCTCAAAGACCAGGGCAATGACAAATATATGGAGAAGACGAATCACAATAAAGGGAGTGCCACTTGATTATACAGACTCATACATATATTTAGGGAAGCAAATATGTTTTGATTTGAAAAACAACGAACTGGAAGTGAAAAGAAGAATACCACAAACGTGGAATAAATATTGGAGTTTAACGGAATTTTTTAAAAGTGATAACCTTTTTATTTCACTTGAAACAAAAGTAATGAATTGCAATCTCCTACCAAGTTTGACGTATGGGTGCCAGACGTGGAAGTTTACTTCAAAAATAAAAAACCTAATCACCACCTGCCAAAGAGCACTGGAACGTAGCATGCTAAAAATAAAAACACTAGACAAAATACGACACACAAAAATAAGGGAAATAACTAAGGCAACAAATGCACTAAATTACGCACAAAAACTAAAGTGGAAATGGGCTGGCTGGAAATATGTATACAGCTCAAATATATATAAAAAAGAAAAATATGTAAACTCTATTTAAAAGAAAACAAATGTGGTTCAAAAGTAATATATAAACGTAGATTTCAACATATGTATAAATATTATATTAAACATGTTTTAGGTTAAGAATATAAGTTAGTACTTAAATTTAAAAAGTTACTCTGTAAAACTAATTAGTAGGAAATAAAAGGCTTTTTATTTATTTATTTATTTATTTATTTATTTACATAACATGGTCTTATTAAATAAACGTATAAATAATTTAATTTTGGACGGATCGTGGCAGTGAAGAGTCGAGATCATACGGAGTAGAAGAACACGAGGAAGACGTCACGCTATACTTAATACACAACTCAAGAAATATTTATTATAACAATAAAGGAAGCGCTTGGATAAACATTAGTCGGAGTCCATCAGTCGGGAGGCGTCGGCTCAGAGAGTGAGGCGGAGATACACGAGAGAGAGCAGGACGGACGATACACGGAGAGAGGGGGTCGGCCGGGGGGAGGGGGAGCGGCCCAGGTTACGACGGTGACGGTCCACGATGAAGATGCGACCTCCCATGTCTGGATCAAACAGAATTGAACATGAAAAATACTTTATTACCAGCACTAACTCAATGTTAACAGGGAACACAATTACAAACATAACAATATTTTGCTGAAGTGATAACATGGCGCGATTTCCAGGGGCGTCCACACTAAGCGAGCTTGTGTCGTGGTCGTGGATGCCTTATTTACGAATAACTAAAGCAAGTTTCACCTACGGTAGATGGCGTGTTCTTTATAAAGATATTACAAATGGCTCAAAAGTGTTAAATCTTAAATATAGAAAGAAAAAGATAAAAAAAAAACAAGTAAATAAAATGGAATAACATAAATATATAGTAATTATTATTACGATTACAAAATATATCTATCAATAAAAATAAATCATTGTTTTTCACATGCGCGTTATATTTTGCGTGTTCACGAGTTTGGAAACCATCCGCTTAATTTGTGTTAAAGTTAGACCAAAAAACAAAAAATGTGGTTTACAAAGGACCACTTCAATGAAACGAATAATTTGCGGACACGTATAACGCTCGATTCGGTATCTACTTTGGATTCACTTTCATTTACTTACTTAGAGAAGTTCAACTAAATAACACTTCATTTTTGTAATCGAACTGAATTGATTACTATCGTGAAATGAAATAAAAATTGTCCTTTTCAAATATAAAACAAAAAATTCTTCATCTTTTAATCACCAAACGAAATGTTACATAAACGCCTTCTGGTGGTGAAACGGAGTTCGTCGGGTTTACGAGTATATACATATGTATATAAGAAATTTTAATACGAATTATTAATACGGGGTGGTTATGCTATTATTATTAAATAGTCGCTCATAATATATGACGTTTGTATTTTTAACATAGCGCCATCTATTGGATACTTAACTCAGTCAACAGATAATTGTAATAATGACAAATAATTTTCTTTAATAGACAAATAATTTCCAATAAAATAATATTGTGACTATAAATGCTGATGTAAGCTTTCCTATCTTTCAAGTTGGATCAAAATGCACACGGAATGCAAATCAAATTTAAAATCGGTTTAGTAGTTTAGGAGTCCACTGCGGACAAACACGTGACACGAAAATTTTAAATATATATAAATATACACATACACACACTCACATATATATAATAAAGTAAATATACAAGATATACCTAAATATAATTATCATGAATCTGAGATCACGTTTGTACGATAAGAATTTTTTCAGTATTTTCATAAGACAATGAAATTAGCTTCATTTAAAGTGCAACGTTTTATGTCACATAAGCTGGTTCCTTTATTATATACAAAGTGGCAAATAAAAGGATTGAAACGTCGTGCAAAGGATGAGTTAACAGTTGATACTGGTACTTTAAAAATACGACGCTTCAACATATTAGAATATTCATAGAGTTGACAATAGCTTTATGAACAAACAGAGTTATATTTTGGATAAACAATTTACGAACACTGAGTACTTCACTGAGTAACTATATTAGAAGTGAGGACACGCGGAGTAGTGGGTGGTAGACGTACCCGCGTGTGCGAACGAGTGGTAGTAGACACGGTCGGGCCACGAGGAGTTGGGAGCCACCTGCAGCTCGGCCGCGCGACCCGAACACGACCACACCAGGGAGCGGTTGAAGGAACGGAAGGTGTCGTAGGAGGCGTCGCGGCGCGGGTCGGCGAGCGGCGGACGCTCGGCCGCGCACAGGCCGCCCGCCGCGGACGGGGTGAGGCGGCCGCGGCGGCGGGTGTGGCGCGCGCCGGCCAGCACGCGCACGGCCCGCTGCGCGCCGTCCGCCAGCCGCTCCAGGCCGCCGTGAGGCTCGTCCGTGATCACCAGCGGGTGGTACAGGCCGGCCGAGTGCGGGTCGTCCCCGGCGCGCACGCGGAACGTGTACACCAGCCCGCGCCGCAGCTGCAGGTCCGGCGCCAGCTGGCCGTTGACGTAGAGCGCGCGGTGCGGGGAGGCGGGCGGGTCGCCGGGGAGGAGGGGGGGCCGGGAGCGCAGGCCGCGCGCGCCGCCCGCCGGGCCCAGCGTGGCGCGGAACACACGCAGCGACGGGTCGAACAGCTGGGCGCGCTCCCAGCCCGCCGGCCGCGGACGATCACCTCTGAGGACGAGAAGGATTGAACGACTGGACGAATAATGCTTTTATATAAATCACTATACTCCAGCCACATTCGATCTGGAATTTTAGTAAGCAAACCATGAGTCATCATAATTAGGGTTGATACACTCTTAACAAAAAATAATTATGATTATAATTACAACTATATTCATTATAACACAATTTCCTGTTTAAACACTAAAAAATTAATTTAATATAGAATGGAAAAATTTTATTTAGCCGGTCAATACATAATTTATATGAAAATTTGCTTAAAAAAGTTTAAAAATCTTTAATTACCACTATAATATTACTACAAGACTAACAACCCTATATTTTAAAACTGACGTAAAGAAATCGCAGGTTTGTAACATTTGGAGTGTTTTTTAAGCAATTGGCAGATTAAGGAAGGTATATATGTAATAGCGAAGGTATATAATATATAACAGGCTCTTCGTAATTGGTGGTGTATATTTTGAGTCGTATTATAATGGTAGTATAACCACAACAGGTTAAGAATGTTAACATACACACAACGTTTCATTACACACAGATTAAAAAAAAGAAATCTTGTTTTGGCTAGCATAAATATAGCACTATAATCACTCTTTCAACCACATATATTTACAATTTCTTTCAATATATATATCAGATAAAATTTAATAAATTTTATTGCGGTTACATTTTAATTAATTTAAAATAATATTTTTTTAACGCAAATAAAGTTAAACGAAACGTAACTACGTAATTTTGTTGCATTATACGCCCGCCATAATGTTTGTTTTGTTTTTTTGTTAACTTTGCTTACAATTCGCGAGTGTTTGATTCTGGTGTTCTTCCGTTCTGTTATTAATTGTTAGATTTTGTTATCGTTATTTTGTTTTAATTCGTTATTGTTATAAGTTTGTTGTTATCAAATATTGTTTATATTAGATTGCGATGACTAATATTGAATAGCCTGGTCCGAGTGGGATTGTATCTGTAGCGAAATTCAAATATACACAAAAATTAATTTAAACGAGTCCTGTCGTTTGGGAGGTGATGGATAAAGTTATTAAAGCGAATTATACAGGGTGACTGGTGAATTACTATCAATATTTAAGGAGCATACTCGGTACATGATTCTCATTCGAATTATGTAAAAAAAATAGGTACTTAATTTTTGACCAAATTTCCGTATAAATAAATAAAGTGTTGACACGTTCCAAGTGTGAACGCGTGCGGCGGCGTGCTGATACAACAAGACGCCGCCGCGCGCGAGTGTGTGTGTGTGTGTATACCTAATCTGTAGGGTGTTCATACGATGCGTAATTAATTACATAACTTTTGGTTAACTTTACTTAGAAGTTTATTAATATTTATGTTATATTAATTTTTATTTTGTCATATATGATCGTCAAATATCACGTCCTCAAATATCGATAGTAATTCACCAGTCACCCTGTATAACTACGAGGTAATTTCTGATATCATTTTAAAATTGGAGATATTATTTTTGACATATCTACATTATTCCAGATGATCATAAGTATTATAATTATTATAACCAAGAATTAGTCCTTTGTCTTAAATATTTTATTATTAATCATCAATTTTAATTTTCATTAACATCAAAAAAAAATTGTTGTACATATTTCTAAAAATGTTTTGAGCATCTGCCTGACGTTGGTTGCTAAGCAACGCTTTGTTATTAAACATTCGACATCAAATTTGGCTGGAGTATAGTTAGACCTTTACTTGAATATGCCTCAGTTGTTTGGAATCCGCAACACGAAACTTATATAAAAAAAATTAATAAAATCCATTATTTATTTAAAAAACATTTAAAACGCAGAACCTCTGGTAATAATATAACTATGAAGTAACGGCCACTGCCTTGTAATAGAAGAATCGAAAGAGATCAAATATTGTTACACAAGATACTGAACAATGTAATCGACTCCAGTTACCTTCTCTCTAGATTGAATCTTAACTGTCCTAGATTAAATTCTCGAAGTAAACCTATTTTTAATATACCGTATACCCCCATCAAATTTGCAGGAATTGCTTTTATTATTAGAAGTGCTAAACAACATAACAAGATGTTCTTTAAATTGGATATGTTTCATCTCTCTTTCCGTCAATTTAAATCTGCTGTAAAATATTTATTGAATGAATCTGAATGATATTAAACACAACTATATACTGCAATAATTTTGAATTTAAAGTTTTAATTTTAATATTTATATGTATAATAATTTAATTATTTCATAATGTATAATAATTTATAATTAATAGTAATCATTAATATGTTTTCTACACTCTGAAAGTTATTTATGTATGATTTGTCATAGGAAACTGTTTTGGTTTAAGGTTTAATTATGTACAACGTTTATAATTATTAATAGTACATACTGTTTGTTTCCAAAATATAAATAAATAAGTGGCAAGCTAAATGAGATTAAGTGTGAAGGTATGTGAGTACATTACGAAATCGAAGCAGTCGTTCTCGGGCGGGGAGGCGGCTAGCACGAGCTGTATGTCCGCGCGGGGCCAGGCGCGGTGGAAGGCGGGCTCGCGGGCCGCGTCCAGCGACCCCAGCGACCACACCACGAACACGGAGCGGTCCGTCGACCACGCGCGGTCGAGCTCCTCGGCTGGAAGAACGAGGGACGGCTGTGAGCATACACACACACACACGCACACACGGAGGGGGGGGGGGGGGCTCACACACCGGGCTGCAGGCCGCGCCTGTAGCTGACCACGGTGAGGCCGCTGTCCCTGGACGCGCTGAACACCTGGTTGGAGTCGAGCCCGCCCAGCCGCTCGTCGCGACACACGCCGCGCCACTGGCCCAGCACCTGCACGCACTGCAACACGACGAGCGCGTCACACACCTACCTACCTACCTGTGTATGTGTGTGTGTGTGAGAGTGTACCGGCACCAGCTCCGTGATGTTGTAGTCGGTGGCGAGTCCTCTCTGCAGCGCGGGGTCGAAGGCGGCCACCGCCACGTCGGCGCCCATCATCTGCGACCTCGTGCTGGAGCCCGAGATGCCGAACGCCATGTACTCGTCCTCGTCGATCTGTAACGTGTCATTTGTCAGCCGTGAGTCAGTGTCAGTGAGTATCAGTCAGCGTGTGTGTGTGTGTGTGTGTGTGTGTGTGTGTGTGTGTGTGTGTGTGTGTGTGTGTGTGTGTGTGTGTGTGTGTGTGTTCGTCACGTACCATGGCCGCCAGTTGTATGGTGATCTGGTTCCCGAACACTTCCCACGACACCTGGTAGTCTCTGTGCAGCTGCTTGCAGTGAGGTAGAGTCGTACTGGAAACAAATGATCGATCAGGGCGCGACTCTGTGTTTGTGTGTGTGTGTGTATGTATGTGTGTGTAGTCTTATTATTTTTTTTTATTTATTCATGTACTAAAAACAAGTAACACAGAAAAAAAAGAATAACAAAAAAACAAAGTGATACATAAGAAAGCTTATCTCTATGAGAGATCTCTTCCAGCCACCCTGGAGTGTGAGTAATATTATGTTAAATTACAGGCAAGGTAGGTACATCTTTAATTTTGGTGACAAAGAATAATTAAATTGCGTTTTATTTATTACTTTACATAAACATACTTAAATATATATAAAACTATTATAAATTATATGTTAATTTACATAAATACAAATAATATATACATACATACATATACCAAATATATATATATATATATATATATATATATATATATATACAGGGTGACTGGTGAACTACTATCGATATTTGAGGACGTGATATTTGACGATCATATATGACGAAATAAAAATTAATATAACATAAATATTAATAAACTTCTAAGTAAAGTTAACCAAAAGTTGTGTAATTAATTACGCATCGTATGAACACCCTACAGATTACTCTACACTACACACTCACACATACGCGCGCGGCGGTGTGTTGTTGTATCAGCACGCCGCCGCACGCGTCCACACTAGGAACACTTGGAACGTGTACACACTTTATTTATTTATACGGAAATTTGGTCAAAAATTAAGTACCCATTTTTTTTACATAATTCGAATGAGAATCATGTACCGAGTATGCTCCTTAAATATTGATAGTAATTCACCAGTCACCCTGTATATATATATATATATATATATATATATATACCTCCTCCCATGTAAGTTGTTGTAAGCCACAAAAATGCTATTTTGGTTTTATATGAAAAATATCCTAATATTAATCATTAAATCCATTCAAATAAAAAAAAAACAAAAAAAACACTATTTTTAAAGGATTTTTCAGACGTATAATGTTGTAATTTTCAAACGCGAACGGATTAAACTGATGTATATGCCTATGCAATTGTATACGCGGGGCGCGAGGTGGGTAAAATAAAGAGTTACATACAACAGAGTAAGACTTATGTTTTTCAACGTATACAGTTGTAACTATCATATACCACAAGTGATGCAGTCTGGGCGCCGCGGTATAATGTTGTAAGTATCAGATAAAACACCTTTTTTAGCTTCTACTCCGGAGTAAAATGTCGTATGAACAATATAACAACAATATCTCTTCAAATAGGCATATTAATTAAAATATCTTTTAACGTAGTTAAGAAGACTATTATGTTAAATTTAAATTCGAAATTTTAAAAAGATGCATCAATAAATACAGATTTTGGTTTAATTTGAATCTTTGAAACGCTCTCCTGTAAAATTACAGTTTTGGAGATACAACAACTTACGTGGGAGGTATCGATATATATATTTATATCTAATTTCTAATGTTGTGATGAAACTGTAAGATAATATTTTTTTAATCTGAATTTAAATGTATGTACTGAATTACAATTTTTTATAATAAAGCCCGGAAGAGAATTCCAAAGTTGAGCAGCAACCACCGTAAAGGATTTTTTGTAGAAAATACCATTATAAGGGGGTATATCAAAAGCTTTGTTTAAGACACAAGATTGAAGTGGTCTATCATACGGTGCAGAAAACTTGAATCGTTCGTAAAGATAGTGTGGAGTTGAGTGATTTAATATATTAAAAAGTGTGGTCAAAACATGTACATTACGGCGAAAACGAATCGGAAGCCACTTTAACTGACGTCTGAAATGGGAGACATGATCAAATTTGCGCAGTCCAAATATAAATCGAATGCATAAATTCTGAAGTCGTTCGAGTTTGTCAAGTAGCTCATCCGTAGCATCTAAATAGCAAACATAGCAACGAGGAGAGGGAGTAAAAGAGATTGAGCCAAGATAGTTTTCTTACGTGTGTGTGTGTGTGTGTGTGTGTGTGTGTGTGTAGTCTTACGTGTGCGGGTGTGTCCGTCGCGGCGCGGGCGGTACGTTCAGTCCGTCGGGCACCAGTACTGACGCGAGCGCCACCTTCTTCTTAACGTCATACACGGCCAGCCAGTCGATCTCGAACACAGTCCGTCCTCCCGGCAGCTGCAGGCGGACGTCCTCGCCCGAGTACGGACGGAGAGGCTCCAGGCTGGTCATACAGAGATACTCAATTGAGATTACTGAACATAAAATATCGTCTTCGAAGAGTTTCTTTCAAGTTATTATGTCCACTGATCCCCGGTCAAAGCTTCATTATAAATGTCGAGTGTTCATGTACGCAGATGATATGTGTTTAATGTATGCGTCAAAAGATATAACGGAAATTCAAAAATATATACAGGAGGACTTCGACAATATCTGCATTCTGCAAATGGGCATGTGATAATGGAAACATATTAAATAACGAAAAAACTAAATGTTGAGTCACAATATCTTACTGTAGTAGGTACACGTATTATTGTTTACATAACAACAAATTAAACTGCAACTGTATAAAACTACAACATGTAGATAGATTTAAGTATTTAGGCCTAAACATTGATGGTAATTTCAACCGGAAGATACATGTAAATGATGTTTGTAGCAGGTTAAGATCAGTATTATGTAAACTTTATCAATTAAAATGGGTGTTAAATAAACATACGTTAAGGATCGTGTACTTTGTGCTTGCTGACTCGTTGATAAGTTACGGACTAACTGTTTACTGGCGAACATTTATGACGTATATAAAGGACTATATGGACGTATAATGATGTTGTTCTATTTCTTTCATTTTATTGTGTATTGTGAACCGTTATTTTTATTATGTTTAAACAAAATGAGCGCGTCTCACCGTCAAGCATAACAGCTTGGTGAGAACAAAAAGAAATTGTAAGCCATTATTAATAGTAAGAAATAAATAAATAAAAAATGATCACTCACTATCCGTCTTCATCGGGTATCTTGAAGCCCCTGGAGGAAGGTTGCGGACCCACTCCGGTCCAGAAGAACACCTCCTCCCCGCTGCCGTCGTAGTGGAACTCTGGAATACTGTAGACACACACAACAATATACAGCGAACAGAAAGGATAGCTCACCACTAGCTACAGATTGACATGGACATAATGTTATAAAGGCTAATGTCTGTCTCACATGAAGGTTGAGGCGTCGAGGAACTTGACCGGCTGGCTGGTGAGCTGGTAGCCGGGCGCGGCCACCAGCGGCGTGAGGGCGCGCGGGGCGGGCGCCTCGAAGTCCTCGGGGATGTACACGTCCCCGAAGGCGTTCTGTGAGGCGAGGTCGTACACCGCCAGCCACGTGACGCGAGACACGCGCTTCCCGTCCGGCAGCTTGAGGCGGACCTCCTCGTTGTTGTAGCGTTCGAGGATGTTGGTCCTGGGGGGGAAACCAAAATATAAATCAAAACATTCACCTTCCAGATTCTTGTTAAAATACTTAGATGAAATAAACCCCTTTCTTGATGACCTCCGTATATTTAATCAACCTTCAACCGACATAACTGTGATACGACTATTCACACACAGATTAACAATATATTAAAATTGATTATACAATTTACTTATATTCAACAGAATTAAAAAGTACATTTATATTGTGTTATATATATATTACATACACATGATTCCTACAGAAACAGATATATAGGGAATATACAGGGTGACTGGTGAATTACTATCGATATTTGAGGACGTGATATTTGACGATCATATATGACAAAATAAAAATTAATATAACATAAATATTAATAAACTTCTAAGTAAAGTTAACCAAAAGTTGTGTAATTAATTACGCATCGTATGAACACCCTACAGATTAGGTATACACACACACACACAGACGCGGCGGCGGCGTAGTGTTGTATCAGCACGCCGCCGCACGGGTCCACACTTGCAACACTTGGAACGTGTCAACACTTTATTTATTTATACGGAAATTTTGTCAAAAATTAAGTGCCTATTTTTTTTACATAATTCGAATGAGAATCATGTACCGAGTATGCTCCTTAAATATTGATAGTAATTCACCAGTCACCCTGTATACAGAAACATACAACACCTACATGTCATTGTAATGTAAAAGTTCTAGTAAATTTGTAATATTATTTATATATTTTTTCACCAACTCGTTTACAATACAATGACACTGGTGTATCTATTGTAAAACTTGGTATTTTTTGCGTCATTTAAAGTTACATTGGAATTATTTTTATGTCGTAGCAAACTTCACAATAGTTGGAAAAGTTATACAAACAAAAAAGAAAATAATCTATAATATGGGTTGCATAAAAAAATTTAATATTAGTATATGGAAATCATATGAAATGTTGCAAAAATAGTTTTTATTCAAAAGAGTACATATATTATGTATTTTTTAAATAATTTTTGTTATTACAATTAAAATGTGAAGTAGATATTTTTTTTATAGAAAATTTACTCTCCTGTATGAATTATTACCTTGTTAAACTTTACAATGTTAAGTAAATATTGTAATAATTTATTAATTCCTTATAAGTAATAATGACTGATGTGAGTGTTAGTGATCTAAAGCCCTGTTCATAACTTGTAGGTTCATTCCATTAGATTATGTTAACTGAACATTGGTGATATATAATATATGTAAACCACTGACTTGCCATGTTGGTCGGCCACAATGAACCCTAGAGGTCCCGGCCGGCCCGAGTCTCCCGCCCAGAAGAATGTATCATCCCCGGTACCATCATAGTTGAAGTCCACCAACAGAATGGTCCAGTCATCTACAGCATACACATCGCCTGACACCTGAACAAATATTATACTTTGTTTTATGTCATCTCAACTCCTTATCTTTATAAAATAAACTTTATAAACTGTTACAACATTTTGTAATAATGCCAGGTATCTTGATTTCTCTTAATGTTTAATGTGTATTATTTATTGAGTCATTCATGGTCACAGAACAATAGACAGATATCTTGAAGGTGAAAGTTGTATCCAATACAGACCTGGTGGTGATATGAGTTTATTTTTCCTATATATTTCCCTCGGTAGGGTCCTTCGTCATCTTGACTGTAACAATCTGCAATAACATATATATTTTATCAAAAAAGTTTAAATATTAGTTTAGTGAAAGTTTACATTTAACATCGACACACGATAACAACGAACCTTGCGCTATTAATATTATTAAAACAACACATATTTTGTACATAGTAATACTTATAAAAATATATTTTCCAATAGTTTTCAATCATAACATTTGTAAAAACTTTTTAGCACTTCTCCCACTTCCGGTATTAAAATAACTTGACATGTCACAAAATATTTCTTTGATTGTTGAAGCTTTTACAAAGTACAAGTTGGACGTTTCATTGGTTCGTGTGTGGAGTGATGTTGTATCGAACCAATGACATTGAAGAACTTTCACTTTCGATACATTTTCTTCGAATAAGATTAAGGCAACTTAACGAAAGGTATTGCCAGTAATATAAAAGTTCTTGATATATTTTTAAAGATTTTGTAAAATATTTTTAAAGTTAATTTATAAAATAATTTTAAAATTGTTAAAATTTTACCAAGTCAAACCAGTATATTTTTTAATTCTTTATGACGTGGAACCTTGCCATACAAACCGTCAATCTAGTAAAGTGAACACTCGATAGTATGTGGTAACTGTCACCCAAATAATTTAAAACATTACAACCAATTTTAAACAATAGGCTTATAATATTTAATGGAATACCTATACTGTATTAAGTTCAATGTTATAAAGTACATACTTTTTAATTTTAGCAACCCTATCCATAAATTAGAACGAAACAGTCCTTCAAATAAACACAAGTTGTTTTGCTTTTAATTTGAATATTAATTTAAGTAAAGTTAATTGCCTACATGTCGATGTCATACAACATTTTGTTTCTAAGTAACATATTTTATTATAACATATTTTGTTTCTAAGTAATAATTAAGCGTCTTTTAAACATAGATATAACTATAGCTGCACTGCCCTAAACATACAAATAATCGTGATTTAGTGATCATTGTACCGGAGAGCGGACGGCGGGTTGACCTCGTGCCGTTACTATTTTCTACTGATGGCAATAAAGTTCTTTCTAATATTATACATAGCAATTATCATTGACCCATATCAGAGGTTTTCTTAAAACTTACTTCGAACCACTTTTATTACTATTTTGTACGTTATTCATAGCTTAGATTCAGCTTGAGATAAACTAGTATTTCTTATATTCCTAACTTGTAATGTAAATATGTAATACATAAAATTATAATATCTGTAATGGTGAGGGAGAACAATCTCTGAGCGTCGTAACAACGCGTGCATTTTAAAAATGTTGACGTCGCGGCGTCCGACACTTTCACTCGTCCACAAAGACGTTGGATGACATTCACTACGTCCTATTGGCACAGAAACTGTTACTGTTAGCTTTAACACACACTTGACTATATAAGACGTGCTTGTACTTGTATGAGATGCTACCGGATCATTATTTGTATAATGATTATTGTAAGGAATCACATTACAATTAGTCTTCGATATTTCAGGAGGATATACATTAAAATCGAAATGGAAACAAGTAATGATCGTTACTAGTAGATGTGGCTACCTTCTTATATAACGAGAAATAAAAGTACAAGATGGTAATGATAAGTTGTGTTGTTTCGAAAGATGATACAATGACTTACTTTATAGCGAGTTGTTACTTGTTAGGTAAGTCATAAGTGTAGTGCAGCTTATAGTGTTTCATAACTGAACACTTGTGAGACCTACGACTCTAATGTTGAGTTTAACTATTTCATATACACGTACATCTGTGTGAGATGATTTAGGACAGAGCATCATTAACGGAACACATTTGGTAATGTCTTCATTTCACTCCGGAGCTGTGTTGAAAGATTACGAAGAACTTCGAAACTTAGACTTTTTTGGAATCTATAAGTAGGCGAAGTAATATCTAGTCATCGGTAGAACAAAGCTTGAATTAAAACATAATCATAAAGGATCAAGTTCGACAGGTGTTATTGAAATATATTTTTTCATAGTAACACTAGGTACATGTATTTTAGAGGAAAAATAGTTAAAGAGATGGACCTTAGGAGGTCATGGAGAAGATGATAATGTATTTGATAAATAATGAGATCTAAGTCACATCACATCTCCTCTGCCCGTGATCACGGTTGCTGAAAAGTAACCGAAACGTCGGGAGTATGTAGTTCATAATCAAAAATAAATACGCGAAGTAAAAATCCGAAAATATTAGTTTTATTTGTATTTGATAAATTAATTTGAACAGATATGAAGGTGGAAATGAATACTGAAACCATTCTGATGAAGACGTGAACAGCAACCGACCTGCTGAAGATGGATCTCTCGCTTGTTGTGTGAGAGAGAAGAAAGAAAGATTGATAGGAGGAATGATGAATTGAAGGAAAGGATCCGGAGAGTACTGTGATAGTACGAAATAGAAAAGAATCTCAACGCTCAGGGAGAATCACAAGTGATATGATCTTGTGATGGATGGCGGCGGAGATCTGTACACCAAATACATTTATTGTGGACATGAAAGTTGAAGAACATCGCCTCTGTTATGATGCCTTCATTTTTAAGATCCTTATTCTCTTAGTTCTTATCTAACAGCTTTAAATAGTTTATAATAAAAAATGTGTTTTATTTTTTGAATACTCGGGGCTTAACGTGGGCTTTCTTGAGCTGTTGACTGTCATTTTGTATCAAGACTGGATTACATTACATAACTTAGAACGAAAGTAATGTTGACGATAGAAAAAGTAATTCAAAGTATTTTAATTCATTACTGTATCGCATCTCGTGAGCTAAAAGAAAGAAGAAATTTCCTAATGATCGTGTGATCAGTCTGCCAGTTTTAGTATTTAAGGTTTTCAATAGTCACACACTCATCGGAGCTCCCTGCTTGTATTGCCGGAGAACTAATTCATTGGAAGCCATACATAATGCTAAAATAATTCAATGATTTCGTCGAGGTGTTCGTAATTAACTGACTGTAAGTAGTGTCCCCTCTAGCCGGCCGTCTGTGTGTGTGCGCGTGCGCAGCCCAGGTCAGTCCGTGTCTGCGCGCGGCGCACCTCGCCCGTCTCTCTGTACCCTCACAGCCGTCGTTATATCTGTCTGTCTGTCGTAGTGACTGTCTGTTACGTGATGCTGTTACAAGCAGCACTCGCGCTGCTCCTCTTAGGTGAGTTGTTAATAATGTTTTACTATTTATTAAATCCCAGAATTATAAAATAATGACGTAAAATATTTTAATGTGAAAATTTTCATTCTAGTATAATTTCTTTTCTGACTCTGATAGTTTTATTTTCCGTTTACAATATTCGTTCCTTTTTGTTTTTAAATAAGGAACGAATTAACAAATTAATTATAAAAACTAATTTAATTTCTAAAAATTCTGAAATATGAAAATATCAGTGAAAAAAATTATTATTTTTCCAAACTTTGAATCCCAAATACATTTTTATGTCAAAATTATAATACCTATTATTTAAATAATATACTTACATAATATAGATTATTACAAACTAATGTTTACATTTTTCTTAAATGAAAAATATTTTTTACTTTTTGTTTGCGTAATCTAATCGTAATAAATACTGATGTAAACATGTAAAGATTTCCTCTCACACACATATACACATACAGGTACATGTACACATACAGGTACAGGTACTCATATACTGGATATATTTTCTTAGCTTATTAAACGATTTCACTTTACATAAATTAAACAGAACCGGCTGAAACAAGTCACAGTCGACCGGGAAGGGTTCAGCATCTATAGAATACATTACGTTAAGTACAGATCAAAATATTTAAAATAACTAAATATGTTTTAACGTTGTCCTAGCCATTGAATTAGCAATTTTTTCAAAGTTCATACAAAAAGCGTTGATATTACCAAACTGCCAAGAGCTTGAATAAGAGGCTAGATGGATCATAATATATGTTTTTTTTTGTTTATTTTTGTGTTAATATCAGTTTGTAGGTTTTCATCTCATCTTCTTAATATACAGTAGGTACAACTTGTCGGTCACAGCAGGAACTTAAATCGTGTCAGGAAAATGTTACGTATATTTATAATGGCAAGTCGATGAACCGCAGCGAGTGGAGTCACTTCAAATTGGTATTAAAGTAACTTAATGTTCATGGAAATATTATAAACAAAAGTTGGTTCATATAAATGTACATAATATTTGTTGCTACAGTGTCGATTTGAAATTTGAAATTTTGACACAATTAAGGGTTTAAAGTTTTATTTACTTGAAATCAAAATTTATAATGTTGTTTATCTTATTTGGAAATGTTTGATGAAACTTCACTGGATGATAGGCGAGTTAGTAGACAACTGATTGATATTTTGACTGTAATAAACTGAGGCAGTAAATAATAGCTAGTGTATTAATTAATGAATAGAAATAATATCCATTATTTGTTTCATACACAATCATCTTTCATATATAAGTTATTCATAGGTCTGTAGGACGTATATTTAATGAGTGAAGTGATCGTCTCCAAGTCTATAGGTAGTTGTTTTTCAGTATGCTGTACATCTCCTCTCAATCTTGACCGTTGAGTCACCGACCAGGTTCTAAAGCTTGTGAAGGTTCCAGTATCGGCCATTAATTTAAAAATTGTTGAAACACTCCGCCCGCAGGATATTAAGTAACTTGTTTCTCGCGGAAGTTCAGAACTCGTAGATCGTACTAATTACAAGTCGCTCTAACTGTCTTCTGTAAATTTAAATGAACGTTCACTGATAAAATTTAATTTTGTAACTTTTCTTTATTTACGACTTCTGTTAATGTTTAAATTTCGATTTCTCTCCAATATTAATTACTATGTAGTTGTTTTGTTGGCAAGTCATATTCAAAATAAGAAACGTTTTTTAATTATCATAATTCTAACGCTAACGAAGTCGATGTTTCTAATTCAGGACTGAGATGATAAAATAAATATGGCCTTGGTTATTTTTGAATATGATGAGCTGGTGTACTTGATGAGCAAGTCAACGTATTTTTGATGCTGTTGAGATGAACAACAGACAGACCAAGAGGTAGGTCTATCTTATGAGAGGTAGTTACCAAGGCTCATGAACATCTGAAACACGGTGTTGAGCATGTGTTGCCAACCTTGAGGTGAAGGGGGGGATGGAAGGATGCTGATGGTCCAGTAACCATCCTGTTAAAGAACATTGTCCTTAATTTGAGATGAGAGTCGAGTGTTGTGTATCGTGGGCGCGGGTCATTTAAGGCCCCCATTCTAACTTGCAGTTGCAGGGTGTCCGTGGACCCCATGCTAATGAAAAATGTTATAACTTATTATTACTTCAAGTCTTGTCCCTATTATATTGTTTATATTTTGAGCATTCTTAACCAGAACTATTAATACATATTTATTTTTAAAACAAAAGTTTTAAGACGGTGATGTAGGTATGCTGTTCTGATAATTATGTTAATTAGATACACTAAATTGTGTAAGTTATGAGTTATTGTGTAAGTTACGAGGAAACAAAAACAATCCATTAAAATCAAAGCATCGTCTCGTCGTTTGAAGCATCGTAGTATTGTAATGTGAATATCATCCAAATGATGCTCGCTGTATGGAAATATGACGTTGTGGTCTGGAACATGAGACTTGGAGTTAGGACAGGTTCCTTGAACATTTACAATATATTATAAACTGTACTAGCGACTGTTGTGTGTCATTCGTCGTTGGTCTAACATATAGTATGTATATTTAAACTCCTACCTCATATATTATCTTCCTCGTCCGCTCCCGCTCCCGCTCCCGCTCCCGCTCCTCTCTTGTTCCGTGTCATCTGGCGCCAACATTCCGCCGTGTTTTTGTGTTGTGTCCGCGGCTGCTACTGATATATATTAATTTCACTCAAAATCCATTCCAACCTGTATAACCGCTCCGTTCTCAAACACTGAATCCTAAACATGTACTCGGTTTCGTTCATTCAAATGTTCAATTTTTTTTTCAATGTTGATTAGTTTGTCGTACATGTATGTTTATTTGGCTTTTAGAGTTTATAAATGTAATAACTTGTAATTCTGTATGTGTATGTTAAGATCTTTAAGTCCGTCGATTTCTCGATGATTCTCAGCTGTTTGCTGACGTTATAAAAGAAAGTTGTCTCACACCGCGGGTCTAGATTTAGGCTGCAAGTTAAATCTCACTCAGTGTGACAGACATGGCCATCCTAAAATAAATTCTGTTGTATAAATCACAAGTGGAAAAAAATTAAGAACTTTATTATTTGTTTTACTCATGACAAAGTTTAGATATAAAATGTACTTAAATATACAGGACACTTGGAACGTGTCCACGCTTTATTTATTTATACGGAAATTTGGTCAAAAATTAAGTACCTATTTTTTTACATAATTCGAATGAGAATCATGTACCGAGTATTCTCCTTAAATATTGATAGTAATTCACCAGTCATCCTGTATATCCGCAAGTGAAATACACAATCATGCATAAACTCGTACAGAGAAAGTTTGACTTTATCCTTACTATAAACAGAGTGAGTCTGTATGTCTGTACGTAGCAGTGTGTATATATACTTATTTACAATAATCTATTCCATGAGTTATTAATATTCGGTGACCTTCAAGTATCGTGACAGCGCCACCTTTCACACAGCGATCATTAGTTCTCACAGTCATACAGAACAATGAATAGAAAGGAAAAATACAGAAACAAGAAACAACAATACGTTTGGAACTTACTTACCATTGAAGGAGACGAAATGAAATCAATCAATATACGAGTTAAAACAAACAGCGACTAGAAAATATCATGAGATGTATCGAGAGCGCGCGGCGACCACGTAACGGTTCGACGGGTCGCTGTACATCGCTCGTCTCACACGGACACGGAGCGAGGAGCGGCTGGCGGGCCGGCGATGGACGACGAACACATTCCTTAAAACCAGTGGGTCAGAGGCAACGGTACTCGCAGCGGTGCCTCTCGTTATATTGGGTCGCGGATTGTGTGATGATTCGTTGTTCCGATGACGAGTAGAGGGTGAAGCGACGGCGGGAGAAGTCACCGGGGGGATGGGTGACCCGGAACTTGGATTTAGATGTAAAAATATAATAAAATGTGACGATAGTGCATTGGTCTCTTTGAGTTTAATTTATGATGAAATTAGAAAGACTTTTGAGTATTTGACATAATAAATAGTGTTTAATTATTATTCTTAAATGTAAACATAAAATAATAAAAGTCAGTTCAGAAATTGTTTAAATGTTCGTTTAGTATAAGAGATAGTTTGTGTTTACATTCAGGGATCCTATCAAAGGAAACATTCACGGAACTCGTCAAAGAGAGGGTCGAGAGGTCCGACAACGACATGAGAAATATTACATGTCGTAGAAAAGACAGACAGAAAATAATATTGAGAATATTGAACACTTAGATTAAATTATATGTATTATACTGTTACTCACATTCAAAATGAGATTGGTATCATAAAGCTAAAATACATCACGTAAATGGTTACATTTGAATGTTGTACTTGTGTTGCGTCAACACACACACACACACACACACACACAGACACAGCCGTGAGAACTATTCTTACGAAACTATGACAGTAAATACTCACACTTGTCATGATGGAAACATTAAAATAATGAAAACACACGAAGAAATATAAACATGGATTATACAATAACGAGATATAATTCAAATCTAATATTTATTATAAAAATATCTTTAACTAGATAACTTTTATAATAACCAAAAGAAATTCATGAATATAATAAAATATATATGGTTCAAGAAGCCGAGTTCCGTACAAACTACACTAAAACTTTGCCTTCCGCGTCGACTAAGTTGTGTTTACAAGTATTAGGAGAAACGATACTATATAAGAAGAAAAATAAAGAAATGTGAAGCAGATCTATTAAAATGTATTGAAATGATTAGTGGACGAGAGGCATGGACGAGCAGTGAAAGTATGAGAGATAATGAGATGAAATAACGATAGAACTATACTGTTAATTGGAGATAGAACGTTGGAACTATGAATATAAACTATTGAAGAGATGTGGCTCCAAGAAGAATATTATAACGTAGTACATGTCGATGATTGTGGTGTTTAAGTTGTATTATGTATATGAGAGACATTCCAAGAACACTCTTCATTGATAATTGGCTGAGCGTGATCTTGTACTTGAAAGTATACAGTACAAGTTAATTCTAATAATGGTTGCTCTCACTAACATTCTTTTGAAAGTAAACTTAATCCTCTACGTCTTCTAGAACGAATCAATAATGTATACTGTAAAGAATCTGGTGTAAAGTTAAAAAATCATTATTATATTATTATTGACTTATCAGCTTAAGTGACGTGTTTACTTGGTGGAGAGTTACATGCAGCAGAATATATACACATACTATTTAATGTAATATATATGTATATATTATTGTTATATAGGATGGTTCACTCTTATTGAGACTTGATTGTGCCGCCATGTTGTGACGTCATCGTCTTAGGCGAGTTTAGGTCACACACATACAATAAACCTGAGTGACTACACCATTCAATATATTATTATATTTTCAATACAAACTATAATGTTATATATTGTATAGTGTGTCGTAGACAGCGGGAGCGCGTTGATGTCTTCTGTATTAAGATGGATGCACTCACTATTAACATTCCTCACGCGAGAAAACAAATTATGCACATTACTTACTGTACGAGTCTTAGAACACAGAAAGTTATAAATTATAGAATCATAACGTTACTCATAAAATATATCGACGTGTTTATATTAAAATAATAATGTTTAGGAACAGTTTAGAACGATAAATATAACTGAGTTTGTGAACTGACTCAGGAAGGAGAGAAAGAAAAGGAAAAGAAAAAAACAACCTTAGCTAAGAAAAAAACAATGACATACATATGTACATACATATACATATATATAATGTGTGTTAGTGAGGTCTGTTAATATAATCTGACGCGCGTGATAGAGGAACATGTTATTGTATGTTGTTATAATAATAATATATTACACGTCATACAGCTGTCATTACGTCACGTGAGACATTTTCTACACACACACACACACACACACACACAACACACACACACACACGTGTGAGGGATGAAGTTGATAGTTATACATTAACTATACACTATATATGTATATATTAGACATTGTGAAAAATTTGGGTTTTAGAATAACACGTTGATATAAATAGATTTATTTCATCTATCTTTCTATTTTTAATTCATTAAACGTTTTATCTTATTGTAATTATTATATATTAATACGACACAAATAAATTAAATATAATTTTGATTTTAAAATAAACTCAGATTTGTCAATAAATAGGATTTCCATGTTTTATCTTTTATTTTGAATTACACGAATTAAAGTGATTTCAGTCTTCACACCATAATACTTCAACTAAACTATAAAAATATTTTAAATTTTATATATCCGTGTTAATTTACAACAACACGATATATTAATAGTAAAATTATTATTAATTAAATCCATATTTCACCAAAACAGATATACGGTCTCATTTCTTACATCAGAAATGATATGTTATGTTTTTGAAGAACATCATTATTTGTTTATTGTTTCTTGAAATCATTTAAAAAACTATAAACTAATTTATGAAGCAGGCGGTGTGTTTGTGGAATAGTTCTGACTTTAATGAAGTATAGTCAGCTATCACTAGAAGTGAATTCAGTCAGCTATAATACTAATAAGTACATTTAAACTCACTCAGCTCAGTGAGTGTAGCACTCTACAGTGAGTGAAGCACTCAACACTGTTCTGAGACCTCGTTGTGACTTGATGCACTTTACGTTGTGTCACTGTAAGAGTTAAAACGTTTACTTAATATTATATATGTTATACATCGACCTCAGGTTAACACTTTAATGTAACTCACTACAAAATTGGTTAAAATCTTCTTTCTTTTATACATTAAATTAAAAGAATGATATTTTTTATGATGTTAGTTAAACAGATAATGATTTAAATTCAATACAGACAGACGATTTTAAAACTTTGAGGACGAGACATCTGAGGAAAAGATTTTCGTTTATAGATGACAGATACAAACAAAAATATACTTTATATACATTGTACAAGAGTCTCTTTTCCTTTGGACCATGTGATATGTTTCCCTTTGCCCATTTACAGTCGGTTACTTTCTTCAGCGCGTCCTCCACATGAAGTAATGTTTTTATGTAACTCCTCACTCAGAACTATTCAAATACCGCGGAACTGTTATTATATTTTAATAAATAAACCTCGTATTTAAATAATAAAGAATTTATTATCCCTCCGAGCGAGTACAGTTATTACCATAAAAATCTAATCCATACTAATATTATAAATGCGAAAGTAACTCTGTCTGTCTGTTGCGCTTTCACGCCTAAACCACTGAACTGATTTTAATGAAATTTGGTACAGACATAGAGTTGACCTTGAGAAAGAACATCGTATAGTTTTATCCCAGACTTTTGAAAGGTTCTCTTGGAAACGCGATATAATGGGGCAAAGCTGCGGGCGGAAAGCTAGTATTATGTATGTCTGTGATAATTTTTTTTTTACATGTAAGTAGTATTGAGGTGATAGATGAATTAAAATTCAAATATGAAGTGTGGAATTCAAATATATTTAATTGTATACACATACATACATATATATAATATAGTTTAGGTTATATTATAATAATGTTCTGTATGTGAACTATGTACAGTATGTGTTCGTGTCGTGAGCAGGCTTGCCTTGGACCAGATCAGCCTGACGCGCGCTGACATATAACACAACATACTTACACGTGACCTTCGATAATAATAATGATGTTGACTTTAATTATTAATAAACTAATTATCAATACATTACAATAAATATTTTCACAATTACTCCCAAATAAAATAGATTACCTGCAGCTTTATAAATACATATTTAGCAAAAATGATGTTCATACTTATATGTATATCTGATTGTGAAGAGACAGTTACTGATAAAACTTATTTACGTCTTTTGAAAACCAATTGTTCTTAATAACGTTAAGAGTTTGTTCATATAATCTGTTACGCTCCAGTCTGCGTTGGATTGTTTCTTTGAGTCACGAGGATCATTTGAATCTTTAAACATCTTAAAGATGAGAAAATAGAGGATAGTTGATAACTTTGACATGACTTAGGAAAGGAAAAATATCTAGAAGTAACTTAATTAGAGGAATTGACATTTAACGTTGTACTTCTAACTACTAGTAATAGTTGTAGTCGTTGTAAGTAGAGCAGCGCCCCCTGGTGAGGCGTTCCAATAACCTTTACGGAGCGACCGGTCACGACAGGCAGAGGTCAGGAGACGATCACTGTGTATCATATATATATGTATATACATAGTGGATAAATATAACATTAACATATATATAAGAAGGTGACTAAGAATAGAACATACTTTCACCAGTACTACATATAAAGTTGTCACGTGTGATTCACACAAATATGTTTTGAATTTTAAAACCGTGAAAAATAATAAAATATCTTCACATAATAAGAAAAACGAAAACGAAAAAACTATTATATCTGTTAAACATTTGAACTTTGCATTGGTTTTTTTTAATGAAAATATGTTCGAAATAATATTTTATTACTGTGATTGCCGCAGATCCTCATGACTGATTATTATTTTATTCTTATCAATGTATTAATAACATGTAACATTGTTCTATAGGAGCGGCGCAGGCCCGCTACCACGGTAAAGAGATCGGTCGTCTGTCGGAGCTACATCACTCAGTACGAGGGAGAGTGTTCGCTGTGGACTCGAGAACATTGTACCTGCATGACTTTACATATGACGGAGAGGGACCAGGTTAGTGACTACAAGTATTTATTAGATAGATTTTGTTAATCATAGGTAATCTCATCAGCCTATCAGAGCCCACTACTGAGTAAAGGCCTCTTCTCACATGGAGAAGGTATTAAGTATTAGCAAGAAAGAATTATAATAAAAACGTGATGTAATAAAATAGTTATCGTGATATTCATTAAGCCGTTAGTTTTTAATCAGTTTTAGAACGAACTAGATCCAGATGTATGTCGGTGTTTTTGTTTTATTTGAATAAAACGTGAAAAACGAGCTCGTTGAATGTTCAGTTTGTTTCGGAGCGGTAATGAGATTGTGGCGCCGCCTGCCGCCGCCAGGACGAAACAAACTCATTCTGAAACTACCTCCAGCTCGCTACTAACACACACTAATGAATATTCTACTCGGGGGAAGGTACACATTTAGTCGATTAATATTCTCATATACTAAAAAAAACTCATTTACGAAAAAAATCAACGCGAATAATATGTTTTGATGTATGTGTGCATGTTCTTATATAAACATGTAGAGTTTTCGTTTGGCTGCGTTTTGTTTTATTAGAAAGAATATATCCCTAGAATACTTAAAACACATTTAAGAAATCATATTTTATTTTTAGTTAAATTCTAATATTAATCTCTCATGTAGTGTGTGTTTCTTCCCCGAGTCTGAGCGGACATGTGTTGTGTCGCAGATGTACACTTGTCCTAATGAGAACATAAGTACACGCTGCAACCTAATACCGACTCTATATGAACTAGTATACAATCTAAAATCCCATGAAACATTATAAACAGTTAACCGAACCTCAAATCTCGGGATGTACACTGAAAGATAGTATTAGGTAATGAAAGTTTTACAGGAACATTATTTGTATGTCATAGAAACACCGAACGAGGATATTATGTAGATAACTTATATATTGAGGTTTGTACTTCAAACAAAAATTAGAATTTTGTCTAAATATAATTTTTTTCATATAAAATTTCACAATTTTGTGAACCTATGACTTTGCTGAAATTCTTTAAGGCTTTAATGAGTTTTTTCACTAGGTTGACAAAGCTTTTACACCTATAACAATATACATAAATATCTCCAAACATTGAATTAATACTAACGCCACTCGGTGGACTCTCTATTACATGTGTATGAATGATAATGATAATGTTTTCTTGTGTCATATCCCTCACACACCTGACATGTCCGCTGCTACCATTGACTCTTGGATAACTTTAGTTGTTTATAACATTATTTTCATGTCTATCTTATTAAAATTATAAAGAGGGTTACACTAATAGTTGTGAGAGTGTTGTATCGACTCCATCTCCTCACTCTATATATAAACCTCCCTCCTCAGCCTCACTTGCATCCCTCTGTAATTTCCCGGCGGGCCTTTTTAATGTCTCTATTAATATTTCTCGAGACATTGAAATATCTCACTAACAGATTACTCTCAGTAACATCGGATGATGCATTTTTATAAAATAATAGGAAAGAAATCCTACCTTATACTTACATATGAGTCTTCATACAGACCGATTATATTTTTGTATTTACATGTGACCTAGCTTTAGTTTCATACATAATTCTGTAAGTATTACGTGAGAGGTCTTCATACTTGTTATTATTAACACACATTGTGTTTGTTTGTTGTCTAAACATAGACAATAATAATCATCCAACAACAGTACAATGACGTTACATTACATGCGTTTGAAACTATAACAGACAACAAGCAGACATTCATATATATATATGTACAATTGACTCGATACAATTTATTATAAAAATCTAATCTATCGATAAAGTCACGTGAGAGGTACACTGCTGTATGTTCAGTTCTTTTAAAAACCATTTTTATTACAACATTTTCTTCTATCGACACACCACGATCATTGTGCACTGTTTAAATTCATTTTGATTGCTACAATTCTTCATATATATTTTTATCGCTGAGTTAATATTAATTTTAAATCCGTCCCAAGAAGCGAGAGTTCAATAAAATTGTCAAACAAAATTTCCACTTAAAATTACAAAGTAATACCTCGCCCCCATACTAATGAGGTGTCTATAGCTAGGTTCAGGAAGGATTATTCTCCAAACCTCGAGATGGGATTAGATTGTAATAGTAATGAAATTTAAATTTCCGTTCGTCGTAATATCAATTTGTAATACGCATTTAGATCAAGAAAAAGAAAATGGAATCAATATTCTCGTCGTTTAATTCGATCGCCTCTGAGAGCCTTACATTTTATTTTCATCGAATCTTCCGCTGTAACATCGGATTAACCTTATTCTGGGAAACATCTAGTGCTCGATGCACACCACAACCACCTCTACCGCTCACACAACAAGGCTCATAGTCGCTTCCGTCGGGTTTAAAGGCCCTCTAGGTCTTCGGCTTAGAGTTTTTTCCACCGCGATCACTTACAATATCACTCACTTGAAAAGTTTTGAAAAGTAAAATTGAGAGCGGAGTTTCTACTCCGGACGTGTCTTTTGTCTACAAATGTTACAGAGCTATTTAAAAACTAACAGTGACTTGATATAACTAAGACGTAAGAAATACGGTACAGAAATACAAGGGAATAAATACTGCGTGTTGGGAGTTTGGTCCAGTGTCGTTAGAGGAACAAAGGGACTATTAACATCACACGTTATCACAAGGGTCCTATAAATGGTATTAAACGGCGGGTCAGTCGCATTGTCTCTCACACAATACGCCTCGCTGAACAAAGAAGTGGCACGATAACATTTATAGAAACACTCATCTATTACGAAAATAACATGACGATGACTATTTAAAGATACAGTTTTGTAGATAATATATAAAATAGTGTTTTAAGAATATCATATAAATTTAAACTTAGTTCAGGATTAGAAACTAGCAGAGTTTAAGTTTTTGATGATTTGAATTGTATTATGTATAACTATTGTCAAATTAAGTTCTATAAAGACGCACTATACGTTACAAACAGCTAATATAAACGTATACCAAGTAAGGTGTGAGTGTTATCTTAATAATGTTTTGGTCGGTGGAGCACCGTCTTCCATATGTAGGTCTAACGGTCTGCTCCGATACATCCGAGACACGCGCGATGCCCACTAACAGTACACACATTAAAAACTATTATTTCACTCTATTAATGTACAGTCAGTACAGGGCGCGGCGCGTTAATAAAGTCCCTGTGATGTGATGGAATCATTTCAAAGCCATCACGAGCACTCGGAGTAATCGTGACGGAGGAAATGTAAATTAAATTTAAGTCTGAGCCGAGGAGATGTCGAACGAGAGGGAGGGACTCGGGCTGGCTTCACATTACATGGGATCATATAATATATGATATTACAAATGACAGATATTTATTAAGAACCTGTTTATGTGTAAGCGTCATAACAATTACACGCGCATAATAAACGGGTTGTCTGATATTAAAAATCCTCTGACCTACAGTTCAATATAATTTATGGATAATGTTTTGTTTAATCTTAAATTGCTCGCATGGAAACCATATTAATATATAATGAATTAACGATCGCTCTCATGTACTATGTTTTTGCGAATAACTGTTAGGTCAGTACGTTACTAACGTTCTGTTAAAGTTACCAACACCGGATTAATTACGTTACCCTTTTTTTTAGAAGTCGAGAATTCAGATATAGGTTTAAAAAAATAAACATCGTCATTTTATGTTGGGTTAAAAATATTGTTAAAAATGTTTTAACAAATTAAATTCCGTTAAGAATATGATAAGAATTATTTAAGTGTGATTATTATTATCCATGAATAATTAATTATACTTGTATACTGAAGAGTGTTATATAAACGTGATCATTAAACATTTTAGTTTAATATATATTTAAAATACTCTCAAAACAAACGAAGCACTCGTCGATTAAGCGAATTATATTTTATAAAGTTCGTTAATAAATTTGAAGGATTTAAAATCCGCGGATGTGGAAAGTCCTCATCGTGATGTCCACTCATGACCGCTTTCCAATTAGCCTCGACAATTATTGGCAGATCCACCGAAATTATGGCCCGGGGTGAACGAACGGAAATACACCCTGCCACATACGAAATACGTTTTAAATTTATTAATCAAGTTCTGTATAATATTTTACTTCGTAAATAAATTGAAGGGTTGAAATATTTTGGATTTATTAAGTACATACCACACATCGTCGCTGCTCTCTACATATCGTACATTCTGTTTGATAAAACATGTATTCCTCACAATGAAAATAATAATTTGAATTCATTTGTTACAGTCATCGGTACAAGGATTCAATGATCTTTTCTGAACTAGATATTTTAGTTTTCCGGGAGATCAATAGTTTACCACATTAGTCATATTTCCATATCATTAACTTATTTTCCAAATGTAAAAGGTCAGTGTAAGCTGCGGTAAGTTTAATGTGAACGGTAATCTTATCTCCGGCTCCGACACGGCTGCTAAATCATCCGGGAGAGACCGCCGCTAAAGGGATTTAGAGGAAAATCCGATCTCAAAAGTTTTTATTACTCAAATCTCTCAACGTGTACGGGTTATTTAATATGAAGATAATAATAATCCACATTAGAAACGAAAACTTAACGAGCACATAGTTTACTATAATAAATGAATCTGTCGGTCGTTATATAATGTGTAAAAGTAAAGGTCACATCTCAAATCTATATAGTTGTAGTATAACTTTCACTTGTTATTGATAGTTCGCCTCTCATAGTCTAATTGTTCAACTTTCTTTTCCTCTCTTAACGTCCGGTAATATTCCGTATTAATAATTCAACCTTCATAATCACTCGCTTTAATTGAATGCATCCCACGACACAGAGATATGAAATTCAATTAATTTTAATATATAATGTGATACGTGAAGTCAGTGGTGGCTCAGTGGTTAAAAGGCCCGCCTCTCGTCGCCGAGGGCGCTTGTTCGATCCTGGCCCGGGCAAGTACCAATGTGATTTTTCCGAATCATACATATGTACTTTCTAAGAGTATTTAGACATCACTGATTAATGTTGATTCCCAAAAGAGGTTTGATGTCAGGCAGGCGGCCGGTCGTAAAAACAAATAGCCAAAACTATTCACAACATGTAAGGCAGACCCTGGCTATAGCTGGGAAATTGCCAGGTAGAAGAAGATTAACCTTGACGTAAAATTTTAACAGTAAACAGTGAACTTTTAATAGTAAACAGTGAACTTCACCCGGCCGCGGCTGGTTCACTATGAAACTTATTAATCCACTGCCCTGACGTGTTTTTGTATTATGTATTATGTTTTTGTATTATTTTTATATTTCACAGACACTTTTAGGCGCAAAAATTTACATTTTAAATTATGGCTTCTCTTTTCGGGTCGAGTCATTTAGGCTATGGAAGTAGGTTATAATAAATTGCTAATTATTTTAAAATAATATTTTTAGATAGGAAATCAGAGTTGAAATTCAAAGAAACTTTTACATTAAAAGATTACGATGTAAAAATCAATAGGGCAAACAGCAACAGACCACTGAAAATAAAAATAAATCTTGTAAAGCTTAGTTAAAATTTTTTGTCAAGGTTAATGTGTGTGTAGAATAAATAATAAGTGATTATTTTTGTCCTGCAGCCGCTTACTTCTACGTGGGGACGTCCAAGACCCCGAGCGCGACGGGGGCGACACGGGTCCGAGACGAGCGCGGCATGGACAGTCCTCTGAGAAGATACCAGGGGGAGGGACTTACAGTGTCACTGCCAGAGGGAAAGACGCTCAAGGATGTCTCCTGGTTCGCCGTCTGGTGTGATGAATACTCGGTGAGGATCACTTACAATATATAACAAAGTTAACACCATAACTCGTCATCAGCCTATCAGAGTCCACTGCTGAGCTTACTTTTCTCATATGGAGAAGGTTTGAGCATAAATTACCACGCTTGATAAGACGGGTTGGTGATTTCAAACTTATAATTTGAAATTACAATCCAGGTTTCCTCACGATATTTTCCTTCACCGTCTGTCAGTGATATCTAAATACTCTTAGAAAGTACATATGACTGAAAAATCACATTGGTGCTTGCTAGGTTTCGAACCCGCACCCTCATGCAGAAGAGGTGGGCCTTTAACCTCTAGGCTACCACGACCTTTGAACATGACACAATAACTATGATAAATGAATTCAAATATTCAAGCCAGGAGGACCATTTTTTTCTTTCCATCAACTGAAGTCTATATAAAAAAAACGTAACATGAATTCTGAGTACAGCTTCTTTATTTCCTTTTGTATTTTTTATATAAATATTTTTGTCAAGAGCAACTCAACGCTATGTGTATCTCAACATGATAATGTAATGTCTGGATCTATCTGTCTCGTGATCATTTCAATCTTCGTTATTGTCTGCTCTTCGTCATCTTCCTGAAGAAATAGTCGAAATAACTTCATGTTCCTATAAAACATCTATTTATTCATCTCGTACCCATGTTGGTAGCGACGCGTCACATAGGTGGAAGGTACTATGGTCATGTTGTTAATATTTTTGTCATAGTTCAATGTCTTGATTGTTGTCTTGATTATTTATAAGATAATTTAATACTTTTTGTTATAAGTTAATCGCTTGTTATAATTATATAAACTAATCTCCTATTCTCATATAAATAAGTTTTAAATTCTGTATTCTAATATGTTTTGTAATTATGTTCAGTATATACCATTTTATTTCATGTTTCAACCTGCAGTTTATTTGTTAATCTCGTTTCCTCTCGTCTCATCGTCAGGTCAGCTTCATATAATTTATATTATACTGTAGTTAGTTCCTCGCAACATACAAAGCAGGGAATGTACGGTATTTTAATATTACAATTTCCTTGTAGTTATGAAACTATTAGTCAGTTTAGTGAAGTGAATTATATTTAATATCCGCCGCCAGAATCGTAAACGAAATTCAATTTAGGATTTGCTTATTAATAGTTATTGGAGGAATTACTGTTGGATTATCAGTTGAGGGAGAAAATTAGATTCAGGATTCTGGTTGTTATTTCCATACATATTTACTAGCATATAAATATATTATTTATATTACTATCTACTAGATAAACATATAATATTTTATATTAGAAACGTATTCATTAGTAACAACCATCGTCATCAGCCTAGCAAAGCCCACTGTTCAGCAAAAGCCTCTTTTCACATGGAAAAGGTTGGAGCATTAACCACCACTCTTGCTTAAGAAGGGTTGGCGATTTCAAACTAATAATTCAAAATTATAAGTTTTCCTTCACCGTATGTTACTAACATTGGTTTCTAAAGCTAACAATGCATTGTAGGACCAATATAATCTGTGTGTTTGTCCTCAGATCAACTTCGGTTCCGTGATGATCCCTCGTTCCCTGGAGTACCCCAAGCCCGCTCGTCTCTCCCCCCTGCGCGGGGTCCACGGCGTGTGGTCCGAGCCTCTGGTCGTTGTGGACGCTCAGACCTTACTTGTACCGAACTTCTCATACGATGGAGAGGCGCCCGGTCAGTAATTAATAAATCTAACGAAATAACATTCGCTTAAGAGACGAAACATCTTAGCATTCCATGGATTCACTTGGAAAGGAGCTTTAATAGTGACTTGGAATTGCGACGCAGGTGTAGGTTTAAAGGTTTCAATTACTCTTGTTCGTAATACTAATTTATGACAAGAATTATTCTCATCCATATATGACCACAAGGTTCTTCCAAAGATTTATAAAGAAGAAAAAGTGTTAAGATTAAAAAGTAAAACAATTTTATTAATTATGTAATAGAATTCAAATTCTTTAAAAATATTAAATACTAGATTTCCGCCCGCGGCTTCGCCCGCGTCCAGTTCTGTTATATCGCGTTTCCAAGAGAACCTTTCAAAAGTCTGGGATAAAAACTATCCTATGTTCTTTCTCAAAGTCAACTCTATCTCTGTACCAAATTTCATTAAAATCAGTTCAGTGGTTTAGCCGTGAAAGCGTAACAGACAGGCAGACAGACAGAGTTACTGTCGCATTTATAATATTAGTAGGGATGAGAGACAGAGTAGGTACAAGCCTCTTAGATTCAAAACTTTTAATTTCCATTAACACTCATAAAATAAAAAGTTATTAGTTAGATAACTAAATAATGATTTTAGTATGAAAGGAACACGTTTTTGTTAAAATCAAATGTTTAAATCAATTACACTCAAATTATCTCGGTTTGTGTTCGTTGCATAAGTTGCGTCAGTTACTCAACAAACACATAACATTATACAGCAACATCGATTCACCACGAAAATTAAAGTTTACGAAATATTTGAGAATCGAAATGTTATAATGAAGCAATGAGAATTACATTTGATAAAATCTTCTTATTGAACGACTAACAGTGGACTACATTCCCTTTGTATAAAGATACTTGACAAAAAATATATAAATTTTATAACTAGAACAAATTGCCTTAAACGAGAGAGGTTATTATTTTTAATGGAGCCGCGATGTAATTATGAAGTCGTTAACGTAATTTCATCTTGACTATCTTAATAGGAACAGATCCTACGACCAGGTCAGTAGGAACAACAGTCTGATAGACATATAGGTTGTAAGTATGGGTTGAAGATAATATAAATGTTTTATTTAAAATATTTTATCGGACCGGACCGCGCTCGCTACATTTAATACTCGTTCTGGTTCTGACTCGCCAAATGACAATCGAGGTTTTACACTTCTATTTGGACGATGCAATTTCGTTCTACAGCACCGTATGACGGCGCCGACACAATGATAATTCTTATTCAAGCGACTTTTTGGCAACGGACGGATATAAAATAAACCGTTTAGGGATATTTAAGGCGTCGCTTATACTTTAAATCTGGTTTGATCGATCACCGAACACGTCTCGGCATATTTGTGTTATAAAAGTCCAATAAAACTTTGATCAAAAGCTCCATAATACATCTAAAGGTGGTGAAGATTGTTTGACTTGAAGTTTACACTCAACAAACACCTCGCCCTCACCCTCGTACGCTTGTTTGAGAAGTGTTCGTCTCGCTCCGATAACGCGACCATTTACTGAATGAAACATATGAATAACTTACATTACTCACTGTACATATGTACATCTGATAACATTATTTACTATTCAGATGATACTAATATTGTCAACTTAATAATGTTCATACTTAAAACGCACAAGTTTCTTTAAAAATATAATTTATCATTTTACTGGCTGTAAAGTATATCGTCTTAGAATTTTGTTTTCTGGAAAATCAAGACGAAGTTTAAAGCCTCAATATCACTTGAGTTACTACAAACATTTATCCGCTAAGTTCTTCCTAAAAGTAATATTTCACAGTTGTTTAGTTTTCTATAATTTATAAATATCTCATTCCTTATTATTTATTCCGTTCTATCAACTCAAATCTATGTCAATGTAAATATAAACTGGTCACGGGACCGATATATGACATAAACTTTACATTTGCCTGACGTCTTATAAAATTCATTTCATAAATTATTCAACAATATATTATGTTGACCGTATAATTTTGTTACAGTCCCAAGTGCCATAAAATATGTTTTATTTATCTTTAAATGAATCTAAATGTAATAAAAAAGAAACTAGTAAGAGAAAGTGGAGAAAAAATGAAGGCGCATATAAAAGTAATGACATAATAAATAGACAAATAATGAAGTAATGGGTGGTGGTAGGGATTTTCGGACCATGGGTTGATAAAAATACGATACAAGTACATACAATCTTAGATGGCAACCAGTAAATGGAGCAGCGTTCTCCTCAGGGATCCTGGACATGAAAGAGGAATAGGACATTCATATTAGGAAAACTAAAGATGATTTATGAATTCCGGCTCTGGTTCATGAAAGAAAATGTTTTGATTATGTACAATAGATTGTCTTGAAGACTCAGCTGTCTGTTGACTAGAGCTAGCTTCAACTACATAAATAATAATATACAATCAGTATTTATTATTTATATAATTTTGTTTGTCAATTATGTAAGGTCAATACCATTCATCAATATATTTCAATTGAATTATAATAATGATCGATCAAACTACCCTCATTTTTTACATTTTCCATAAACTATAAGACATTGTGTTAGTATGTGCTCCTGTATATATTTATGCACACGTATTATAATTGTAATTTGTTTGTTCAGATGCTAAGTTCTGGGTCGGTCGTGGTGACAACCCTTCCCCCGCCGGCATCAGGATTCCCGATGAAAATGGAAAGGAGTCGCCTCTGAGGAAGTACTCCAACAAGACTATAGTGCTCACCTTACCTGGGGTCAGTTATACAAACAATATAATGTTAACATACATATAACAATTGTTCGTTCCTTTTTGTTTCAATTCACCATTCATTTCATTCATTCATTCATCCTATTCAATCGATTCATTCTATCAAAATAGAACAGTGTGTGCTTTACACTTCATTACATTTCTTTATTCCCAATCTCTTCTCTGAGTTGTCTATGAATGTTCCATTACTGTGACTCATTGGACGTATCACGTGTCATCAGGAGCTGACCGTGTTCGACATCGGTCACTTTGCGGTGTGGTGCGAGGCGTTCACGGTCAACTTCGGTCACGTGGTGTTGTCCAGGTCAGCCCTCACCAACGTCCCGCCCAGCCTCAAGATGCTCGGAGTATCGCCGCAGGTTGGTATTCAGATATATTCAATAGACACGTACTTTTAGGAAATGAGAATAATAGTACATATTTAGAAATTAATTATGTAGTATATAATATTGTGTAGTTGTACATGGATAACAGACTACTTGGATAGTTTAATATTTAGATAACTAATAAATATTATTAAAACTAAATTTTTCGGTTAACTGCGAGCTCTTTGTTATTCTTTCTTAGATATCATTAACTTATAAATATAATTGTCTATTTGAGCTGATCTCACAGATTCAACAATTATTTTATTTATCAAAAAATCCATTTATTTTATGTGTACGGCTATTATGTTACTAAACCAATGAAAGTTGCTCAATGAGTGAATTAATAATTTATCCAAATATTTATCAGATTTGTACATAAAATTATCCTTTCTCAAAATATTTAGAAGGTGTTATAAACTATAAAACAATTTTTCGTAATCATTAGCATTTAGATTCTAAGTCCAAACATGACCTCATTCGTAAAATTTCTTATTCTTAAATTGTTCTGAGGTTTTTGTATAATTAATTCCCGTGTAGTTGTTTAAGTCGTTTATGTTAGTCTTTAGCTATTTACATAAAACGTGTTTTTTTCATATTATTCGTTTTTTCTTCTATTATCACAGTATATTACTAACTATAATACATTTTAATTTCTTCTATATTACCACGTCCTCAAAGAAAACTAAATCCTAGGAGCATATACAGAATCATTCATTTACTTACAACCGTTCTGGTTTATAATAAAATATCATTTAGAAAGTATTTATTTGGAAACATATAAATTAACATAATTTTTAGTTTCATTTATGTCAAGTGATAAAAAACGACAAGAGTACATTTTTCGTCATCGTGAAGTGTCGACATTACACAGTTTTTTTTGTCATATTTCTTCTGTGCTTGTACTCTCGAGTGTATATAAAGACATTTCTTAAAAGTCTTAGACTTCTTCTTTTTAGAATTCGTACCTTATTATATTTTTGTTCAATAAATCAGTCGAAGTGTCTCCAAGGACGTGCTTATGTAATATTAATCTTATCGTTTAATTCTTTGTGACAAAATTATTGTAATTATCCTTTTGAAAGAAGCCTGTTTATTCGTTTATTTTCAATATTATTTAAAGCATATGTATCAACCAATCAAAGGTTCACAAAACCTTGTTTTATTCGTTTCTTAGATATCGATATTAATAATGTCTTATGATATAATTGAATCTTTATGTACTTAATTATATCATTACATATGTGTATATAGTAGTATGAGTAGTGTAGTTCCCTTCTATATTAATAAATCATCAATATACCTGATCGTTGTTGGGCCCCGGTCCGTCCCGGTTCGTGTCTAATCCTTCACCGTAGTCGGTGACTGGTGACTGTGAGTCAGTGTAAGTGGCACACGGTCACACGGTCATTATCACAACCATCTGTAATATATTAATATTGTAAATAATATTATGAGTACAGAGACGTCACACGGTCTGTGTGTAGGTATAATAAGAAGCGATGTTCACCTCACATACATGTTTATTCCGACGAATATGTAAATTATATTAGACGCATATGATATTAATGATTTTAATTAAATATCTTATCATCCAAGGGCTCTAACGACGCCAACGTTTTAGGAACAGTTTTCGCGTCAGAATCCAAGGAAATATGAAGTACTCTCCTAATATATTCTCGTACAACCAACCTACATCGTAAATTTAGGTATTTAATCTCTTCATGAGCGTAAACTGATTAAAATCTGAATTGAATAATAAAATGTCTAACCGCAGCAGGTTAAAAAATAGTTCATTAATGTTCAATTCTCGCAGTCCTGCAATTGAAGTAATGAAAACTTCAGTAACAGAGTTTGGCCGAGCTCCAACTGTAGCGCTAGTTAAAATTATGCCACAGATATAGCACAGGGACTCGGAACAAAAAGATGGGAGGTATATATAGAAAATGTTCTTTAATAGGACTGTTTAGAAAAGATTAATTCAAGATTTAAGTAGCCAATTATCTAAATCACTTTATAACAGTTATATCTCATCGAGCCTTCTAAACACTATGAATCATAAAACCAAAATATTATTACCGTAATCGTATTGCTCAAGTTATTGTTGCTCCCTGGGCGTATATTAAAAATGAATCAGATAGTTTCTTTACACTCTCGGGAACTCATTATCGAATTTCTATACAAGTAAAGTGACTATGAATATTCTTTGTTCGATTCGAAACTGTTTTCTATATTCAATTCGTTAATAGTCTTTCAACGTACCTACATATTTTCTCTTACGGAACGCTCATAACAATACAATTATGGATAGAAAGAAAAACAGAAACACAGCATTTTTTATAAAGAAACAGAACGCAAAGGAATATTGTTCATAAGTCATAAAGCTCTCAAACACTGGGAGCGGCGTTACGTCAAGGATAATAAGACATTCTCGAATCATTAACACGATATGACCGACTGAAGACTGGAGATGTACGACCTTGAACGACCATATGAGATACATTTAATATATACGAGAACATCACCCACATCCAACTCTATCCACATCACCCTTCCCAAACTCTGTCATAGCGGAGGTTTCCTATTGCAGACCCGCAACAAGGCGCTGTCGTCCGGGGAGTCCCCCGGGGCCCCCACTAAGGCTCCTCCCCGGGCTCGCAGGCCCCTCGTCCGTGTGGACGCCACCACCTACCGCCCCCGCCTCCCCGCCGGTCCCCCCGCGCTGTCCCAGGCCTCCGAACAGACGCCGCACGCTCAGCGCCGCCGCGCCGACGACTACACCTCCCCTACACAACAGCTCATACCATCAGAACAGAAATCCTTTGAGATCCTACGATCAGAAGAAATCGAACAGCCGCCTCATATTCAACATTCCATCGTTGACGATCCGAGTCTCGGCCTGCGGGGACTGGCGGCAGCAGGTCAACGAGCCCTATCGACACAGGAGTTGTTAGAACAACAACAGCTGTATGAGCAGCAGCGGGCGGCCCTACAGAAGGAACTGGAACAGTATCGTCGGTTCCAGTACCAGCAGGAACCTCTGCAGTACGGGCTGCTCCAGCAGGAGAGGGAGCAGGGTCGTTAGGGCAGGACCTGGTTGACCTTGACCCGGTGCGGGGGGCCGGGGGTCAGGGTCGCGGTCGATGAACGGCGTCCGTTCGTTCCGTGCAATCGTTTCGCCATCGATCCTTTCATATCCCATCTCCGAGGCGCGCTCGATCGATAGTTTGTTACGACACAAGCGATTGGTCAATAGTAATAAACGGCTCGAGAGTGTCGCCCTTCTAGCCGCTCCTCTCACCGACCTCGGACTCATCTGCGCTTCATTCGTTCAACTCTTGTTTAGTGTTAGAGTTACCGCTCACTATGTTTTATCTTATAATATTTGATCAGTTCATTGTTCATTTATGTTTTCTTGCCTCGAGACAGATATCGTTGTAGTTGATTCTTATTATCTTAATCGTTCTTCATCTTTATAATTAATTTGATAACTTTTATATTAATGTACATACAGGAAAAGATTTCAATGTTTCTTTTCTTTTTCTAGTCTTAAAACTTTGCTTTACTCATTTAGCTTAATAGATTATGGCATTATTTTTGTAAGCATTTTCTACATTTTCTATTTTTGTATATGATGCAATCCAAGCGACAATCGTTAAGAAAACAAAAATAAAAAATACTTGATATGTTCCACTCGCCACAACACGTCATTATTATTATATTAGAAAATTGCTGTCTTCCAAAATTATGTGCAATATTTATGATGTTTAAGGTCACATGTATATAACAAATTGATATAATTATTATTAAAGAGCAATGATTGTGATAACTTTATAAACGTGACGTGCTATGTTCGTCTGTGATAGTTTTTGTTTTTACCAACATTTAGAATGTGTTTCGCCATCCAACACACGCAAACTAACGATAGTTTGGATATTTATAGAGAGGTTTTATATTAGTGAAGAGCCTCTGTATTATGTATTGTGTAACTTCAACTTAAGTTTATTATTACATGATGTTTGTACAAAAGCTTTGAATTCTCAGAGCTAATAAAGCTTGCCACATACTAAGACTTTAATTTGTCACAAATATACAGTTCAAACTAATATCTAGTGAGTCAACTGTCACAAAATTTTACCCTTCGTCGAGGAAATTAGTTAATTTATGGTCTCGTTATGTTAATTGTTAAATACTTGAGGTTTTCTACAGTTAACTAATTGAATTTCACAATTAACAATTTGTACAGTGATTAAATTTAGAGTATAATTTCACCGACATTTAACAAATTATTATCTGAAATAAAAATAATATTTTTATATACCTAGATATTAATGATTTCTTCACGACAGAATTAATACTCACTTTTTTTGTATTCCTAAGATGTTCTAGTAATGTTCAATAACTGACTCATCACAGTAAATAAATTGAAATTAAAATGAATTATGTAGGGTAAAAATTTACCGAAACAAGCTTGTGAATATAATTTTAGAAATAAAACAACCTGTGACAAACATGTGGTTCACTACAGGATGAAGAGAAGGATGGAGGGTTTCGAGGAGTAAAATGATTAAAAAAGAAACGAACGTAGCATTCTGAAAACTTATGATCTGATACACCGCTTAGATCCTACTACTATTCAAAGTGGTAAAGTTACCGAACATGTATAAAGTGTAGATGTTTTTTTTATGTAAAACGTATAAAACCTAGTTTTGGTTAAATTTTCTTATAATGAAGACAGACATTATTAGTACATCACGTACCTAGTCTGTAATTAGTCTTTCATTCCCCATAGTTTGATAGTTGCATTTAATTGGAAGTCATGTAACACGCGATAGATGTCGCTGGCAGCTGGTTAACATGTTCTACGTTAAAGGCAAATTATCTGTTTTCCTCTGAACACCATACCGAGGAAAATGCGTTTGAACCACGAACAATAGTTAGAACTTTACTTACCTAATTTTTAGGCCAAGTCGCTGTGAAATGAATCGATTACGAAATAACGTTATACCTTTTAATTTGAGATTGATAGATTTCTATGCGCAAACGGTGAATAAAATAAGAAATCTTAAACTATTCTCAGAATCATAACGGTATAAGCAGTTGTATCTAAGTGATATTTTATATGATAAAACGTTAATAATATTATATTACTAATTGAAAAACCCTCAAAGAATTCAAAACAGACTCAGTAAATAAATATTAATTAGAACTTAGGATTCTAAATTTTATTAACAAATTAAATGAATATTATAATATACCATTCGTTTTACGAAACATCAATATAGTTCTCAATGATAAAAGATGACTAAAATCATTCACACGAGGTGGGATTACACAACTCTCATGAATTCATATTTCCCAATCGGAACCTTTCCAAATATAGCAACACAGTCCAAACTAACTTCACCAGGCCCTGTCTTGACCTGCTTCATCATCGTCTAGTCTCCAAGTGTTGTTATCATTCGTTATCAGTTCCTCTACACTTTATCATCGGCGCCTGTAACTGACACATCGATACCTCCTAAGTATACTGAGTCAACTAACAAATTTAGGTATTTTTATATTTTTATGTAAACGTACGTGATAAGTCGTGATCTTAACGTTTGTGTTAAAAAAAAATAAAAAAGAATGATAATTACCGAAATAATTTCACGTATACTAAATCAACTGCAACATCAGTAAAAATCATACATTGTAAACTGATCTAACTAACATCGTACCAGTGTACGCGGGGCGTGAGGGAGTACGCGTTGATACAACTACATCGCAGCTCAGTATACGATGATGAGCGTCGAGTGCTATTATACTTTTTATTATAAAGCGAAACTTTATTTGTATAATTTCACAATATTCAATCTGGGAACTCGTCAGGGTTATTGTTTTTCATGGCATCAACAGACAGCAAAGAGAGGCGCTAATGAAATTTCCAGCTGTGTTTTCAAGTTTATAGAGAATACGGTGGGTAATAGTGTCAAAGATTACCGGTTCTGGTCAGACAACTGTGGAGGCCAAAATAGAAACAGAATTGTATTCTTAATGTATATGTTAGCTAGTTAGAAGTTTGTTGTAGATATTAGTAGTGGGTCACACTCAAAATGATGGCGACAGTATGCACACTTTAATTGAAAGACAGACTAAAGATAAGATGCTTTGTAAGCCTGATCAATGGTATACAGCTTTTAGATTTGCCAAATCCGATGAAAATCCACACAAAATTACTGAAGTGTCACAAGATTTAATTAAAGACTTTAAATCACAGTTAAAACTTATAAACTGGACAACTACCAACGATGGATCCAAAATGCCCTGGAATAAGGTAACGGAAGTATGTAGTAGTTAAAGCGGAATATCCATTTAGGCTGTTTTATAAGATGAGTTATCAAGATGATTCTTACAAGTGGATAGATTGTGTAAAAAAACCTAAAGCTACACGAAATCGAAAGAATTAAATATTGATGTACACAATATTTCTTTCGCTTATCAGAGACCCATTCTTATTGACCAAAATAAGCACAGAGACCTGATGGACCTTTGTAAGACGCTGGTAATTCCTGAGGAGTATCATTTATTTTTTAATAATTTGATTTCAACGGACTCTAATGAAGTTAACGACAGCGATTTTGACTGATCTCTAATTTGTTAAACTTTATATTTTTTGAGCATTAGAGATGCCTTGATTGTTAGTTATTAATTTCTATTCTTTTTATTAAAATTGTATAATGTAAGTTACCATTTTTAGTTCTTATTATTTTTGGTGACGTACTAGAGAAGTACCTGTTTAATTTCTTTTTATTGAATAATTATTCATTGTTTTTCTATGAAACTTTGAAGATGGAACATTAATAATATATTTTAGTTAAATGTTGATTTGTTTTTTCTTGTAGCTTTCTATTGGATCTAACAATAGCGATTCTGACTGATTTCTAATTTGTTAAGCCTTGTCACTAATTTTTGAGCATTAGAAATACCTAGACTGTTACGTTATTAGTTCCTATAATCTTCATTAATGTTTAACGTATTTATTGACTTACTAAAGGAGTACCTGTTTTAGTTTTTATTTTGATTGATAATTGTTTGTTGTTTTTTATGGAACTTTAATGATGAAGAATTACTTTTTTAAATTAGTGATTTGCTTACGTTTCGCTTTTTGTAAGACAATTATTTTAAAAAGATATTCCTACTTAATTATGGCGAAAAGTAAATTATGATTCTTCAAAATGAGTTTTTTTTTGGTTTATTTTCTTGTACTTCTTCCTAGCTTTTATTAATCCCATATACCGTAAAATATTTAAAAAAAATATTAATAAAAAACCTCGCGTAAATTACATTGGTCCAGTATACGTTGAGGTTTGAAATGCTAACATTGCTAGTACTTTCCTCGTATAATGAGTCAAGTGATATAATTTCCACATTTTATTATAAAGTGAGACAGAAAACCCTGAAAATAAATAAAAGTAAAAGTATATTCATAAAATGACCACCATATTTCATGTGGTTTAGGTGTAAACGATGGATTTTGGTGGACAACGTATATGAATATAACTGGTAGTTATACCATTTCACTATTGAGCCCCGCCGGCGTATACCCAGTCATCTACATAAAATGTAATTTAAAAACAAAAATCAGCAAAATCATTATATTTCAAAGGAAGTGCTTACAATGTTTATTAAAAAAACATTTTCTTTATTTCGAATTAATTTGATTTCATTAAAATATAAACGATTTGCCTTCAAATCACTCTCCTGTAAAATTACAATAATGTCAGTTGACTCATTATACGTAGGAGGTATCGACATGTAATCTGATAAATAGATTTCATTATCTTAGCCATGACGTGTGTGTTGTTTGATTCCGTGTACTCTTTTAATAGGAGATAATAATGTTATTAAAACTAATGTATTATGTTATACTTGTCATTTCTCTTTTTAATATTGTGTATAATTATTACCGTAAATCCCGACTCCCAGATCCGTACAAAGTTTCCGAATACACAATCCCGCCTGTCGTGTTTATTTCGCTTAAAATAATAAACAAAGTTAACGCCTGCGCCAATATAATTTAATACAAACTAAAATTGAAAGATAAACCTCCTTCATAATAAAACTTACGTTACTTCGAAGTGATTGAATAACAATAGCTTAGCAAAATTAGATTTAAAAATAAAAAGGTTTACGGAACAATGACGCCAATATCTGTGCGATAGAGCATATTTTTGTTTGTGCTATTTAGTATTTGACACAGTGCTGGTAGTAACCTGGCCGTATCAAATATTTATGTGGCCGAGCGTCTGTGGAAGCTAATTCGGTAACTTTAACTCGACATCGAAAATCGATATCGGGTTCAGTGAATCAGTCGCAGATGTCATATTCATAATATTTATATTACCACGCTCGGCTTCATCTGTATTCTGTACACAAATCAGATATTACTTATGTACTATTTTCTAAACATGTTTTGGTCGTTCTTTTAATGAAATTTAGCGAAATTTATTTTGATTATAAGTATATAATAATGTATAGTTCATTTTTAAGACATTATGTAAATAAAAATCACCGACTTGTTGGTCGATTAAATAAATTTTGGGTTAATTGAGAAGGACAAACCGAGAATGGAAACTATTTTTTTATTTTGTTATTCTAAGTTTTAAAATGTTAGCTTAGTATACATGTGTATATAATATGAAATACCCATTTCCTTCTAGTAGTATATAAACGTCATGTTTGTTTCAGTCAAAACTGAACTGCGAGGTTTTGTTCGACGAGCTCGCGTTTGAAGTCCGCTGGGCCATCGCCGGCAGCAGCGTCGTGTTACAACTAGTCGCTAAACTTGGTAATGTATATACACTTATTCTTTAGACTCAACTATAATCTTCTATATATATAAAAATGGATTGCTGTTCCTTAGTCTCGCTAAAACTCGAGAACAGCTGAACGGATTTATCTTATCTTAGTCTTGAAATGTTCGTGGAGGTTCAGGGAAGGTATAAAAGCTGAAAAAAATTGATTCATTACTGGGAAAACCATAAAAACAGCCCTTTTCTATTTCCCATACAAACGTTTTTTTGACATTAGATTTGACAACTAACTAATATGTCAATCATTCTGTCGCACTTCAAAACACGGAGATTTATGGCTCATAGATAAACTCCAAAAATATAAATAAAAAAACGTAACAGATATTTCTTGATTATAGGGCGATACGAAGTTCGCCGGGTCTTCTAGTAATTAATAAATATGTATCTCTCTTAGAGTAGATTAGTATTCTTCTTAATGTTTTTTTTTTCATAGAAGTTGTTTATTTCCAGAGGACGGTGAATACATGTCGTTCGGTTTGTCCGGTGATCCGGAGCATTCAGTGATGATAGGAGGTGACGTGGCGGTCGCCTGGGTCGATAAGGAGACGCTGAAAGGATACGCCGAGGATTACTACCTGGAGGGAAAGAGCCAGTGTGCGGGAGGAAGAGGCTCGTGTCCCGACAACAGCATTAGAGTTGGTTCATTTTAATACTTATTCAAAAAATACTAAACGTCTCTGTTTATTTGATCTCATCACATTTCTATTTGGATAAAACTTCATAAAAATGTATAAAGTTTACGAAATGAAATGTTTTGATAGAAATACGGATTAATTTTCATTTAATGAGTATACTAGTACGCATGAGACATATATGTAATTGTGAAATCGTGAGCCAGAAATGCCTTTTATCATTTTTAAAGAAACAATACTCTTACGCTGCTGAACTGATATTAACGAAACATAATTACGAAACATCGCAAAGAAACTTGCCGTTAAATGAAAAATAAAACGCATTGAGATCGGTCGATACGTGCATCACGACCTCGAGTTATGATGACACAGACAGATAAAACATAGACACATACACACGAACAAAAATTTCTCTTCTTTTAAATCGCGAGTTAAAAAAGGCATTACCTCCTGAAAATCCTATATTTCTATGGTGACGTATAGTAATTTTGAAATCTGATTTATTATTTTTTAAATTAGTGTGTTAATGAGATTCATTATTTGTCAGATATTTTGTAAGTTTTATTCAAAACACATTAAATGTCAAGCTAGCTGTATAATATATAGTTCTAGTAACGTTGTTTCGTGAACCGTCTCCGGTAACCTCATTGCGCCGTGACCTATTGGACGGAGGCCAAACATCACTTAATGCAATCTGATAGATTAATCCAATTTTGGATCCCAGATTGTTATCGGAGGCAGGACGCGTAACGTTTAGCGAACTCCATATAAGCCCCGGGCGCCGATAATATCGAATCATACAGTATGTGCAGAAGATTATTTACATACCCATTACACCGGTTTCTCGAAATTGCAACAGAGTTCTTGCTCTATAAAGACCAGAATCGTTTGGCGGAATTTCCTCATTTCGAAGAGATTCGATTGCTCCATTGCCCTTGATATAGACTTCGCATACTTTAGACGAATTTCCGTATACATAGTTTAGGAGAGCGCCGAGATTAACACGAAATGAATTTTAGGTAGATATTTTGTAGAAATCAAGACTGAAATGTTCAAGGAACGAATCGCGGCAATTTGCACGAGCATACGTAATATTGCTCAGCCGGTACGCAGCTCAAATATAAGAGCAACGGGAATTTCGGTGAGAATTTTTGTAGAAAATATGCTGAGCTAGTTATGAGGCGCGCAGCTAATGTTGAACTTTTATGGCACTTTTTATGAACGTGGCAGTACGAGCAGAACATTAACGGAAATATGAAAAATACTTTTAAAAATAATGGTATTATAATTTTTCCAGGAGAGTACGAGTTCCATTCGTCTGTTAAATGCTGCTCTAGTAAATGGCTACTCCATAGTGACGTACCAGCGACCTCTGAAGGCGTCCGATGAACTGGACCTGCCGGTGAACACAAACAACAGCCAACCTATCATATGGGCCATAGGACCGCTCAACTCTAAAACACAAGTCTCCTATCACCAACACTTTACTAAGGTATAATATTATATTAAGATATGTACTAAATATAATATAATATATTATATTACAAAACATGTGTATTAAATAATGGTGCATTTTTGATTTTCTTTAGGGGGATAGATTAATTGAATTTGGAAGACCTCCCCTTTGGAACTGCCCCATGCCTGAAGGTGAAGAAGACATGAGACACCCTGTAGGAGGCTCGATGGGGCCCAGGGAAGAAGTACATGTAGGTGTTCGCGTAATTAATTAATTATTATAGTCATAGATTTTAAGACGAATGTTATAGTAAAATAGTATTATTCAATTCCTAAAACCAACTTCTACCAGGACCTAGTTGATTTCTAATTCTTAAGTAGCTGAAAGAAAAGAAATATCAAATTGTTATATCATCTTCTTTTTAAGAAATAATTTGATAGAAATTTGAAAAAAAAAAGAGCTGTAGGAACTATTTTAACATATATTTGATTAAATGTTTAATGTTATTTTCAAAAGCAACATTTTTATCAATTTATGAAACACACAATTTATCTTAACAAGAACTTTAACCATTGTTTAGTAGATTTTATTTCTATTAGCGTATAGTTACAATTTTTCGTGTAAAGCTTAACGTACGTGGGGGAGGCATTTATCAAACGAAGCGTTCCCGCGTATGTAAATCTGGAGGTCGTCAGGATAATGTTCCAACATCCAGGAATATTTGAGTTTTATTCAAAACCAGATTTAGCAGCATCGTTAGGATTTAACGTTAAAATCTTCATAATGTGTGGAGGTTACTCACAGTGTTTTAATTAGAAACTAAGTAGCTGAAATATTGTAACTTATAACTTAATTTAAAAAGTTTTAAATTCAAATAGCATTTTTATGTAATAATTTATTTTTTAGAAGGTAGTGATCAGACCCAACCCAGTGCCGACCCCAAGACCCACTTCTAAAGTAATTCCGTGGGACATACCGGGCATCCAGTGCTATGAACCACCAGATGGTGTATTTTACGCTCAGATGGGACCGACTGGAGGCAAGCAAGGATACTCAGCTATTACTGGTACGAATACATTATTACTTTAGTTATTGTCGCTATATTAATTGTGGCATAATTATTTTTCATTGATATATGTATGACCATACTTTTTATAATATAATTAATATAATAACTTAGGCTTTTTATAAACATTATGAATCTCTTTTACATTCAGGCCACGTTGGTTGGGGAATATCATGGTACATCAACGGCTTACTGATTCCCGAAATAACTGTTGTTCGAGGAAAGAAATACACTTTCGTAGTAGAGGGAGGTAACAACCCAGATATACCGGCGAGATATCATCCCTTCTACATCACCAACGATCCTGTCGGTGGATATTACCACAAAACACCTGAAGAGAAACAGGTTGGTATATTGTATTTGTAATAATAAAGTAATATAAATGAAATAAAAGTTTTAAACGGCTTCTGTTTATTTTCAGGGTATTGAAATATACGCCGGCACAAGACGGGCTCGTAACGGCGAACTACAACCGACTGGGACGGGTCGCCTCTGTAACTGGACACCAGACAATAATGGACCAGAAGCTGATGAGTATCCAAGTTTTGGTGCCTACCAACGGTCATTGACCTTGGTCTGTGAGGAAGGAAACCCTGGCGTGGTGACGTGGGTTCCAGATGAAAACACTCCAGACACTGTCTATTATCAGGTAGAAAACTTAGGTTCATTTATTTTTCACTTATCGTTTATAAATCTTATAATTCTTTTCATTACTTTGTTTCTCAGTGGTGTCAGACTTAAAAATATCGTTTGTTAAATTTCAAATTATTATGTATATGTTTACATACTACTATATATACTCGTAATATATGCATGTTAAATATTTTTAATTGCATTAAGTAGTTTGTTATTTAAAATTATACTTCGATCTCAATATGTGTGTGTCTGTACATTTTAAATTCTTACACACATCCCTACTTGTTTGACTTTTAACAGTATAAGTTTGAAATAAGATACAATATATTATATGTATATTTGCCTCTCTTGGTATCACTTACTATCTATTATGTACATATTAAATTCTCTCTGTTTTCTGTTTCAGCCTTCTTCTATCGCATGCGGTTACTTGTACACTATATTAATTAATGTTTATTTCATTTTGTTAACTTTATGAATCAAATAGCTAACATTGATTTATTTTTCCAGTGCTTCACACACCGATATCTCGGGTGGAAAATTAATGTTGTAGATGATTGTGACGAGACGGATGTGGCGGAGAGTCGAGTCGTTGAGAGTGTAATGTTGCCGAGCGATCTGATGGAGGTAGAATCAATACAGGTACAGAGTCGTGTAAAGCCAGAAAAGAACTTTTTAAATCAGCGAACAAAAATTGAAAAAATAATCAACATGAAAAACAATTATAACGATTTCAGTAGCAATAAAGGTGAAAGCGGCCTCTCGGGAGAACTGTTCTCGGAACAGAACAGAAACCTGTTACACCCGAGTGGACACGAGTATGAATTGCCGATATCAAACGTACAAATAAAAGAAGTCATTGAAGCCGTTGAGAGTATAGAAGATCAGATGAAGGATGAGATGAAAAGAAACAATACGTTGACCCAAAAAATACCGCAATACCAAGTGCACGAAGATGTCAAGGAGCTGTTCGTACCGGAACAACCTATCAGAGACGGCGACGAATATGTTGTAGATATGGGAAAATTACCAGAAACATTTATGTTGCCACCAAACCAAAAGCCGCAGACGTTACACAATGTTTTGCGTCCTAATGCACCAAATAAACACGCTGGTAATATGAGACCACCATTCCGCAGACCAGTTCCACCAGAAATAAAGTTACGCCGTCCCTACCCTATATACCCGAAAGGCAACAATCAGTATCCATTACCAATACCAAATCCACATGGAATGAATAAGAAGCCTGGCAAATATTCAAACAATAGGCCACCTCCACACATGCATCACAGACCATCTCAAAGCAACATTCCGCCAATGAAAGCGATGCCTCCTTTACATCCCAGGAAACCCGATTTCAATCAAGGCCCTCCTAAATATGTACAAAAGATACCAAATATTCCCAAACAAAGCAACATGATGAATTTACCGAGTAGTAATATTGGTCAATTGCAAAGCCAGACCTTAAGTTTAGGTCATACCGATATAATCGCTAATCAAGTAGTAAAAAGTCAAATAACTTTGCCAGGTTCCAATGACGCTTCTGCTCAGCAGAGTGCGCAGCAGACCTTTTTTGATAAACCTGGTCAAATAATACTCGGTAAACCTATGGACCACCCACAGCCCTTGGATCAACAAATAATACAAGAGAAACCAGAATTTGTTCAACCTCACAGAATACAGGTTTCAAAAATAAAACCTCAAGAACCTGAGATTCATATGAAATCAACAATTCGTCCTAACATGAATAACAATAATCGACCCCAAATAAGAAATGAAATTAAGTCTTCAGACTTTATAGGTCAATCAACAGATGTATCTACCATCGCTCCTGCAATTAATACGGGCTTTAAACCAGATTCTATTGTTATTGAGAGCGGATTCAAACCCATAATTCGAGAACCTTTGATGGCCGGTGAAGACAAAATAGCAGAATATGATGGTGTTCATGCGGATAGAAGAGAAGATACAGACATCGATGAAGATTATCAGGAGTCACCACAATACATAAATACAGACCACGCTTACCCCAGTGACAAAATGACCGAAACTTTTGAACCGATGTTTATACCGTCCCCTCCAGATCACTTACTGGCTGGGAATGAAAGAACAAAAGAAGTGTTTCCCAGCAATCACGCCAAAGAAGACAGACCGCATCCTGTATATGTAAAAACTGAAAGCGAATTAAATGCCCTCTTTGGTAAAAAAAATATGGAAAAAGATATCCCTGCAGATATGGTGATGGAATCTGATAAAATAAGTCCCCAATATTTACCACCGGAACCGAAACATCCAAAAGAACATTCACAAAAAATCACACACGAACAAACGTTTACAACTTATGATGGCAAGACAGTATCAGCCGACACATTAACAAGTATACCAGAAGAAAATAAATTACACGCCAAAATATTTTCTTCTAAACTACCGGCGAACTCAGAATTTCTTCTAAAAACACCTCAGTTTGGTCCCTTCAAGGGTCAAATTCCACCTGTGGTTGCTGGACATATAGATAAAAATATAATGAACCTTTCTCGCCCTGCTGTCACGGGTTCGCCCTCGACACAATTGAAACTCGTAAATGCCGTTCGCAAAACAAATGCTGCTTCAGAGCTTAAAGCTGAACAGGATGAAAACTTACAGGACGAGTCCGTTGAAGATGAAGAATATGACTTAGATGAAGAAGATGAGAACAAACGTAGCAGGCGAGAGACCAAAACTACACAGTTCGAAAGCGGGAGAATAGAAGAAGCGATGACTATGAACAGAGACGACAACAAGGATATCAATCACATGGACTTTGAACTTGCGACACCCCGGGCTCGAGCATCTGCGAGCAAAATTGATTTATTGTCGGCATTTCCAATGATAGCTGTCTTACTTAAGCTGTTTTAAATGATTAGGGTCTATTTATTAAATTATTTATCGGTTAATTTATTGCGCCTTGCCATTGAATGCATTTGGTTGGTATTATTTATTATTTACTTGTGTAAAAGGAGAGTAAAACGAGGATCTAAATTAACATATATATACTGAAGGAGGCCTCTTGAAGCACTCGTCTCAGCTGTTACCACTTTACTCGTGTCTTGCAATTCAATACTCTGTTAGCTTTAAGGTTTTGTAAATATATTTTTTTGTACTTTAATAATAAAATCGTAAAATAAACTGTGTCAGTCTTTTTATTGGTTTGAAATTAAAACCCTAAAATTATCCTGAGAAATTATATATTTTACATTCATTTAAACCTATTGTAATATTTTTAATCACTACGAGTATTATAAATGCTTATCTAACTTGTTACTTTCACATCGACAAGCGAATAATATTAAAAGTGCAGTACATAGCTTTGTTATGTACGAGTATATGTTTAGTATTTAATGAAGCAAACAATTCGGAACCTAATGATATGGTTTAATATTTATGTTTCTTTTTGTTGAATAAACATTTATTCCAAAGAGTAAAAACAAAACATAAGTAACGTTCTTAGTATTTTAAATATAACACCATCTTAATAACGCATGACATTTATAGCTTATATAAATATTTATTTAATAAAGAAATAATGAATTCCTTTCTTTATTCATGTAAAATATTCAACTGTCTTCAATGTATACATATATAAGTTCTCATAAGATGGACAACCAGATTTTACATATAATATATAGTAGCTGTGTATTTTGGTTGACGTATACATTACACTGGTAAAATAACTCTAAACCAAATCTTTATAATACGTAGACATTTACAGTAGAATCATTTAATGTTCATAAGTGTGTGCACGCTGGATATCTTCTTGGTGAGTCTGGTGAAATTAGCGACGACTTTTTCGTGATGGTATTGAGAGTCAACAAGACGTAGAACAGACTCCCTCCGCCGACCGCTTGGGAAAAACAAACATACAACATGTAATAAATATGTTCTGCAACAACTAAAACATTAATGTTTTATATGATAATAATTGTTTATATGAGTTCTCTCTAAACTCACACGATTTACTTTTTAGCGAGATACATGTCTTAAACTACAAATGACTTAAGAGCACGAATAAAGTTTCATGGAGGAGCTGATTTGTGAACCATATTATAAATATACTAGTGCCTTACTGCCTGTCTTTCAAGAGACGAGCGGCTGAAATCAGAGTGAGGTTTCGGCGATCGGTCACGTCCAGGCGACTACCGCGACGAAGGAGTAACTCGATCATAGCTGTACTCGCTCCTTGACATACTAACATTACAACAAACAATAGTAACTGATTAACTACATATATAAAAGAACACAAAATATTCTCAATCATTTTTTTTAATTTGTCAACAAAGTTGGAGTAGAATTATGGTTTCAATGTTTGTGTGGGCTATTTTATAATATTATCCGATATTTCTATTAATGTTCATTGACATACGAGGATTAATCATGGTCAGACGAGATGAAAATTAAAAATTATAGAAAATGTTTTTATATTTCTTAGGACATTGTTACATCGAATTCATTTAAACTTTTAGTTAAAATCGAAACAGACACGCTATTTCTTTAGCAATACATTCGAAGGTACAGATGACATGTTGAGTATACCACTGTTGATGTAAATATACTGACCAGCTCTAAACAGCGGCGTCCACAGGTTACTGTCTCTGACCTGCACGTCTCCTCCCCTGTCCAACACGAGCTCGACCAGGTCAGGGACACACGAGTCCACGGCGTAGTGCTCGACACTCAGACCATTTATATCACGTGCCTACAGACATCACATACATAAAGAACAGACTTTAAGAATACCTTTAAATAATAATTAATTCGATTTATTTTGGTAGTTATAGTTCAGTCATAGAGATGAAATATATGAAAATTTGTAGGCACGTTATACAAGCTTTATCCCATAAGATAGGATAACATCAAATTGATTTTATATATATTTTTAATATAAGTTTTATAATGACTTTTATGTCAGCTCCTCGATCCAACAGCATCCCTGCTACAGCCGCGTGTCCGCCGAGCACAGCCAGCATCAGAGGAGTCTGTCCGCCCGAGGACGGCTGGTCCAACGGAACATTGAGTGAGAGAAGGAACCTCACCATACACACGTCACCTGTATTAGAAATATGATCCGTTTACTCACAGTGAAGTACTGTCAATTTATTTATAAGGACAACTTACATACACTATTTATAGGTTTTAAAATAAAGGTAATTACATTTTTGGTTAAGTGTTGTTTCAATTAAAAGTTATCACGGCATGGAAAAGGACAGTATTTTCTACTAATACAACTTTTTTTTTCTACTTCTATTATACAAAAGGGGAAACAAAAAAAACTACCAATAATAATACAATATAAAATGTAAATTACAAAAGACAAGAACGAGACTGTCAAGAAGTTTTTGTTCCTAAATGGTCTAAACAATTAAAGTAATAAATACTCTAAAATAAATTAAATGGACATGTAGATCTCCTTTCTGTTAAAAGATTATTTTTTTATATTTTTGTTACATAGAGGTACATAATATTCCAGTCTTCCTCTGTATGTAGTATTAATACCCGAGTCTCGCTACTTTTCAAACATCGTCGCCTAGTTTGATTTGCTAATTTTCTCTCCAGCACTACACTATCGATCCAAGTGTCTGTAAGTGTGACCTACTATCGGAAATAGATAGACTTTCCGGAGTCGAGCTGAATTTTGGTGTGTCGTTCGAGCCGCGGACTGAGGCTGTTTAATATTTATGACGATCCTCGCGCTAACACTTACTAGAACAGACTTCCAGTCACTTACACTACTTTGATTTATATTAAACTACTTTACTTTCATCGTTCAATTTAATTTCTTATTTTATTTTACCAATTGGGAGTGATAGATGCAGTGTTGTCGGAAACTTCCTTTATGATGCAGACTGTACCTCTCACATAATTTGAGTGTTCTTATCTAATAAGTAAACAACGTTGAAAATAAATGTTATTATGAATATACATCACCCTTTCTGGCGGCCGTGGATAGCGGTGTGAGGCCACTTTTAGAGCTCATGATGGACACCAACTCCGGACGCTCCTCTAACATCTGTTGTACCTTGAATTAAGACGTTATTAGTAACATAACAAGAAATTGACTACATTAACGAATGTGCAATAAACAATAAATATCGTTTCCTAATCAGAATTAAATACAGTGTTTTTTTTAAAATAATTTTTGTTTTATTATTGATCAAAATCACATAAAAATAAAATAGTAGACATTTCATAATATATTTTTCACGTTTAAAGGTGGCCTCACCAACAGTATGTTGTTATTATATTACACTAGATGACCCGGCGAACTTCGTATCGCCCTATAATCAAGGAATATCTGTTGCATTTTTATCTGAATGAAGTTAATATCCTTATTCCTCTAAACGGAGTCTTGCCTGGTTCAACCTGAAAAACATTAATCACTCAGTTTCCACTTTTACATATCAACAGCATATTGGTGACAGAGACACCAACATATTAAGATGTGATTGACCTCAACTTCTCCAACCATAAACCTGTATGAATAATAATTCATTTAAGTAACTTTTTTATTAGTTTCAGAACCTTAAAACATTTTTTGTGATAAAATTTTATAAATTACTTAAAGCTATAATAAACATTAAAAATTTAAAATTTTTATTTACCTGTAACTGGATTTATCATCTTCATTAAAAATAATACCTATCTTCACCTTTCCAAAATAAGATAAAATATATTTATATATGTTCAATGTGTTTCGGACCCACGCTGCACTTGATTGTTACACCGGTGTAAAACAATATTGTGGTTATCCACATTTTCACCCACAATGACAATAGCGACTTCATCAATTCTTTGGGTATTAAAATGTCTTATGTGTTCGAAAACAATTTTGTGATTATCAGATGGCATGTGATCTAATGAGGTCTTGAATAATGCAACCAATGGGTTGTATTGATGGAATAATAATTAGAACTGTTCCACAACTGGTCTTTTCACAAAATAGTTGTGTGCACAACGCTGATCAACTTGTCTTCATGAATCGCCCATGAAATTAATTTGGAAAAATTTATAGTCACTGACCAACACTGGTAATAACTAATAAGTTCAATGATATATTTGTCCTTCAATCTGCAAAGGTTAACATTCCTGTATTACATACACATATTGTAAAGTGAATTGTTCAAACCACCAAGTGACACTCAAAATACTTAGTGAGCACTACCATTTCCCCCATCAACTTTTTTAACACAATTCCTTCTGGCTACTAAAAGTAATTCACAGAGCTACAAATGTACTTTAAGCCATTTTAAATGATACACCATTACAATTGAAAACTGTCAACAATACTGGTAAATGTTTTTCAATACACTTAGCATAAAAGTAGGCATAAAATTTATTGTACCTACTGTAGTCCATTTCTTTGTTGTAATCAAATGCAGCTCTATAGGGGTTAAAAGCAACACTTCTATATTGTTGGGTTTGATTCCATCGATTCCGTTTAACTTCATTCCGTGTTTCACGTTGCTCATCAGTTAGACTTGCTCTTCTATTTCTTTGACTTGAGGCATTACGGGTTCTGCGATTTAAGTTTGTACATCTAATTGCATGCAGCGTGTTTTGAAACAAAAATTCAACTGAAAATAAAAAATACTATTATTCTATTCCTATTCTTTTGTAATAGTATCAAAATGGTCTATCAAAACTTTCCAACACTATAATAATTTGACTTACCTTGTTGAACAAACACTTCAGAAAAAAACACGCAGTACAAATTATCCTGTAGTTAAACCAATGTGAAAATTACACTAAGAAATGGTAAATGAATTATGTAGGTATTTTTTTATTATAACTCCGGCCACAAATAGTAAAACTGAATATGTACTCGTACAAAACCACACACACAAAAAAAACAATTTACGGTTTGCAAACAATTTGAAAGAATAACTGAACTTTTAAGACAGAGACAATAGTTTATCATAGACTAATATAGTCACACAAACGTCAAGCTCAGCTTATGTATCGCGCATTTAAAAGTAAGAAATTTTAATCGTGTAAATCATATTTATTAACAAAAAATCAGTTCTATTTTCATTGTAGTGTTTTGCGATAAACGATGTTTTTTGTTTGATTACCTGGCGATATTAAATCATCCAACGACGTAATCTGTGCTCCAACGCACAAACGCACACCGATTTGATAGATATGATTGAATTTGCACTTTGTGTAGCGGTAAGAAAGTGCAAATTTACTTTTTGACGTTAGGAACACACCTGCATTTCTTAGAGAACAGTGAGTGCTTGTAATTGAATATGAACTTTGAATAATAGCAATAAAGCTCAAATTGCTTCTACGTTTTAGTAAGAAAATGTTTGTATGTGAAAAAGATAAGAGTTGTTTTTAGGATTTTCCCGCCAATTATTCGATTTTTTCTCGCCATAAGAACCATCCTTGGACTTCAACGAACATTTTAAAAAAAGAATTGGCCAAATTGGTCCAGGCGTTGTTGAGTTATGCGCTTATCAACACATTTTGCGATTCATTTTTATATTATAGAAGATATCGTGTACCTTTTTTTTTTTTGATGACGTAGTGGAAACTCTTTTTACGAGCCGTCCAACCGACCTTGGTGGGGCCGGAAGGGATGTGTGAGGCTCGGCCTGGGCAGGCCCCTACTCACTAAAATAAATAATAAGGACCTGTTTCAAGTACCCGCAGCTGACGGCCAGAGTGAAGCAGGCGACCGACGTGCCTTCAGACTGTGTGCTGGTCCACACCTCCTCGGAGTACAGGGACTCCACGACCTCATGACTTACAGACAACACAATCAACACATGAAAAATATATTAATATAAAATAAAATGATACTTATATTTAAGAATTGTTAAGCGAATTTTATTATTTTTAAAAACTACATACTCCCGACGTTTCGGTTACTTTTTGTTATATTCATTCACATCTGTCCATGATCACGGTTGCTGAAAAGTAGCCGAAACGTCGGAAGTATGTAGTTTTTTTAACAAAAATAAGGCACCTATAAAAATATTAGTTTCATTTAAATGAATAAAACTAGCTAAAGTCTTAAGTCTCATTAATATAATATTAATTTATTCCCATAATAACATTAGAACCATTTATTTGAGCTAAATATAAAACTCCTCAATAAAAGAACGTACCGCGCAGAGGTTCAGTTCGGTCGTATCCTCCTTAATTTATATAACCCTGACCTCAGACTGATCGATGAACCAAAATGATTTATCATTTCCAATCCAATTACCAGATCGAATCAATGGAACCGAACAAAGGAGCAAATATTAGGCTTTTTCTTAAGCGTTGTTTGAGTGGAGTAACACTTTACCTTTTTTCGAGTCTCCCTTCAAACGTTCGGGAAGACAAAGGCTTTTTATCAAAGACTATTGTGTTTACGAAATCTGCTTTGTTGACTTCACTCCAATTTAGTCGTTTGTTATCTGAATCATCGTCTCTCTTTATATTTTCATAAACAGTTGTCTCGTCGCCGAAGTATTTGATAGCAGCCGTCACCGCAGTAGACGATGGTTTCAACATCACTTTAAGACGAAACCTGTGCGGGTGACTCGGAGCTAGGTTGGTTATAGTCTTTCTTGATTTACCTCCGCTGAAAAACATAATAATTGATAACAATTTTTTTTTTTTTTTTCTACGAGGGGAATCTTTTAAAGACTTCCTGCCGCGGGGGAAACGCGACAGGGGCATGTGAACAATTATTTTAACATGCTTTGAAGAACAATGTTTTAGAGAGAAACATAAATTAATAAAGTTAATTAAAAATTTAGTCACAGTTATATTCATAGTTATTTAGGTAAATATATAAGTATTTATTTAAAAGTCTGGCAATATTTTTTCACTACAAGCTTAGACATAACTTAGAATTAAAGTTATGACGTCACTGAGGAGACTGGATTGGTTTGTAACACTTACATAGTTACATAAATAAATAAATGTAATTATTCAAATAAATAATGTTCATTATATATTTATTTTGTATTGAACAATAAAACGATAACAAGACAAGCTGTGATCAACTAATAATTGGATTACAAGCCGAAAGTATCAGATAATCATCACACATGAATAGTAGCTCGTGGTTACAGGCGAGAGAATAATCTAACAAGTACTTAATATGAACGTTAATGATTACCATACCCTGTACAGACAAGGGTCGCTACTAGCGAGACACAGACAGGGAACTACTGGTGGAACGAGAACCTTGGACTACTCGTGATAATAAACTTGTGAACAACACTTGTAACTCATGTAATGTTGATATACATCGATGTTATAACTAAATGTGTTAAGTGAAACAATGGTTAAACATGTATGTATTGATTTAATATATAATGTGAAACATCTTAGAACTGTTATCTCGGAATACGAGGTGAGTTAAATTGTTACCGGTTTTAAATCTGATCTTTTTTACGATTAAAATATAGGCCATTAAAACTTTCAAGTTTCATAGTAATTTAAAATTCTAGAGCTAAAAATAAATTAAATATTTTTAAGTCATAAATGTTGTCTGTTATTTTTAAGTCTAACGAATAACGATACATTGAATTTTTATTTAACAACATTAAGTAAATATGTATTTAGATTTCAATACGAGTAGTGTGGGAATCACGACTAACGTTTAGACTTGTGAGATATATAAAGATATTAATAAAACAGCAGAGCAGAGTATCGGCGGTTGTCCGTGTGTCATAGTGACATGAGGTAGCTAGTATAGTAGCTCGTAACATGTAACAAACAAACAGTCTACATACATTTGTTTATATTGTAAAGTACCACCACTTGGAGCGTCCAGTCGCGTCTCTTGAGTATCTTAAGCTTATTATATTCTAAAACTATCTGTTATTCTCTGTGAGGAAAGGGAAACAAAAGGCAATGAAGAAACATTTAAGTGCCGCATGCATCTCCCCTCACGTGTGTGAACGTTTAAATTCAGGATCGGGATAAAATTAGATTGAGTTACTCTTTAAATATACATTTATTTAAAGTAATACTAAAGATGTATACAGGGTGACTGGTGAATTACTATCGATACTTGAGGACGTGATATTTGACGATCATATATGACAAAATAAAAATTAATATAACATAAATATTAATAAACTTCTAAGGAAAGTTAACCTAAAGTTATGTAATTAATTACGCATCGTGTGAACACCCTACAGATTAGGTATACACACACACACACATAGGCGTTTGGCGGCGTGGTGTTGTATCAGCACGCCGCCGCACGCGTCCACACTTGGAACACTTGGAACGTGTCAACACTTTATTTATTTATACGGAAATTTTGTCAAAAATTAAGTACCAATTTTTTTTACATAATTCGAATGAGAATCATGTACCGAGTATTATCCTAAAATATTGATAGTAAGTCACCAGTCACCCTGTATATGTGTGTGTGTACCTGTACACAGTGACCCAGGGCGGTATGTGTTCCTTCTTCTCCAGCCGGTAGATCACGTGCTCGTGTAAGAAACTGAAGGGATGTAAATCAAAGAGGAGTGTGACGTCACGAGTACTCCTCTCCTCTACGGTAGGAGGAGAGGGAGACCAGGAACGGAACCTCGCGAGGAGATCGTGTTGAAGCATCGCAGGGTCTGGAGCAATGATACTAGAAGTAAAGTGGACTCATGATGACTAGGAAATAAAATCAGGGCCAAGGTCAGAACAAAAAACTATATTATATTTATAGTAAGAATGATAATTACCACAAAGTATTGAACCAGAAACATTTACGAACTATCTGTATTAAGATGGTGTATATTAATTTTTAACATTTTCACAAAGTTTCGACCACGTCGTAGAGTGATCACGGTAGTCTAACTCAATTAAAATCAGAAAATCATAATGTCATTTTGAACAACGACTTATCCAGAGAAGACCTTTGATAATACTATATAAAAATCTATTCACTTGACACATCTACATGTTTACAATATAATACTAACACATAATACATAAAATAAGATTTCCTCAAAGAATATAATGATATTCACGTTACCTTTGGTGTGTTGAATTAGTAAGGAACCCTTGAAGAGGAGGTGCCTCCGCTCAATGAGTATACTTACATATAATAACACAACAAATAAATAACTAATTAAACTCTATTAATATAAAGACAATATTATTACGAGGAGAATACAGTGAGAGTTAAGATACGTTGGATACTAGCTACTGTTAGATCGATGAGTTTAGTGAGTATAGTGTGGTTCACGGTAGACGGGACTGTCTACACTAATGTTATTTAGTATTTCATTACGTTTAAAAACTTCTACATTATATAAATACGTTGTACATTTAATCCTCGCTCGCCATCTCTCCGCCGTCGGCTGTAACAAATTTCTATCGCACTTCACACTCAACATTACAACTTTTATTTTTTCTTTGTACACGTTCTCAAAGTATTTCAAAAGAATATATTTTTTTCAGAAACATTTATGTTTATTGTGAGACATTTCATTAGTGCTTATCATACAGTTGCATTTATGAAATCTCAGAGCCATTCTTTTCAATTTATTACTAGAAATTTGTTTTATTATATTTATTAAAATATGCTTTATATTCATCAATATATTTTTTATTTCACCAAAGTCAAATTATAGAAAACATAAATATTATATTTATATTGAAAAACGAATAGAAATATAGAGTCATAAATAAAAGTTTTAATTAAAAACGTTCAGTTCCGAACTTTTATTCATTTGTAGTAAATAATTTTTAACGAAGCTCTCGTAAAATATATTTTTCTCAACTCCAAATCCTATAACTGTCAAAATAAATACAACAACTGAGTATGTAAGCTGGTAGTATTTTATTAATACCTAACATACACAGATTTTAAATGTCCAATCGTAAATTCTTCGCCTCTGTAAATCATACAGATAACTTAACTTTTGATATTTGACCCAATTTTGTGTAAAAACAAAAAGCGCGCATCGAATAAAAACGTTTGAATTTGGAATTGATGTAAACGGAACGCAACGCAGCAATGGCGGTGCTATCGATCGACGCAGCTAGTCGGCGCCCGGCCTCCGCACGGGACACACGTTCTTTGGGGGCAGCGATCTCGCGCTCGTACTAACACATCCAGTCGACCGCGTCTCTCACTGACACTACACATCCGTCTAGACGCCTGGTAAGTCTACAACACTCTATTCACTCTTATATCCGTCTGTCCGTATAGGTCGGTGTCACAGGAGCTCGGTGAACAGTCATGAGTCACACATCATGTTTCCACTGCATAGCGGTCGTTTTTATTATCAACAGAACATATGTACATATGTATATAATTTGTTCCGTCAATATTTCCTCTTTGTATTTCTTTGGAAGTCACATCATTTTATTCATTGTGTCTCGTATCCTTATAAAGAGCAATCATTCCAATACTTTCATTTGTCTGGTTTGTTTCTGTGTTGCTAATTCATAATGGTTGTCACGCACTGTTGACATTACAATATTTTTTAAGTGAGTTAGTTCGGTGGCCTCGGTCTCTTGTAACGATTTACGAGGTAATCTGCGAGGGTGCGATGTGTCTTGTACGACAAAATAACAATTTGCCGGTTCCCGATGTAACATAATCTGAGGTAATGGCTTATTCTCTGCTATGATTTATACGAGGAGATGACGACGAACATGGAGATCCGTAGACATGATACTAGGATGTCAACTGTTCACGGAGAAAAATTTCACTTTGTTATTTCATTTGGGAAACTTTAACAAACATCTGAACCATAAAAACAAATATTTAGCATTACGTAATTTTCATCCCTAAAGACGTTTCTTTTCAACTTGTCACACTATTAAAAGAAAATGGCCCTGAAACAATAATTAGCTCAGATTAATTAACACAATTAAAGGAAAACCTATTTAGCCTTGTGTAAAGCTAAATTTTCTACGAAAAATGTCATCGTTCATTTTTTTTTAGGTTTGAAATTTGGATGCATTTTAAAAACAAAATAAAATAAACTATACAATGTAAAAAAATATATATTTTTAACAATATAAGACGACTTAAAGCTCACTAATAAACTGAACTTTTGTTTCCAATTATAACAATACACAATACGGATTGCAATTGTTACTATATATATATTTGTGTGGAGGAAGCTTCAGGCGCTTTTGTATTAAAATATACAATCTGTATCTCTTTTTGTTGAGATGATTATGTAAGTCGGTACAATAAGTCAAGAGTGTTCGTGCATGCATCGCATATGCACGTGTTATGTAATGGTCATTGATTGTGGGCTGACCGCTTGTCACAGACACACTGCTCAGAGCATGTCATAACGAAGGGTCATTGTTCCTGCCACACCATCTGACCACCATCAAATTCCTAACTATGGGAAACCACATTGCATAAAACATTCTGAAGGTCTTGTATGCTTTGGAAATCCATTCATTCATTCTTCATAATTTAAGAACGATATACTCGTAAATGGAATGCTTATTACTTTTACAAAAACTGAATTAAAATATTCACACACCTTTTCTCTTCTGTCGAATAAGTTTACCTAACATGAGGAAATATCAAATTAAAACGTATAAACTTCAGTAATATTGAATCTGAATCGCAGACGTGGTTGTTAGTGTGAGTTACCGACAGTCTCTACTATACTACTTCATCCTTCATACACTGATAACTTTATATTGACTCGTCTCAAAAGGATCGCATGCGAAATGAAAATTATAACTAGCTCAATGCATCGACTCGTTAAAATAATCGTCGATTACTTATCATAATAAAATCAACAAATTATCATAAAACATCAAAATGAAACAGTATAAATATTGTTTATATTAGCGTTAAGGTATAAGTACCAGGAAACTGTCATCTCTTTTGTTCACATCAATTCGATGTCAAATTTATTTGATTCACTTATATTTTCATTATGCCAAATGTAGATCGTTTATTGATTATATTTATACAAACGGTCACACTTTCGTTTCTGTTAATAATGTTATCATATTAAAACCTCCTCACTAGCTATACGCCCGTTCTCTCTTATTAATTAAAGTTGTCGACCTGGTGATTGTTCGCGGCTGCTGGGCGACAGTTCTGTGTGAACACTGTGAATGCTTCTATTGTTCAACTCCCTATTACCTTATTTTTCATTAAAAGGTCCGCAATGAAACCATTATGAGGGAAATTACTTTGGAATTTTTCACGCGAATTATTTTCTTCACATTCATATTTACTTTTTTATGCTTAATAAGTTTCATCAGTGAGTATTTGTAATGCTGCCGTGGCGCTTCTGTTCCCTTCAATCATTGTTTCGTTCGTTTGCTTGATGAATTTTCAGTACAGTTATGACAGACAGAAATTCGATATGGAGCTTATTTAAATAATGTTTTTGGGTCAAAATGACATTATTCTCCAAAAACCCCAAAAACGCCCTTTGACGTAAAGTTAACGTAAAGTAAAGAAATTACAAGTATCAAGAAAATTTGATATGTCAGTGACAAATAAAGGGCAGCTCAGTCTCCTAACAAACGCTCCGAGTTTCTTTTCTTTAACGACGCTCCGCCTGAGAGAGTTTGTTTCTGTAATATTTCATGTTTTTATTAATAAATGCGACAACAATAAACTTCCCCCGGACACATTTCTTATCTCGGATAAATATTGCCCCGGTATGAATTTGCAACACATGCACCTTATATGCATAAATTATGTCGTTGAATATCGCGCCTGCGACTGGAATATATGCTCCTACGTTATATGTGATGTTAGTTTACAATACAATATACTTTATTAAAATAATACACATAGAGGAACAATAAAGACATCTTTATCAGTAACGTAATTTCCTTTGTTTCATAGGGAAATGATTTATTTTTTAATTTAATGAATGTAGGCCGAAACACAAAATTAAATGATGATAAGTGATACATATCTAAACTATGAACTATATTAACATCCTACACATTTTGATAATTATATATTAACTTTTTTAAACATAGATTATATACAAATTATTGAAATCAAATAACAACAATATACGACTTATGTATATGAATATATACATATTTAAATGATATTCATTCAAAATAAAAATATTATAAATAGGAAAATTTAAACATAGCAAATTATTGATCTTGTCTTGCTTTTCTTGAGAAGAAGTTGCTACTCTATAGGCGAAGAGAGGAAAAGTCTTCCAAAGCTAACGTTGTAGACGAATATGGATAGAGTATAGGAGGAATATTGTGCAGAGATTTTTAGGTGTAGCTCGATCTAAAAATGATAGGAGGAACATAGGAGGATTATAAAGGATTTTTTAAAGGTTAGAGGTTGTTGATGGTTTGTACTGAATATGATAAGAGTGAAATCTGTAAGGTTCCTGGGAACGCAGATTTGCTCTACTTATTTAAAGTTTTCCACTCGTGTTGAGATAACACCATCAGTTGGTAATGAGATTGTACCGTCATCAAGATTAGGTAATAGAAGGCGTTGTGCGGCGACAGACCAGATAAAAACTTTTTTGGGAAAGAACTAAGTTAATGTGATGAGAGGGGGAACCATGTGTACACTAGTTGGCAAAAGATGCCCTGATATTAAGACATAAATGGAAAAAGTATAAGACAGTAACCGGGAAACTACATTGCTTTTGATTATTTGGGAAAAAGTATTAGTTATGTTGAAGTTAATAAGGGCAAATTTTAAATCTAGAAATATAGAAAGGAGTTTGTGAAGGTAATTATTTTACGAGTCGTGCAGTCGGAACCAACATAATTTCATTTTATCGCTCTAATGTCCTTCTTCTCATGATTAACGGATAATTTACTAGAAAATAAAGGATTATGGCGGCCAGAACCGTTTTATTGTACCTGTTTGTTTGCGTCGTTATATAAAACATTAGGAGAAATGTTGATAATTTTGTGACATTGCATGTAACGTGATTGCTAATTCCAACTGATTGAAGAAAATGCTACAATTATGCGATGCCCTTTTCTTTCAAGGAGCATGGAATACTCAGTTATAATGAGTGTGACTCTAACAGTAAGAATGTCATTTAAGTAATAAGACTTTTTTTTTAAATTAAGGCAGATGCAGAAGAACAGTGCTTTCATTGATGTATTGAAATTAATTCATACTTTTATTGAAAAATCGGACACTGAAAATCTTTAAATTATTCTGAAGTTATCATAATGTGGCTTTTTGAAAAAAGATTTCACGACAAGAGTAATCGCTTTTATTTTTGATACATATAAAATGTAATCTAGAGAAGAAAATGAAGGTTTTCGAACTACCAAGAAAAAATACTTTAGCCATATTTTTTTTGAATTATACTATAAGAGTATTATTGTAGAGTTTTTAAGGATTCTTAGAAAAAAAAGAAATATAGAGCTAAAATTTTTCCATCGAAATAACCAACAATAGATTTAAAGCGAAAAATATTTTTAGTATGAGTTTTATTACTATGAATTCCCCAGTAAGATATTTGTACTGGATTGAAATTGGAAAATTTCCATAAAACTTCTGTGTTTTAAAACCTGAAGTATAAAAATAGTTTCGTTATATCATTAGGAACAAATGTGTACTAGTGGTAGAATCTGTTTCAGGGACAAACAGGGTCTAAATGAACTTTACAGAAAGAAAATGAAACGACTTAGCAAGGTTATAATACATAGTTATGATCTTATTTCAATTTGAATTTTTTTTACTACAACCATAACAAAAAATCGATTCTTAATACTTTTATATGAAATTTAATTTTAATTCAGTAAATTATCTAAAAGTATAAAAAGTGTCGCTTTCATCAATGTATAGAAAATAAAAACAATGATTATGTTTTATAGCTTAATTTTTTAAAATTAATTAATTAATTTAATGTTGTTCTTGAATATTGATTCGAAAATATACATCAACATCAGATCCAAAAGTCTTTCATAAAAATTACTATTTAATGAAACATTATTGTATTTTTTTGACTTAATTTTTAAATAAATGAAACGAATGATACTGACACATAGTAAAAAACTAGTTATTGTTATTCTATAAAAATTATAAATCACAATTGACCTAAATAAATAACTTACGAGTTTGTAACAGAAAATGCTAAAGAATTTTGTTATCAATCTGTGTATGCAACAATATGCTGAAACATTTGAAATATTTCGAATTGTTGTTTGGTTCGGACGCAGTACTTTGTAAAAGTCTGTAAGCTGAGGCTGGAGAATTATTTATATAAAATGTCCGCGTCGACTTTGCATTCCGGAATACGTTTGTATTTTCAAGCAAAAAGGATTTAGGATTAAATGTATTTATTTGGTAACGAAATGCTTTGTATGTATCGGACGCTCGTTGAATGCGGAATGGCTGGTCGTCGCTGGAAATCGGTTTTGTACTGGATTTTAGATTTACAACGCTACGGAGCACTCCGGGACGCGTTTATGTTTTGTTACGCTCCACTCACTTTTAGATCGCGACTAGTTATGTGTCCATTGGTTTTATATTGTTAAACAACACACAGTTATGCTAACTATTACTCCCTGTATAACTCAGAGTGTATTACTATCGCAATAATTTATTTATTAAAAAATAAACTCATCTATACTTATATCTAATAAACACTTTAAGGGATTGAGCTCCTTTGTTTTTATTACCCAGTGAGTAACTCCACCGTTTGTTTTTCATTGCTCATGAGATCGGCCATGTGGCCAGATTAAGCCAGCTTATTCCCATTTCAGTTTCATACAATTTGCTGAAGCTATAATAATATTTGCTGTTATTCTAATTACGCTACTTGTTTGTTGTATGCTCTTAGTCGTAGAATCTTTAATTTTCAGTTAAACAGATACAGAGAACTTTTATTGTCTGTGTAATTATTATAAACACACTAATTTGTAAATTACTCCAGAAAATTGCGAAAAAATATGATCTTAAGTTTTATCTAAGATCGTTTTTAAACTCTACAATGTCTGGTTTAAGAATTTTACAGGATTTCATTTCTAAGACTTGATAAAAAGATTTGAATACCTTACAGAGGTCTTTTAATAGCTGTAATAATCTGAAGGCGACTTTACATAACATTAGCATATCTCTCTAGATGTTGTCGCTGTACCGCGGCCGACTAACTTTAGTATAATCGATCAAAGTGAAGTGGTTCATTGTACTTTAGTTTTTTCTTTAATATGTTGGAACACTTTTATTGAAGCCTTTTTGTTCCAGTCTTAGGTCTTTCAGAAAATTCGAGTAAACTTTCTCATTTTGTACTTATTCGATTTAGAAATTATGAGACAAAAATCAATCTCCTTCTAATAAAATAGTTATAGGTTAGGTTTTAATAGCAAAACCAGGCTCTACATATAATACTTTTCTGTATAATTTCGGACCGGCGAAAATTATCTTACTTATAGTTCCGATTGACTATTTTTGTGTAAATTTAGATAAATGTTTACAACGGGTAACCTAGTAGTAGCATAATGATTGAAAACCTCGGTAAAGATCTGTTTATATAAGTTTAAATTAAAGCAAGTTCTTAAGAATTATGTGAACAGTGTCTTTTTGTCCTAAAATAAAATTTATTGTTTGGTAATTTATTTCTTGTACAAGTATCCGATGTTTGGCAGTTCGGAGGAACAGATGTGCTGAAAGATTTAGTGAACTTAGTTTCTTTGAGGAGGATGTCTTCCATTAATCTCCAAGTACTTTGATACTTCTTTTTCTGTCCATTTCGTTCCTAGAACCCTTGATTGCAAAACGTTATTGTGGTAAAAAAGTTACTTTTCTTGATACAACTTTTACTACCGCATTGAGATGCCTAAGAAACGAAAATAAAATACAGTAAATTTAGAAAACAATTTTGTTCCAATATATAAAGAAGGCTCTCCAAAATAATTATTTCATTAGTATGCCTTTAAGTAATTTATATCATAAGATATGTCATGCGTTCCTTTGTTGTTATGATATCTAAGATTTTCGCGTGTATTCATTTAAAAATAACTAAGGTTTTTGAATATCTCACGCGTTTTTTTTTAAACAAAAACCTTACAAAAATATTCGTTAACCTTAATATTATTACCTTGTCGTGTATATATTAAATAATATAATTATCATCTATAATATAAATATATCGTCCAGATTTATCTAGATCACCTTAATATGCTTCTTGTGTTTCAAATTGAGTTTAGATCTCAAAGGCCTCGACGTAAAAACAGCTTTAATTAATTTACTTTTTAAAATTCCGATTTAGTTTTTGACTGGAGCCTCATCTCTATTTGAACTTTAAAGATTTTTAAACGAATAATTTCTTTTGCTAACTGAAGTCCATTTTATTCTTTTTCTTATTTATCTAGTTGTAAATTAAAGACTAGCGTCAAAGAACATTTTATTTATATAAAATTACTCGAAGTACGAATTACTTTGGAGAAAATGTGTTACTATATAGAATGAGAAATGTTAAACATTTATCGTGTGATAATATAAAATGTGATAATAATTTTGATAACAACGCAAATATTTAATTGTAACAATTTAATTCTAAAATCGTAACATACTATTTATTTTATATATGTGAGGTTCTGTTAAGTCTCCCAAGAGAAGATGTCTAGGGTTGCTTAGCGACATCATCCAACGAACTGTAAACATGAATGATTTGAATAAACTTAAATATTATTAATATTCAATGAATAAAAATATCATAACAACAACTAAACATGTGTCCTTGAGACATTTAATATTTATTTATTTCGATTACTTTATAGTAATCGTCACATAAGAACAATTTATAAGAAGTTCTTATAAAATTCATATTAATTTATTTGTTTACACAGAAAAAAATATGTTTTTTAAAAAATGTATATGAAAATAGTTTTTCAAGATATATTTAATGAATTTTAATTAAAATAGTGAAGTATTCGTGTCGCTGAAAATATTCATTTGTCAATGAGAACAAATTAATAAAGCGTGTCATAGTTTTCCATCGTTGAAACGCTCAAATTTAATTCATACCCAATTAAACCTGCCGTGAATTAAAATAATCAGAGGACCGCCGGAGCAAATAATACTCTCTGCTTGTTTACTTAGGAATGTATTTGCAATGCATCTCCCGTTTAATTAATATTCCAGTGTTCGCGCGGACCACGTATTTGTATGTATTTGAAGGTACAGTCAGTGTAAATAAGTATCTCGCCCACGAGATTTAATAGTTATAGAAGCTCGCCTTGCATTCAGAACGAACACGAGCTTGTGTTGTGTAATAGTTCACTAAGCTACCACCGTTACACACAATAACAGTTTAATTGCTTTCGATATTGTTGGTACAACATCCTCTATTATATATTATAAATGTATCAGGTTCTTTGTTTGTACCTCCTTCTCGGACTATGAATACATGTCGACTGGAGGAGGAGTGTGTTGGGCTCTCGAGACCTATTGTGAAGGACAATCGGACGGAAACAAAAACATACATCACACAAGGACGATGCGGCGGATACAATCTTGCATAGTATATTTGTAGTTTTGCTGAAATCAAAAGGTTCTCTTTAAGTGACACAGAGGTCGCGCGGGTCGTGACCTCGAAGTCAGCAGAAGCGACCGAAGACTGTCGCAATACGGATACGAATGAGGACGATCCCATAACATGACCATAAACATAAATTGTTACCTAAATAAATATTTCGTTATTATATTTTTGATCCACTTTTGTGTTTGAATTGCGAGCAACGTTATTTATATAACTATAATGACAGTATGAAGATAGCAAGCAGTGTTTGCAGTACAATGCAATATAACTCATTTCAATTTAAAATATGACTATCATATAGTTTAAGAATACATCTACTGAGTCATATGAAGAGTTGAAATTTCGTCAAAAAAGCCTGTATCCGTCTTGAGTTAGCCGTCATTTCTTCAAGAGTAATTTCGCTCCTTAAGGTTCTGAGCTCCAGTTTGCGGTCACCGCTTTAACAAATTAAGGAAGCTTTTGGTCCACATTAGTGTCGTTAACCGTCCCTACATGTGGGTTAACTAATTCAAAAACCACCGTTTGTGGCAAATATACCTTAATTATGTTCCCTTCAACATGTGACGTGAACGTTCAATATACTAGGACATACATAGTTTTATTGTCTCCAGATTTATACTAGAACAGTTATTTCACAAAATATAATGAATCCAATATTATTTTTAATATATCTTATTAGAGTCCAGTACTTTGGTTATATTCACGGATTGTTAAATGGTCTTGGAATTTTGTAACTGACACATTTTTTACATTAATTTCAGCCTATATTGAGGTTGAAGCAAAAATAATGACTAAAACTATAATTTAAAGACTTCACCAAAATATTTTAAGTTGTTATTAATATTTAACGTGATAAATATGTACGCTAAGTAGAGTTATGGTTATTTGAGTCTTTTTTTTGTACCCGAATATATACTAGTTTGGAAGAGTCTTACAATTAATACGAGTATTGTAACACGTCAAGTCTTCCAAAGTATTTCGGTGGCAGCCTCTCACACGAGGAGAGATCTGATTAGAATTTCGTGGAACTTCATGAAACTTGAATCCTTTGTTCGCTTTCAAATCATTTGCTTCCCGTGAACATAAAGTTTTCACATATTGAGTGATACACACACAGAGAGTTACTTGTAGTCTTCAAGCGATATGTATTAATGATGTAATTCAATGCTCTAATTGAAATATGAATCTCTGAACAGTAATTATTAAATTATATGTATTTTGTAACATTCTTTAGAGCTGAAGTTTTATTATATTATTAAATGAAACTTTTTAATATGTATGTCGCGTTTAAAACCATTCGTTAGTAAAATAAAAGGCGCGTGATAAAGAAACTAAAATCAACATGCAGACGGCTTATATCAGAGGTCTGTGTAAAATTTATGTTGTCATTTATTAATTTATGTTTTCTGAACTTTACAAATCAGAAAAACATTACAATAATATCTAGAGTACTATTGATTTATCTCTAAATCGGTAGAGTGTTTAACCTGAACGAGTTTTATTTTATAAGTAAACTCTTCTCTTTTTCTTATAATACATATATTCCATGTCATTTGTTATTCTTTATATTTTATTTCCATACATTCCCGTCTGTAGTAATTCATAGCTGTTGTATTGGATTCCATCAATTTGTTTCTGGATCTACTTGACGTATTACAATACGTCCTACTTACGGAACAGATGGATTGAATAAAATAAGAAATTTATCGATGGAGGATATTATGAGACGTTATGGTCGGTGTGGTAGGAACCTTATACTTCGATAGAACCTGTGATGATGACTCGTATAAATATTCGTACATTTAATTACACTAGGTACTCAAGATTATAAACCGTCCATCTGAATCATCTAGAGTAAATTAATTGACATTGTACTAATCTTTTTCTTTTTGGTTTACGTGTACTTCGTTACTCGTGTAAGTCAGTGCTTGTTCCATACGTTGAATAAATCTCAGTTATTTCAATACCTCTGAGTTTATCGGCCTCATGAAAGTTCAGTAATCAATTATGTCAATTTGTGCGAGGACTCTCCAACCTGTCACCGAAGTGTTTCAAACCGATTTGACTCACAGACTATTGACAGACATTTAGCTTCCGGGGGTTTTTTGCTGAGCTTTGATTTTTTAAAAAGAAATTGAAACTCTGAAATAATGTATCCTTACCTCGACAGAACCTATATCATATACCTTATTGGAACTCGTTTTGATATAGAATTAATGTTAAAATTCTAATTTTGTCTCAATTTTGTTACTGGTGAGGTAATCAAAAGACTATGTGATCACCCATTATTGAGCATAGACCTCGAAGCTTAATAATAAAAAAAAATTCATTTCTTCATCTAGACACCGATTAAATTAGAATAAATTATTAGAAAACTAATTTTCAGTACACACTCGGTACAAATCTGTATCTATTGAAATAATCTACAATTTATAAACAATATCGTTTCTTTAGAAGAAGCTTTGCTTACAATTAATTAAAAGCGTGTTGTTTTCAAAAAGGAAGCCCCTTGTAATTTATACATGAATTTACTTAAATATTTCATTCCCATTCCATAGTATTAACACCCTTATGTCGTTATCTTTATAATCATATTCCCGTGGCCGCGCCGGGAGATTCGTTGTTGTAATTTACGAGGCCCTGGCAGTACGTCGTCGATTATAAGCCTATTTGGACACAAATCGCCTTTATTGCGGCCGGACGGTCTGTTTGGCCTTATTCTACGAAATTATAGGAAAAGCGGAGTCATCATTTATTTTGGTTCGTGAGTAAGTTCCCTTAGTCAGATGTTTCCATGCTGTAATAATGTCGGTAACGGAACACAAAGTGCGCTAGTGGTTGTGTTAGCTGAGAATGTCTTATGCAGATAGCGCGAGCAACATGACTTCATGTCAAAATAGTTCAAGTTTGAAGTCTAAACCTAAATCCCCAAAGCCACTTAGAGCTACTTGGATGCGCAAGGATTTGCATCGAAGTAGATCTAAGTTTTCATGTATTCAATCTTAAATGTCTCTCAGTTAGTTTGAGTGGGCCAACTTATACGAAGATATTATTCAACGTACTGTATCTTAATGATTCAATATATTATTTTGTTTTAATCTTACATTAATATTATATTTCGTGTCATCGTGTTCTCATGTATTTCTTGTTAAACACAATAGCTTGTTTATATCAGTGGGTGTGCAGTCAGTTGCAGTCCTGTCCGTATTAAGAGCTGAGCTCGATCCCAGTATTTATCTCACTGAACATTGTTATCATGTTCCATTCATCTTGGCTCAGCTGTGCGCGAAATCTCCTCGTGAATATTCTGCTTTGGTTTTCTGAAACTTCTGTCTCTAATAGATTGTCTTAAAATTTTGCATACTGACTACAACAATTATCTTAAGTGGAGGAGCTTATAAAACATAATGTGATGTTTGTATGTTTAGTGATTTGTAACAGTTTCATGCAGGTAATAAATACAACACAGCCTGTGTTCTTATTCTCACGAATTAGTGCTAAAATGTCTCTTATTAGTCGTATCTATCTCTTTAGCGCATTAGACTCTGTTAACGTAAAAAATCTCCTTACCATTATTCAAAGAGAAATAAATGAACAACTGTTCTGATTTAAATTAAAATAGAATGTTAATAACACAAAGTTTAAGTCCATCAAATGTAAAAAGCGTAATAATTTCAGTTGTCCGGTTTATTTTTCAATACGTCCGGGCAACACTGAATATATGCAAAGTTCTCTCGTAGTAAACATCGCAGACAATGTTTATGCATAATGCAGCGGGCTCCGTATTCATTTGTACCATTCAAACGAGTCTAGTCACGTCACAGAAATGCTCGCCAAGGAGGGTTTTTCTATATTTTATTTGTGAAAAATGTAACATCTCAAGGGAAATGAGACTGTCAGCGATTCCGTTTTTATTCGGACACAGGTGGCTAGTGGAGAATTAATCAAAACGCTCATCCCGCGAGGCGTTTTACTCACTGAGGGTTTGTATTTTGACGACAAAAATTGACGTTTCCTTTTGGATTTTATTACGAGAATTCACATACTCTGTAGTTGAAATTGTTTTTATGTTCCCCTCATATGTATCTTTTTATTTGAATGCTTTAATGGTTATTTTCTGGAACAAATTTTAATAAATATAAAAAACATATATTTTTTAAATATCATATTATTAAATAGCAAACTAAAAAAACACTTCAGCTTTTTAGTTAATGACAATTTTAGCGAATTTGCAGATATTTTAATAAAAATCAGGTCGCTCTAAGTGGATTTAGCGAAGCGTATTTTGATGTCGGCCTCATCTTAAGTTGTTCTGACGGCAGATTTATAAATTGCGACAAAACGTTGATGTTATCGGCGTTGTCATGCTGTACTTAATCTTGATATCTCATGATGTATGAAGGAACATGCTCCTCGTACGTCTCAGTTATAAAAAACTTTGTTGAAAAATTCAATACAATGTGTTGAAACTGCTGAGAGGTCGGGTCGCTGTCTCTCTAGTTCAGAATTATAAATTACGTAGCTTAAACTGTGTTTGGACATACTTGGATTATTTTTTGCTCACTTTACAGGAAAATGTGCGGTCAAGCATTATAATTTCGAGGCATTCACCGATTAATACTGACAAGCCACAATGAATTTAATATCATATCCTCATAACAAAGTATTTTCCTTAATATATATCTTAGTAGGACGACTTTAATGTTCCAAATATTTATAAAGTAACATTTTCTTTGTCTATTTTTGTTCACAACTACTAAAATACTCAGTTATATATATAGGTCGTGTTAAAAGTAATTCCGCCGCTCTCCCCGCTCTTAATTCTTCCATTCAATATATCTGACTGGGATCCAAGGCTGAACCTTCCGCTAATATTTCAAGATCCCTGATAACTGTTGTGGAAAACGCCACCGGAACAGATCAAGCGTGATATTGGAGAAATGCTTTTTGTACTATTATCTAAACTGTTTATAAAATTGCCTTTCTAAGAGGATCCTTCACAGGATATTTTATACTCGTATATGTTTTATGTTGGGTTTGATTGTATACGTTTACAGTTCTTGATAGAAAGGGTACCAAGAGGCTTTTCGGAATATAATAGTTCTATCGAAATT